CAAGGCTAGCACTCTACCACCTGAGCTATAACACCATTTCCAGTTTTTTCTGTGTATGTGGTACTGAGGAATTGAACCCAGGGCTTCATGCATGCTAGGCAAGCACTCTACCACTAAGCCACATTCCCAGCCCACAGATTGTTTTAAACTGGAGAAAAGATCCCTGAGAGTGTCTGTTAAAATCCTTTGTTTACATTGATTTCCTCTTTGCACTGGTTTTGATCATATGAAAATGGTTTCTTTCAATGTAGGTGTTGTTCAGGGAATGATAACAGGGATTCGAGGACTATGCAATGGTCTGGGGCCTGCCCTTTACGGATTCATTTTCTACATATTTCATGTGGAACTTAAAGAACTGCCAATAACAGGAACAGACTTGGGGACAAACACAAGCCCTCAACACCATTTTGAACAGGTAATCTTTAGTTTATTTAGCTGGATTAAAAGTTGCTGTTTATGCTGGGCTCAACCTGTAATCCTAGCTACTCAGGAAGCTGTGATTTGAGGATCGTAGTTCAAAGCCAGCCCCAGTAGGAAAAGCCATGATACTCTTAGCTCCAATTATAACTACCTGAAAACTGGAAGTGGTGCTATGGCTTAAAGTGAAAGAGTGCTAGCCTTGAGCAGAAAAGCTCAGAGACAGCACCTAGGCCCTGAGTTTAAGCCTCATAACTGGCCACACACAAAAAAAGAACGCCATTGGTGACAAACTTCCAATATTGAATAACCTATTTGTCAAGACTTGCTGACCTCTCTTCACCACTTTCTTATATTATGACTATTGTTTCTTCTGAGACTGTTGCAGTGTCATTGGACTGTGTGCATGAAGTCAGCTATGTGTCTCTTAACATTTGGTATGTTTCCTTCCTTGTAAGTGAAAATAGGTAATTAAATGATTTCAACAAATGTTAATAGCTCACCCAGTTCCTAGCCTACTAAGCAGATATCCCACACTAATCTTAAAGCTAGCTAAGCCTACTTCTACATTAGAAAATGATTTGTGGCCAGGTGCTGGTGGCTTGTGCCTGTATCCTAGCTACTCAGAAGGCTGAGATCTGAGGTTTGAGGTTCGAAATCAGCCTGGGTAGAAAGTCCCTGAGACTCTTATCTCCAGTAAACTACTCAAAAAAGAACGGGTGCTGTAACCCAAGTGGTAGAGTACTTGCCTTGAACTAAAGAAGCTTAGGGGAAGTGCCCAGCTAGAACCAGCCCTCTCTCCCCCCCAAAAAAGCAATATATGTGTGGACTACGTTTTTTGTCAGTTGTGGGGCTTGAACTCTGAAGACTAAGTTTTTATTAGGAATGAACCTAATAGTACCTTGGGGCTACTATAAAGGGGCTTTCCTTTTCAGGGGAGGGAAGAGTTTTATATCTCGGCTTTTGCCACTTTCAGTCCCTTGATAGTGTAATTTTTGAAACAAAATGATAGTGGATGCTACTCCCAGTTGTTAATGCTGTATGCTACTTAGTTTTCCATTTGAGAGCTTGTGCTTTTCTCCTGAACTTACAAACCCAGTAGAAGTTCATAGAGTAGGTTTTCAGATTTGATGCTGAGTGACAGGGTATTTTAGTGCAAGCTTTTTGCAGTTTTCATTCCTAGAATTTTGTGAGTATGATAAAGTCCCTTTACTCCTGAAGAACCATTTTTATAACTGTGCTTCAATCGGTTGTAACTGAACAATGCATACAGCAATCGTAATCATTTTTGTCTTCCTCAGAATTCCATCATTCCTGGTCCCCCCTTCCTCTTTGGAGCCTGTTCAGTACTGCTGGCTCTGCTTGTTGCCTTGTTTATCCCAGAACACACCAATTTAAGTTTAAGGTCCAGCAGTTGGAGAAAGCACTGTGGCAGTCACAGCCACCCTCACAGTACACAGGCGCCAGGAGAGGCCAAAGAACCTTTGCTCCAGGACACAAATGTGTGATGACGGAAATCAGGAAGATTTTTCTATCAGCGCCCAGGTCTTAGTTTTCACCTGTAGTTCTGGATGTACATTCCATTTCCATCTACAATGTACTTTTAAGATTGTCTTATGAAATGTATCTGCATGAACTCCGTGGGAACTAAAGAAAGAACCGGACAGTTTTCCAAAGATGTTACAATTTCTTTTGAAAAGAAAACTTTTGTTTATTAGCACCAGTTTCTTGCCACTAAGCTGTTTTATTATACATCCTTTAATTAAAAACTCTATATGTAACTTCTTAGATATTAGCATATGTCTGCTACCATTTCCCTAAGGTGTTGAGCTTTAACTCTATACTGACTCCTGGAGAGACAGAGTAGGTAGTGTGGTTGTGGACCTGTTCATTTTAACATTGTAAAATCCTGAGACAGATTTTAGTATTGTAAAATCTTGAGTCAAATAATTCAAAGCCTTAATGCAGGTGCGCTAAAATAAAGAAATGGCAAATGAGTTGTTTGCAATTTTAAAAAAAGACACTTAAGAAAACTGTACTAAATCCGAATCATGTTTCAAGCTTATTTGCAGTAATTTATTTTAAACATCATTCACTACTGTTTATCAGCCACTTAGAATTCAAATTGGGGTAGAGCCTGTAAATCTAAATGCTGGCTCAAATTTGTTCCCCAGTTACTTCTTATACCATATTCTTTTAATGTTTGCATAATCATAAGAACCTCAACACTTGAAAACATAATCTAAAAATTATAGTAAAGTTGGTAGCCTTGAAAACGTCAATGTGATATCTATATGTAGATAAATATATATAGTGGCCTTTCAGGACTGTCACAGTAACACTTTATTTACAGAGCTAATGTTTGTCCTAAATTTCAGGACCCTAGAAGAGAGCTTTATACAATTACTGATGTGAATTTCTCTAAAGTGTATATTTTTGTGTCCAGTTATATTATTTAAAAAAGTGTTACTTTGTAAAAATTGTACATAAAGTATTGTATAGTTTACACTGTTTTCATCTTGTGTGTGGTTATTGCCTAATGCTTTTTAAACTTGGAACATTCACTATGGCTAAATGAGGTCTTTAAAATGTAAATATTCTGTTAATAAAATTAAATATTTTAATGATTTTTTTTTCTTTTTAAAAAAGCCTTGATCTGTGAGTCGCTTGCCATAAGTTACTATACTCATCTCTACAGCAACATACCAAAGCTGTCTGGATTTGAATCAGTTTCTCTTCTCACTATAAAATACTCCTGTAAAAAATTAGACAAAATGAAAAGCGTTGTTTTCATATCAGTTGGAAGTACTTGCTTTTCTAAGTAGATACAACCCAATCCTCTTTTTAACTTACTCTATATGTCAAACTCTCAAATTGTACTAGCAAAGCTCATTTATAGGCTTAACATTAAGTGAAACATTTTTATTAACACATGTACATATATATACTGGAAAACAATTACAAACAGGTTTAAGAGGTAGAGTTCAGAGACAGCACACAAATCTACCTATGTACATTAAAAGGAAAATGATAGCAAGTTCATACAGACTCTGTATCCTATCTTTTGCAGATAGGATTTCTATGTGTGGCTATGTAAGGGTGGTCTATACTTAAAAAAGTTACATGTCCCATCCAAGCCCAGTCACAATGTTTTATACAACAAAGCACAGTCCCATATTGTCAAGAGTCTTACAAGTTATTTTAACTGTATTCTTACTAATGCAGTATATCTAAGAGAGCACAGAGTTATTGCCTACTGTTATTGATGTTGCCAACTATAGTTCCAGTTTAGATTCAAAATATAAGGCTCAAGACAGTGGATTCATTAAAAATTAGTGAAGATCCTTGTGTTACTGTGAACTCAGTGACAGTGGTAATCATTGAATTATCTTTTTCCTCATCTGTAAGTACATAAAAACAATTTCTCACATAAGCATTACTAGTTTATAAACAGTTGAATTAGAGGATTCTTTTTTTAAAATTTGAGTGTTTTTTATTGAAAAATGCTGTACAGAGGGGACACTTAGAGGATTCTTAGAATGTTTGTTTCTGTTGCAGTGGTGGGGAAACCTCTAGCCTACTGACTACATATGGCCCTTGAAATCATTTGGTACATAACAGGATGAACATGATGCTTACTGGTTGTCCTTAACCCTGGCCCTGTTGAAATTTTGTATGGCCCTCAAATGACGGGCCTTCGGCAGTAAGGCTCCCCATTCCTGCTTTTGGTGTCAATAAGAAAACATGTATTCTGTGGTCCAGGGTGGATTTTAAAACTACATTATTTTTTTTCCCAAGGAACAGTTATTCAAATTTTTCAGTAATAAGAGGTAGGTTATAGTAGTTACTTCCCTTTATTAAAAAACAGTAAAAATGCCAATTTTGATACTATGAAACATACAATGAATAATCATGTTCTTATAGTAAATATTTTGTACAATATCAAGTTAAAAAATATTTCAATAAGGCTGGGCACTGGTGGCTCTCACCTGTAATCCTAGCTAGTTAGGAGACGGAGATGTGAGGATCTTTCCTGCCCAGGTAGGAAAATCCATGACATTTCCAGTTAGCCACCAAAAAGAAAAAAAGCAACGAGTTATGGCTCAAGTAGTGTCAGCCTTGGGCAAACTAGCTGATGATAGCACCTAAGCCCTGAATTCAAGCCTCATTACTGGCACTGGCATGCACATACACACACAAATTCAATGATGGCAAATATTTCACCGAGTAGCAAAATTCCAAATTAAGAACAGTTTGATGATTAAACTTTCAGGAAACACTAAACTTCTATAAACTTCCAGTTCATGAGACTAAGGCTGTCTATCCTTAATCTGATCACATAAAAAACCGCTAGTGGAATTGTTTATCAAGATTATTTTATAGCCAGGAGCCAGTGGCTCATACCCCTATAATCCTAACTACTCAGGAGGCTGAGATCTGAAGACTGCACTTCAAAGACAGCTTAGGCAGGAAAATCTGTGAGACTCTTACCTCCAATTAACCACCAAAAAAAGGCCAGAAGACTTGTGGCTCAAATGGTAGAGTGCCAGCCTTGAGCAAAAAAGCTAAGTGCCCAGGCACTGAGTTCAAGCCCCAGTACTAACAAAAAGGAAAAAAAAATTTATATATTTTATAGACAATAGCTAATTTAACTGTTTTTGAAAAAAAGTCATTTTTGTTTGTGATGGTGAAAACTTTATTTTACTCATTTCAAAGTATTTTCCTTTCACATAAATATCAGTTCTTCCTCTCATACTCTCTGGCCAGATTCAATTAACTCAATTTTGTAATATGATTAGAATGTCAATTATAACAATTCCTTTCTTAGAACTTAATTTCTGAAAACTTAATAAAATTCATATTACTTTATAGAACATGTTCACAAACCAAAAAAATAAAAATAAAAGTATTGACTTAGAATCTATGCCAATCCCAAGTACAAATTTGTGGCGATAAAATAGCTGCCATAACAGCAGCAGAATTATATGTTGGCCAAACAGTAGGTAGCTCAAGTAAAATTTGAAACTTGCTTAGTTAAGATTTGACTTAGGTTAAACATAATTTTTAAACCACCTGAGTTTCTGAAGTGTCAGTACAAAACAGCCGGTGAGGCCAGGATTAACTGCTGGGTAACTGCCCAGGAAAATAGGCAGATGTGGAGGGGAGCACCGTGGGTTTAGAAGACGTCTGTAATGCCCCTAATGTGCCATCTTTCTGATGTTCTGCAAGTGGGGGGCAAGAAAGAACAGTTATTTACCTATACAACCCAGTCCTCTATACCACCCAGTCCTCTATACCACCCAGTCCTCTATACCACCCAGTCCTCTATACCACCCAGTCCTCTATGCCACCCAGTACTATATACCACCCAGTCCAAAAGGTCTTACCTGCATTACTAAGTAGATTCTGGCTGAGTCCACGTAAAGGAATGCTATCTTCTCTTTTCTTCAAGTATTTAGATTCCAGCCCTAAATTTTCACCACTTAAAAAAAAATACTAATTACCTCAAATATAGATTATAATCCACAAATTCAAATTTTGAGAGCCAACATAGATACTACAAAAGTGGAAAATTCCACATTTGCCTCACATGAGTCAAACCGAAGTGCACAACCTAAATTACCTTCAGGATATATGCAAAAGAAACAAATTTTGTGTGAAGACATGAGTCTAATTCCCAAAATATGTCTATATGTAAATATAAAAAAACAAAACCTGGTTTCAAGCATTTCAGGCAAAGAATACTAATCCACAGGACACACAAGAAAGCATAAATGGGGCGGGGTCACTTAGTGGCAGTGCATGCCAATATGCATGAAGGTCCCAGGGTCTGAGCTCCAGCACTGTCTACCCCATAAAACGAAAACTAGTAAGCTATGTGAAAGCTTGACTTGCTTCAGATCATATTCACTGGCTTATGAAAATAATTTAGCTGTATATAACCAAATATAAACTAAAAAAGGGCTGGAATAAGGATTATTAAGAGAAGTTAAAAATTTTGAATATTATAAAACTTTAAATAGCACATAAATGACAATATACTACCTATGTACATGTGTACATGCCTTGAGAATATCCTAAATTCTGTCATTTCTATCTCATTTAAAATGAAGGGTTTTTTTTGACAAAGGTGTCACCTACAGTATGAATTACATATGCAGCTCACTCTGGCTTCAAACTTGTGGATCCTTCTACAACAACATACCAAGTACTAGGATTGCAGACATTTTTCATCAAATTGGCGAATATTTCTTTGCTCCTTAACAAAAGCTCTTAAAATTCTTATAATGTTTTAAAGCATTATCAAATTAGGAATTCTGGTTAGATGAATTCAAATGTGGGACTTCAAAAAATAAATGGGTATTTCTGTATTTTCTCCCTTTCTACTTAGTATGCACTCATTACTTTCTAAAACTGTACAGTTATCAATTTCCCTAGTATTACACTTGGAATAAGAACTTAAAGCTGGGTACTGGTAATCCTAGCGATTTAGGAGGCTGAGATCTGAGGATCAGAGTTTGAAGCCAGCCAGGACAGGCAAGTCCGTGAGCCTTTTATCTCCAATTAACCAACAGAAAACCGGAAGTGATGATGTGGCTCAAAGAGATAGAGCAGTAGCTGTGAGCAAAAAAAGCTCAAGGACAGCACCTAGGCCCTGAGTTCAAGCCCCATGATCAACTCATAAAAACAAATACTCAAAGTCAACTGCAGCAGGAAATTTCTCAAAACTTTATCTCTGATTAACCAGCAAAAAGGCTATGCTAAGGCATGGTTCAATTAGAAGAGTAATAGAGAACAAATGTCAGAGGATCTCGCAATACACACACACACACACACACACACACAAGTCCTATTTTTCTGTAAAAAGTCTCTTAAAAGAGGTCTTGGTTTCTGTGATACATTGATACATAAGCATTATCATATTCTATAATATGAATTATAGGTACTCTGCCTTATGAGCATCTTGAGCATCTGTAAAATATAGTAAATGTCTTCAAAAGGTTCTGATCCTTTCCTAGCAAAGAAGTTCACAAACCATTTTAACTCTTGCAACTGGCTATTTTAGAACACTTAATGAATAAATTTAGAGAGCTGAGATAAAAAACTGCTGTCTGGAGCTATATTTGTAATTTATTTTACAATGTAAGGGAATGGTGTTGCTCATGATGAGTGTTAGCAGGAAGGTCTTAAGACCATTGAATTTTAAGTGAATAAAGATTTAAATTAACTTGAAGACCCCCAACGAGGGATCTTAACTAACTTTACAATAAATAAATATTCTTGCTGGGTGATGGTGTCTTACACCTTTAACCCAGTTGCTCAGGAGAATTAAGATTTAAAGCCATAATGAGATGCTTAGCCAGAAATTAGGCTGTAGACCAAGTGGTAAAACACTAGCGTTGGGAGAAAAAAGCTCAGAGACAGCACCCAGATTGAATTTAAGCCCAGGATCAGCATAAAAAAAAAATCAAAATTTAAAAATAAAATAAAAACTTAAGACTCTGAACAGGTGGAACAAAAGTCACAAATTGGCATTAAATTTTGTAGTATCTAGAGAATAATTTTACAAGCCTTTTCTACTCGTATTTACTATATAAATCGGTGAGAGAGAGATGGATGTCTATCTAGGCACCCAAGAAACACTACAAAGCGAAGCCTCTAGCTATGTAAGAGAAACTTTCATGATAAAACTTACTGTATTTCTAAAGGGATCCCATAGTTTAAAAATACATACATGAAACCACTTTTTTATAGCTAAAAGCAATTCAGACTAAGTTTTCATCCTACAATATCCCAAATAGAGACACAACTCCTTTCAAGTACTGGTAAGAATCCTTCATTATGACTAACAAACTACCAACATTAAATTTTATGTCAATAAATACTTACTTTTCCTTATCTGTTGAGCCAGGCATGGTACTAGTTGTTCCTGACTGAGCATCTGGTTTTGTAAACTGCAAGTTAAACTGAACCTGTGAAGAAGAAAACGCCTCATATAACTGAAGTGGAACAGAGACAGGAGGTTATATTTTCATTCCATTAAATCTAGATCCTAAAAATAGAGGTTTTTGCCTACATTTTACACCACAAGCATATTCTACTGAGACTTCATAGAAAGAATCCTACTTCTTATTAAACAAAATTCCTGTCTAAACACCAACACATTCAAACAAGTATCCACTACCACAATAATGCATTCACCGCATGCATTCTGAGAATTCCCTTTCGAAGAACTTTCAAGACTATAATTTTCTCTTTTAGTTAAGAATGCTAGATCTTTGAGTTTGGATTTTGAAATAAATTTATTTATCTATGCACAATTAAATATCAGCACCTAACATACTTTATTGAAAGCAGCAAGTCTTTTTTGACTAGGAAGGTATAAATGGATCCTATTTTAAAAATCTATAAACACAAATCACTTTACCAGCATATCAAGCAAAATGACTACTTTCATATAAAGAAGGTATGAGAAAATGACTATCCATTTTTAGTACATGTCATAATAAAATAGACCAACATTAGTTTAATACTATAAAATTATAAATTAGGAAGATATATAGCTCTGTACTTGGCTATTAACATTAAGGAAAAATTCTAGTTCTGTATTAAAGTTTACATTATAGCTTTATATACAAATAGATTATAAACAACCAGGCAACTGGGTAGAACAAATTAAAAGCATATTCCCAGACTGAACATACACAGTATAGGACTCAGTCCCTGAGACACAGGAAACTTTCAACAGTTAGCTTTTGAACTGGAGATGTTTTCCTAACTGGTGCAGAAAAATTGCTAGATGGAGATCAATATTACAGTTGAGGGAGATGAGTTACCAATCAGAGGTTTTCTTCTACCAGGATGGGAATAGTGGTAGAGAAATCAGTGTTTCCATGCTGGCCCTTAAGGCCCAGGGGATGGACCACCACACCCAGAGGCTTAAAGCTCCAAGCTGTGACACCTGGGACCTACTGCTGGGAGACTTGTGGCTCTAGTCACTTAGATTGGAGGATTATTGCTCAGGGATTTGAACCACTAGAGACAATGACACTTGGTAGCTATTGTAAATGCTTGGCTTCCAGCAGCAGTGAGCTGCAGCAGCAGGCAGTGCTGCAAGTGTTAGTGGTCCTGAAGAGTCCTGGGGTCTGTGGGACTTTGTTCCTTAAGGCTTGTGACAAGGGCCTGCAGTTTCTCCTCTTCAGACCATAACAGTCTTGGTTGTTTGCACTCCTGTTGCTCTCTGGTACTCCTGAGCCATCCTGTCTCTGCTGTGTTACCTTTACTACTGCCATCACCCTACCATGTCCTCCTCTTGTGACTAAGTCAGCTGGCTATTCTTCTTGAGCTAGACTGGACACACCTTCCTGTGCTGCTGGCTTGGTGTTACAATATAGACTCCCCCAATAAAAGGCTTCTTTCAAGTGGTCTTTCCTTGCCTATTTTTGATCTTTATCATGAGGAGGACATGTGAACAATTTCCAAGATTCAAAAGCAGAGAGACAAATACTTTCGTATGGGGCTGGGAAGGTGGCTCAGTGGTAGAGCGCTTGCCTTGCATGCATGAGGCCCTGGGTTCGATTCCTCAGCACCACATAAGCAACAAGAAAAAAAGCCGGAAATGGTGCTGTGGCTCAAGTGGTAGAGCACTAGCCTTGAGCTGAAGAGCTGAGGGACAGCGCCCAGGCCCAGAGTTCAGGCCCCACAACCGGACCAAAAAAAAAAAAAAAAAAAAAGACTTTCATAAAAAGCCCTTGCAAGGGCATACCTTTGTAACAAGACTGAACTATTCCTTGAGTAGAAAGTACTTTACATATACTCTAGTAAAGCTAAAGAGAAAGAAGAAACCTCATAAGGTAAACCACAAGGTGATCCACAGAGCATGTAACGGGGCTGAACTATTCCTTGAGTAGAAAGTACTTTACATGTACTCTAGTAAAGCTAAAGAGAAAGAACAATCCTCACAAGGTAAAGCACAAGGTGCTACTCTAAATAAAAATAAGAAAATCCAGAAATTAATATTGTACATAATTTATAAACTGTCCAAAACTACTAGAAATGGCAGTAAGTAGGACAATGTAAGTCATACCTGGAAGAAAGGTATGAACAGGGTGAACAGTGTAAGTATAAGGCAAGAGAGAGAAAATGGAAGTATATTATTTTAAGGTTTATGTTATATATAGGAAGTAGTATATTTGAACAGTTTATGGTAAGACCAAAATGTGTTATAAGCCTAAGAAAACACGAAGAAAGTACAATCCAGACACTTGTTTTCTAACAAAATAAAATGCACAATTAATTGGAAAGAAGGCAGGCAAAAACAAAAGTGATAGAGAATAGATGAGACATACAGAAAATAGATAGCAAAATGATATACCTTACTATATACAAAAAACTATTAAGTATTAGAATGCTTGCCTGCCTAGCATGTTCAAGGCCTTGGGTTCTATCCACAATACCACTAAGAAAGAAAAAAAGAAGAAAAATCTATTTTAGAATTTGCTATAAACCTGGGAGACAGACCTTTAAGTTCTGGCAATAAAATCCAAATATCTTACCACGTGTAATACAAGAGTATTACGTTATCAGTAATCCTAGATTTGCAGATTGAAATAGATGAGTGAATAAAAATGGAAGAGAAGAGGAGAAATGAGAAGTTTAGGCAGACTAATACCTAGATTTTTATGAACTGCAGTGACTAAAGAAACGCATCTATTTCTTACAATATTATATACTAGATATTTAGTAGCTTACTCATCTAATACACTACCCATTAATCAGACAATAAATGAACTTTGAAAGGGTAAAAAATATATACTAGGAAGTTTCTACATTCTTCCACAATTTGTTAATTTGGCTACCTTTGGTCCTGAAACTGGGTGGATGGTGTTTTTGGTAGCTATGGGATGAGGAAAGGTATTCTGGAATGCAAATGCAGAGGAGACAGGATAACCAATACCACAGCCAGGATAATTCAGTCTACTATCAACCTAAAAATTCAAACACAAAAATAAGAATGAGACATAATTCTAAATAGCATTTGTTGTTCCATTAGCAAAAACACATGCTAGTAATAGTTAAGAGCAGTATCTCTCAGGGATGGGAAGGCGGCTCAGTGATAGAGCACTTGCCTTGCATGCATGAGGCCCTGGGTTCGATTCCTCAGTACCACATAAGCAGAAAAAAAGAAGCCGGAAGTGGAGCTGTGGCTCAAGTGGTAGAGCGCTAGCCTTGAGCTGAAGAGCTGAGGGACAGCGCCCAGGTCCCGAGTCCAGGCCCATGACCAGACCCCCTCCTCCCCCCCCCCCCCCACACACACAAAGAGCAATATCTCAAAGGTCAATTTACTTACACAGTATCATAAAATTGTCTTTTAACTGTATTTCTTTTTTGTCTTTTCTTTTTTTGGTACTGAGGATTAAACCTAGGACGTTACACTTGCTAGGCAAGTGCTTTGCTTCTGAGTTATATCCCAGCCCTACAAAATTGTTTTGTATCGTATAAGGCTGGGATAACTTGGGTCAAACGAACTATTGAGCTTACGTTAAAACAAAACCACAGAATCATCTTGGTTCACTCTAGCCTGCATTTGCAGGAAAGGTATCAGGAAGAACAAATCATAAATCAATAGCCTTTATTACAGATAAAGCAGAGAATTTTCTATGAGAATGCTTAAAAGCAATTAGTACTCATAACTAAATGAAATGGTAATAAGGTTTCACTAACTTTCAATACAGCAACATCACAATAACCAGACTCATAAAAAGTTGATTTGAAACATGAGTCTTTTCTTTTTTTTTTATCCAAGATTGAACTTGAACTCAATACCTGTGGCGCTTTCACTCATTGGCTAGCTCTCTACCAATTGAACCACGCTTCCAACCCCTTGAAACAGAAATCTTGAGATGTAATTTGCATATACCAGCAGTTGCACAACACATCCTTCACATAGATAGTTATATCAGTCAGTTGAGTCTAGCCATTTTTTTCAAGTTTGTAATTCAGCATCAGGTACTTCTTTTTCTTTTTTTGAGTTTAGCATGTATTACTGCTCACATCGTAACCGGTGGCTCACATCTGTAACCCTAGCTACTCAGAAGGCTGAGATTTGAGGATCACAGTTCCAAGCCAGCCTGGGAAGAAAAGTCCATGAGACTCTTATCACCAGTTAACCACTAGAAGACTCGAAGTGGAGTCGTGGCTAAAGTTGGTAGAGTACTAGCTTTAAGCAAAAATGCTCAGCAACATCACCCAGGCCCTGAGTTCAAGCCCTACAACCAAAGGGGAAAAAATTCAATTAGAAAGTTGAATTTTACCTCTCCAATTCCTGATAGCCAAAAGTATCCATTATTTTTAACAGAAGAACCCAGGACTTCCCTGTGTGTACCAGTAAAATTCCTAGCACCAGCTGATAATAGTACACCATGTCTAGGTATAAGGAGCTGTTCTTGGTTGCTCTTGTGATTGTGGTAGTGAGGAATTGAACTCAGGGCCTCAAACAAGCATTCTACCACTTGAATTGTGCCCTCAAGTCCTTTGGGCCTCATTCTGTTTTCCATTTTGTTTGCCTTCCTGTCTCTGAGTCCCAACTAGCTGGAATTACAGACATATCCTACTTACCACAATCAGCAGGAACTTCCTTTCCTATTTCTCCTATTCCTTGTAAGTAAAAAGCAAACGATCTCGTTATGGAAACTAGAAAGCATCTGTCTTAGTTTCTTTCTGTCTCTAGAGCCAACAGAACATGCTACCAGAGCTTAATTCCCTTCTTTGTAATTTTGCTGATGGATTTCAGCTTACGGCTTTTCCATTATAATTCCAACCTTGAATCTAAACCCTAAATCTTGAAAATCATTTTTAAAAATATTCAATGCTTTTCTATTTTCTTCAGCCTATTTGACGCTACTAGAGTACAAATTTCAACACAATGAAAAATGTTCTAAAGCAGTGTGCCCTTGAAAGGGAGACTTTTTGTTAAAATCAAATATGCCCATGACCCACTACCAAGGGCTTCAGTGCTAAGTAACTGTAGAACTCCAGTTTGTATTAGTATTATTAAGCTTCAAAGCAATCTTTGCTTTCATTATAGAAAATTGACTAGCATCCTTCACATTTTTAGCTTAAATCTTACCACATTCACATTAGGGGAAATTCCACTTCTGATTGTGCTGCTGCTGGCATGTGCAGATGGAGTGGTGGAAGGTCCTGATACATCTGGCTTTCTCACTAGCTGATTTTCATTTAGCTCTTTATTTAACCATGTGATTACTTAAATAAGAGAATAAGAAACAAAGTAAATTTTATTTCACTGCTTTCATTTTTCTAAGCATTTTAAGCATTTTAAACTTATACTTACTTTTTTCCCCTTTGATTTCTGAAATAGAGTCTCACTATGCTAAGTAGCCTAGGCTGGCCTTAACTTTATAATCTTATCTTAGCCTTCCAAGTGGTAGGATTATTCCCTACGTGCCATCTTGGTACTGGGACTTGAAATAAATGATCTGAAGCTCTTATTCATGGCTTTACCATTTCAGCCAAGCCTCTAGTCTAACAGACTAGAGTCTAACAGAGTTTTTTGCCCCAGCTGGCTTCAAACCAAGATCCTCCAGGTCTCAGTTTCCAGAATAGCTAAGATTATAGGGATGAGCCACTAGTGCCTGGTAGTTTTTTAGTCTGGAGTTTTATTTAACTTGGGTTTTAAGTTTTTATACGTTTTCAGTTATAACATAGGTTTGTCTAGACTTTATAATTAAATATTTTTATTTTAGCAAGACACATTACTCTATCACCTCAGAAGAATATATTTCTGCTCTAGAACAATATGTTACAGTTTACCTATCTACAGTTTATCTATTTTTAAGATTATAAGGAAAGTGCCATTTCTTTATTAAATGTTTACAAGTTCTTTTACTGTGAACACAGTCCTAGGACAAGACCCACCAAAGTATGAAACATACTTTTGTGAACAAAATAAGATAATTTGACAACTTTTCTAAGATAATATATCCAGAATGGCTATAGAAGTCATGATTCAACCTTATGTCTGTTATAGTTTAAAGTTTCACATTTGTGTCTAATATTCAGTTACAGGAACTAACAAGATGTTAAAAGTGTAACTTATAAATTGGAGTCAATATTTTCAACACTGTTCATTTTAGATTACTAATGTATGATAATTTCCTTTATAGTGATAAGTCTTAAAGAGCAGATAATATAATTTACTGAACTTAAGACAGCATACTTATTTATACATGAAAATACCTTGATTTACCTAAACTTGTATGAATTCAAATAAGATTTTTAAGTTGAGAATAAACTATAAACCTCATTCTAAAAAATATAACATACTTACATTTTTCATTATTTTTTAAAAGCTGCTTACTTTCTTCAAGTTTTTGAACTGTAGCTTCTAATTGTTCTTGTAATTTGCATACCTGAAATATAGAATCCTCAGAATAAGTCAAAGAAAATAAAGGTTAAAATAAAAACTGAAGGAATGTACTACTACTCCTTGATAAGTGATTACTCCTGTTATTAAATGAAAATTTAAAAGAATTAATGTAATTATTCCCACAATGTAATATTTAAGTGTATGTATATATCATACTCCCATACATATGTCAGTAATCAATGTTAAATCATATTTAACTTTCCAAACCAAAACAGAATTATTACCTCTGTCAAAGGAGTTGTGTTTTATTTTAAAACACTTCATTTAAAAAGGCCAAACCTATTGTCTAATGTAAAAAACTAGAAATTTTAAAAACACATTAAGAATTCTGTTATACTCTATATACAAAATAATCTACACAAAAAACTGAAATATTAACTACCTCTTGCTCTTTAACTCGGAGAGATTGTCCAACATCTTGTAATTCCTTCTGTTCCTTTTGTAATTTTTCCTCCTTCTCAGCCAAGAGTTTTTCTTGCTGAATAGTAACTGTATTCTTCAGTTTCAACTTACCCATTAGAGTTTTCAGATCCCCTTGTAACTTCTTAATAATCTCATTTGCCTATAAAAGAGCTTAACATGTGTATCTCTATGTAATACACTGAAATACTAATATTCTATTAAATTTTTAAACAAACCTTCAGAAGTTCTGTTGACAGTGATTTTATTGTAGCTTCAAGTTTTCCCAGCTGTACCTGATTTTTCTCACCACTTTCTTCTAAGGCCACCTGATTTTTAAAAAGACATGAATAATTTGCATATTTGTGTTTGTTTAGGGAAACAACTTGCAATGTAGTCACTGATTTATTTAGAAAAAAATTTAAGACCTTTTGTTCCTGCATTGTGTCAAATGCCTCTTTTGTTCTTAAAACAAGTTGGTCTTTATCCTTGATTTCCTGCTCTAAAACTGCCACTTTTGTTTGCAGCTGATTAATATGCTTTTCTTTTTCATGGCATTCAGCATCTAGGGTAGAATTCTCTCTTCGCAAAGAGAGAACTTCTTGCTTAGTTCGTTGCAGCTCCTATGAGAAAAAAAGAAAATAGACATTATGAAAAAATTACCCAAGATTGTTCACTTATAATAATTAAGGTATTTAAAATATAAAAAATGTTGGGTAGGAGTGACAGAAATTATTTGCAGTCATGGAACGTTTTGAGTCAGCATTGATTGAAAGCATTCTGCTCTGCTGTTACAGTTCTAGATTTTGCCGAAAAGGCAGGAGGAGATAATCTACACGTATCTGAAAGCAGCTATGGTTTGGTTTTGCTAGTATATCTTTTTTTTTTTTTTTTTGTCAGATGTGAGGCTTTAACTCTGGGCCTGGGCACTGTCCCTGAGCTCTTCAGCTCAAGGCTAGCGCCTTGAGCCACAGCGCCACTTCTGGTTTTCTGGTGGTTAATTGGAGATAAGAGTCCCATGGACTTTCCTGCCCGGGCTGGCTTTGAATCGCAATCCTCAGATTTCAGCCTCCTGAGTAGCTAGGATTGCAGGTGTGAGCCACGGGCACCTGGCACTAGTACATCTCTTATCAGCATCTGAGTGAAAATTGAATGTCTAGGTGTTTCCAATCCTTTAACTTGGAACTTATCCTAGGCTTCTTAAATTTCCTTCAATGAAAGCATCCTGCTCCTACCTTGGGATTCTTCATGGATTTTGCTGAGAAGGCAGCCATTTTAAATAATCGTTCCCAAGGAGTATTGGAAAGAAGTTGCTGATCCATTTTTACCATTTCTCCAAGGATGCTTTTGAAACTACATCATCATCCTTGGCTGAAACCAACCAACCTTTCAAAGCGAAAATCCAAATCCCATAATGAGTAGCACTGCCTCAAAGGTGATGACAAAAAGGAGTATGCAATCCCTAACAATGACCTCGGAAACCCAAGATTGGGGTGATCTTTGTTATTCACCACAACTTTAGGACCTGGTGGACAATGGCTACAACTGGTCAGAAGAAATACCATGGACAAATAATCTGAATCCTGTGTCCTCACAGCACTTGAAAAGTTTCTCTGTGACTGTTGATTCCTGCTTCCAGCTCCATTGCAATGCTGGAGCAGATTGTTCATTATAATGCACACTAATATTGTATTTCAATTGGTCAACACCTCAACAATACTACAGCCACCATGGATTCACTGACCACATCAGACCCTCAAATGATGGATGATCTATCGTTACCTGGTACTGTGGCTTCTGAAATCCACTGGCACAGATGAGGTTCAGAAACCTATTTTACTTTTAAAACTCAAAGATGAATCTTTGAGTTATTTCAAAGATGAATCTTTGAGTTCCCTGAAATAGAAACAAGGCAAGAATGGGAAGGCAGGGGAACTTGAACATCAAATGACCAAGTGAAGCAGGTCTGCAGTTACTGATATATTCTGCAGTGAGTTACTCTTAAAAAAAAAAAAAATTGGGGCTGGGAAGGTGGCTCAGTGGTAGAGCACTTGCCTTGCATGCATGAGGCCCTGGGTTTGATTCCTCAGCACCACATACACAGAAAAAGCTGGAACTTGGGCTGGGAAGGTGGCTCAGTGGTAGAGCGCTTGCCTTGCATGCATGAGGCCCTGGGTTCGATTCCTCAGCACCACATAAGCAAAAAGAAAAAAAAAAAGCCGGAAGTGGTGCTGTGGCCAGGTGGTAGAGTGCTAGCCTTGAGCTGAGGGACAGCACCCAAGCCCAGAGTTCAGGCCACACCAATGGACCCCCCCCCCCCCAAAAAAAAAAGAAAAAGCTGGAAGTGGGTGCTATGGCTCAAGTGGTAGAGTGCTAGCCTTGAGCTGAAGAGCTCACAACAGTGCTCAGGCCCAGAGTTCATGCTCCACGACCAGCAAAAAAAATAAAAATAAAATTAAAAAAAGAAAAAGGGAAAAATTAAAGGGAGTAAATTTATGACTAAGTTAAAAAAAATAAGTTGAAGAATATGAGGGAAGAAATTCTCCCCCCCCCAGAGCCCTGAAAGATCTTTTTTATTCTTTAGATTGCTACAAAAACAGTGTACAAAATCAAACTCAAATACCTTTTTTTTAGTTTAAAAGGAATTTAATAAGTTTGTGGGAGAATGTTCTTTTATTCTGAAATTATATTCTATTCTCTCTATATCTTCATTTTATAAGGTTTTCTTAATATTTATTTTTCTATTATTATAGAGGTGGTGTACAAAAGGGTTACAGTTATGTAAGTAATGAGTAACATTTCTTTTTGGATGTCACCCCTTCCTGGCTCCCTCCCAGTTTTTCCTTCCTATGCCCACCCACAAGTTATACAGTTCATTTTCAACATAGTGTCTAGTGAGCATTACCGCTGCATTTGTTCACCCTTTGTCCCTCCAGTTCTGTTACCACCTCCTTTCCCTCCCAAAGACAGATAAACAAGCGAAACAAAAAGAAGACAAAACAACAAAGAAAATGGCGGGGGGGGGGGGGGGGGCAGGGGTGTCCGGTCCTGGGCCTGAACTCTGGGCCTGGGCACTGTCCCTTAGCTCTTCAGCTCAAGGCTAGCGCTCTACCACTTGAGCCACAGCACCCACTTCCAGCTTTTTCTGTGTATGTGGTGCTGAGGAATCGAACCCAGGGCCTCACACATGCAAGGCAAGCACTCTACCACTGAGCCACCTTCCCAGCCCCAGCAGGAAAGTTCTTATCTCCAAACAACCATCAAAAATTTTCTAGTGAAGCTGTGGCTCAAGTAGTAGAGTGCTAGCCTAGAGGACAAAAGCTCAGACTCAGTTCAAGTCCCTAGATGCCACTCCCCACTCCCTACAGAAGGAGAAAGTAAATAAGAATTAAAATTGTTAAATACCCTCAAAGCTAGGGTTGATGGCCCACAGCCACAGTCTGAGACAGAAGACTGCTAATTCAACGCCAGCCTGGGTGGCATAAAACCAGACCAAGTCTCAAAAAAAAAAACCAGTCTTTACTAATCATAAGTACCTAAGACAGACATTTTTTAAAAGACATAAAGGTCTTTCTAACGGTATATGTAAATTATAAATTTGGATTGCAATGATAAAACATATTACTAATTAATCACACCAAGTGAAACAATCTTGATTTATGAATGAATTACAACTAAATTTATAAAAATAATTTTCTATCTTCCTAAATGAGTCTAAGAGTAGCCAAGATCTATAGTTGAGATTTTTCTGACCTTATATGTACAAATTTTTTTTCTCAAAAAATGTCTTAAAACTGCTCAGTTTGTCTGACCAGACTGGGCTACCTAGCAAGACCATGTTTCAAAAACAACATAAAACATACTATATAAATGATTTTATTTACTCTTCACAAAAGTCCTTATATAAATTGCCTAGTCCTTATATAATTGCATATAGTAATAGAATAGACCTATTTTCAGACAGCGTCTCACATATCTGTCTGAGTCTACCAGTTTACTTCATTCATCCCACTATACCTCCACAGAGCTGAGATTACAAGACAGCACTATCGTGCCTGGCTTTCAGATAGGGCCTCCTCAAGCTTTTTTTTGCCCAGAATGGTCTCTAGCCTAATCTTCCTAACTTCACCTTCCAAGTAGTTGGGATTGTGAACCACTAGGCCCAGCCAACCTTTCTTCTTAAATATAATACGTTTTAAAAAAAACCTACAAGCCAGACACAGAGGTACACACCTAATAGTTCCAGCTACTGCCTAAGACAGAGATCAGGAATTTGAGGTCAATCTGGATAACAAAGAACTAAATCAAAAATCTACAATTATCTTTACGTGGTTAATAGGATAACGTCTAAGAGCTGCTACCGTGACACATGTCTATAATTCCAACACTTTGGAGGTGGTCAAAGCAGGGGGAGTCACAAGGTTGAGAACAGCCTGGTCTACCTTGGAGACTGTCTCCACAAGCCCAAATAAATAATAACAGGACACTAATGCTAGATAGGAAACTGTTATCAACGTCAGAGCATCGCCACGTGCTGTGCCACAGCAAGGGTGTTATGCTTCTTTGATGCATTAGGGCATAGCACAGTGTACAGTACTTGCCCAGCACATGCTACCACGATTGGGGAACCTTTTCTCTGCCAAGGTCATTGGATATTTATAATGTCACTCAAATCCATACAAAATGATTGATATAGGCAAACAGGCCGCAGACAGCCAACGAGAGCCAAAGAAGAGCCAAGTAAAAGCACAGGGTCAGAACTGTCATGTACCAAATGGTTTATGGGCTGTATAAATACTGCCAAGATACTGCCAAGCTCCTTCTGCAGCCCGCTACATCCTGGGGTAAACCCCAGTTTCGCAAAAACAAATGAATGGAAGTACAACTTTTTCTGGTGCTTCAAAGAACAACGACAGGCAAATAAAAGATGGGTTCCAATCTGCAAGCTTCTAATTACTGCCTATGTGACCTTAGGCAAATTAATCTTTCTGCATCTTAGTGGCATCATCTGTAATGAGAGGTAACAATACCTACCTTAAAGCATTGTTACAAGAATGGAATTAATCTATATAAGTACTTATACAATGCCTACCACATAGCAAAGGCTCAGCAAATACTATCTATTATTATCTAGTAGCAACACTATTTTACCAAACACTAGTTTGGTATGCTGTATAGACTGAAAGAGATAATTACTAACAGAGTACCTTCTGAGATACAAGCTATAACACTGGATTAATAGTAAAAATACACTAAAACCCTGAGATTTGTGTCCATAAACTACTCAAGAGCCTAATTAAAAATGTTCAGTTTGCCAATCATAATCTTCATTTTCTTTGCAATTTCTGAAATGATTATTCTATTAGCACAAGAGATCTCTGCAGAGTATTCAGAAGACCACCCACATGCGTAATCAAACAAACAAATTTAAATAAAGTAACCAAACTAAAACATCCTTTCCAAATTAGGATAGCAAGAAAAGTCAATATTTAATACCTCTTCAACAGCAGAAAGCTTTGCTTTAAGTTCTCTAACAGTAGAGTCTCCTTTATATTTCCTTTCAGTTAACTCTTTATTAGCTGCTTCTAAGTCAGATAATCTGTTCTGTAGCTGGTGGACGTTTTGTTGATGGAGGATTTCTAAATCTTTTTTCTGCTGTTCATGCTGCTGTTGATATTGAACCTGTGCCTGTTATAGAAAAGTCAAAAACAAATAGGAAATATCAGAGAAAAAAAATGACAATTTCTTCTTTATCATTTATAGATGTTCCTGTTTTCAAAAGATCTATTTACAATTATAGATTTATGAAGGAGAAAAGAAGAAAACTAAAAGTAAACTAAACACCATGATCCACTTCTCTTAAACTCACATGTAATGGTCTTCAAGTTAAGGGAATGCTATAACAGAAGAATATACAATTAAAAACAGAAAAGCCTAAGCAAAACACAGTATATTTAGTATGAACTATTTGTGTCTAAAAAAAAAGAACAAATATTTAAAACTTTAAGTTTTGCTGAAACACTATAATGTTTCTGTTTTTAACAGTGCAGGCCCATGCGTGCACACATACACACAAACACACACACACACATATATGCATACAAACAAATATGTGTTTAAGGTTCAGGCTTATTCTAAATAGTGTACTGAAGATAAGAGTCTTTTCTGCCTAGGCTGGCTTCAAACTAAGTAGCTAGGATTATAGGTGGGGGCCATAAGATTCTATCTTTGAGTAGTAAGACTTTGGAAAACAAACTTTTAACTTTTAGTTTACATAATTCCCTATGTTTGAAAATGTTACAATTTGTATTTACTCCTCTTCTGGCTAATAAAGTGACCAAGAGCAATAAAAAAAATGCTTTTCCAGTTACCTTTAACTAAGTTGGCTTACCTGTAAGGCTTTTTCCTTCTCATTCGTCAGTTCCTGAGAATGCTTATTTGTCAATGACGCCGTGTGTGAGGCCCATTCATTCCGTAACTTCTCTAATTCTTGTATTTTTTCTGACAATGTCTAGAGTTCAGTACAGGATATTAAGATCATCTCCTGAGTACGTTACACTTCTGATTAGAACACAGCAATACTTCCAAGGATATTAAAGAAAATGAAATTATACAGCTTTTCAATTCATACCCAAATCCTTTGTCTGTACAATTTTTTTTATTTGAGGCAATCAAGATCTGAATATAAACAATTTTTGAGCTAAAACAGATAAGCTTAAACTACCTTTTCTTTGTGTGTATGCTGATCCTGAGACTTGACCTCAGAGCGTGAGCACTCTCACTCTACTACTTGAGCCACAGTGCCATTTCCAGCTTTTTCTGAGTAGTTTTTGGAGATAAACTTTCCTGCCTGGGCTGGCTTTGATCATGATCCTCAGATCTAAACCACCTGAGTAGCTAGGATTACAGGCCTGAGCCACTGGTGCCCAATAGATGGGAACTTTTATAAGAAGTGAAAAGCCATTTTAAGCCAGAGGAATGAGATGAATAAAAGAAAAAAATGAGAAAGAATGTTAATGTTACTTAATAAAAGATTTAGAGAAAATGTGTCATAAATTGAGAAAATGTTTGCATGAAATTAAACATCTAAAAGAGAGCATCAGACTAAGAGTTAACTGGTAGATGGCAAAAAGATGAGGAAATTTAATGGTAGCATAGTTTGAAAGAAAATACGTAAATGCTTAGATTTAATTCAAGAAGCAATTCAGAACCAGGGTCTGGATGACTTACAAAAACAAAATGAACTATCAATTACCTTTTGTGTTGAGTTCAGTTGCCTAGTAACATCGTCTAATGATTGTGCCAATGATAATTTTTCTTCCTATTTATAGAAACAATAAGATTATGGAGTTTACAATTTAATTCAACCATCAGTAGCCAAGCTACTCAAAGTGCAGCAAAATAAAGTATCAGTATCATTCTAAAAGCTTGCAGTATCTCAGAGCTTTCAAATCAGAAGTTGCATTTTAGCAAAATTGTCAGATGGTCTATGCACCATTACCATTTCAGATGCACTTATATATAGAATTTAATGACAATATAACCCAAAGGTTCAAGTGGCAATACCATGTTTCCTGTGTCATAATCTAATGTAGATATCTAACATATTTTCAGATGGACGGTATAGGGTAAATATTCCCAAATGATGAAATTATGGTGTAAGAGCTTAGTGCCTAAGGTCATAGAAATTAGAAAAAAGCTGGAATCTAAGTTTCTTAATTGCCAGTCCAGTTCTACACTTCTACATTAACTAAATGAAAAGTAATACAGCATTTTTATATAAGAAATAATGCCAATGTAACTCTTCAATGATGTATTAAAGTATTCTGATAACAAGTTTAAAAGAACAGCTTAAATTTAAAATCTTACCTTGCTACATTTCAAACAGCATGCTAGAAACTTCTTTATCTCTACATCATTTCCAGGTAAGAGTTTTAGTGACAGGTGTGTAAGATGTTTAAAAGGATTTGTCTCTACCACATTTAAAAATACAGCTGAGTTATCCAAAATAGCTGCTGGAGAAACTAACTGCAGCAAAAACCTTTGAAAAGAAGTCACATGGTAATAAACTCAGGATGGTCAAACTCTGCTTTTAAATCATGAGCTCCTCTATTTGGAAAGACCATTAGAGGGAGTAAACAGAATTTATAGAGGTTAATATGAAAGGATTCCCCTGGTGAAGAACAAGACAAATCAGTGATGGGGAATTGAAACAAAGTATATATTTAAAACTCTTGAGTTCAGCAAGACAGAAAACAGTAAAAAACAAAAACAAAAATGCATTACTACAATAGTGACAAGAATACCAGCCCCTTATTCTGAAACTTAGCAAATTATATAAATTAAACATTTATCCTTTTCTGCATGATCTTTAAGAGAAAACAAATAATTTGAATTGATGATGGATTTTTTAATAAAAGAATTACATTTAATAAACCTAAAAAAATGACATATTTAGAAAAACCTCTGGTGAAATATCTGTTTCATATAACAATCATCAGTTGATGGTAAACTTTTCTGGTTTTTAAAAATTATTTTTGTTTTGGTTGGTTGGTTGTTTTCAAGTGCTAAGGATAGAACCCAGGGCCTTTCACATGCCAAGCAAGATTTCTATCTTGATGGTCACCTTTACAAGGATCAAGCCTTAACACCACATGAATATGAATATCTATATACAAGAATAATCTTATTCTCTTCTTCCAGGATCATTATAAAAACAAATACTGTAAGGTATTTCAAATAACTTTAATGGCTATGTCAAAACAAAAATAAAGGAGCAAATATTTTTTTCCTTTTTTTTTTTCTATACTGAACACAGGATCTTGTGCTCGCTAGACAAGTGCTATACACTTGAGCTACACTTCATTATTTTACCATTCTGATTTTAATCAAGACTTCCTAAAAACATGAGATTTAAAAGAGCCTTTATTGCAGTTTTGAATGTAAATAGGTACTTATTACATGGAAAATATCATCCCATCAACTTGTCTTTCAAAGAGGGTCTATCTTGGAAAAAGTTTAATAATGTCCCACCCTCATGGCACATACCTTGGAATTTCTTTGGCATGTTCTTGAGTACATTGTTGAAGAAGATCTATAAACTTTTGTGGGAAAGCTAAGAAGTCTACCAGAAGACCTTGTTGGAATTTTAAACTAACAAAAACAAAAACAAAAATTTGTTTTAGAAATTGAATTACTATCTTACAAAGGTTCTATAGTTCCTGAACATCCTTCATTTATGAAAACTATATTATGTTTATAGAGTTTATTCAATAGGAGAAAATACATCAAGAAATGTAGCTATTAATTTCAAACTTCTGCACTGTTTTAATAGAAATCTAATAGTCTATGAAATATTTTTCAGGGACATCCTAAATAACTATAGAACAAATTGTCCATTACTCCCAGAATAAGTTAATAGGCATGATTTAAATAAATAGTACATGGCTAGAAAATGTACATCAAAAAAAGTACCAATACATTCATAAAATTTAAGAAACGCTCCTCAGATTAAGTATAAGACCAGCCCTGCCCCCGCCATGTTTAGTTACCTTTGAAAATCATCTTCAGATATAACAAGATTATAAAGGAAAAATGGATCTGTATCATCAGTCAGTCGAATAACTAAATCCTAAAAGAAAGGGTTTTTTTTTAAGTATTTTCAGATTTCCTTCTTGAAAAATATCCCAATAACATCAAACATCACAGCTGTACTCCACTACAGCTTTTTCTCTGGTCTGTTTATTAGTCTTTAGAGACTTGAAATCTTAGAGAAAGATACTCTGTGACAACCATAAGGAATTTATAGAAATTAATTAAAAGCTATGAAAGAGTTCAAAGTTTAGGAATATTCTATCAGAAGTCCTGGGTTATTTAGACCATCCCAAATATTCCTTACCACAGAACAATTATATTTTCAGTCTCCCTTCAATTAACTAGTCTGGCATTTCAAAGCAGGAAATTCAGCAAAGCTGACAACTATCCACCTAACAAAAGAGGGAGCTTTTGTCTGAGGCAAAAGAGGATCAGGTGACAGGTTGCCAGGGCTTCCCATAAGGGCATATGCTCTCCTACTCCAGGTGGTTACTGATAGACAGACCCATCTGTTTTCATTTTTTGATGATGCTGGTTCCTTTAATAAAGACCACTCTCCAGGTTGCTAATTTTACAGTGTGACAGATCATCACAGCAGCTAAAAAGCCAACAGAAAAGTGCACTGAAATTATAAACTTCAGAGACCACTACTACAAGGAAAACTGGGCTTAGGAGAACTAATAAAACTAAATATTCAGAGCTGGGAAGGTGGTTCAGTGGTAGAGTGCTTGTCTTGCATGGATGAAGCCCTGGGTTCGATTCCTCAGCACCACATAAGCAGAAAAAGCCAGAAGTGGCGCGGTAGCTCAAATGGTAGAGTGGTAGCCTTGAGCCAAAGAACTGAGGGACAGCACCCAGGCCCAGAGTTCAGGCCCTATGACTGACAAAACAATAAACAAAAACAACAATAACAAAAACACACAAAAACCCCACTAAGTATTCAGATTAAGAACAAGTTTGAAATAAAATCTACTCAGAACTACTAAGGAACTAGAAAAGTGTAAGCCATTTATTAGTAGAGCTAGAAAATGAACCAAAATAAGAATGCAGTATATACTCTCCACCCCACAAAAAAAAAAAAAAAAAGCAATTTGGGTATTGGCTGGGTCTCAGAATACCATACTCTTAAGTAGCGTCTATGTAGGCACTTCTTGAAATTCACTTTAAGATGCTATTAAAAAAAAAAAAAATGAAACTCCTCGTGCAATCTACACACACTTTACTAAAATAAAAATTGGATGATAAAAAAGTGAAACAGGTGTGTTGGGGCGGGTATCAGCCAGAGGGGGTGGGAGAACAGAAGGTGAATCAGGATGAACATGACGGAAGAAGTAGAGGGCAGTAAAAAGGAAAGGAATAGAATCTCTACCATGCACAGCTAACTAGTGTAAGCCAACTTAAAAAAAACACCAAGAACACTTAAACGAACAAACATTTAACTCTCTGGTCTCTACCCTCTGCTCAATGATACATACTTTTGAAAGACACACGGAACTGATGCTCTAAAAAGTTAAGTAAAAGATTCAAATATATTTCCCCAGAGTACTTTATTGTTTTCTCCCATTCATATCATGAAATGCCAATTCTTCAAAGTATCCATACAGACTCTAGCAACTTCTACAGGCTCTGAGTAAACCTAGGGAGACTATAATTCTAATTGTTCATTCTTCTTATATGATTTAGAAATATTTGGTGTAATTATTTTTAGCTGTCCCAGTAGATTTTTACCATCCTATACCACAACAATTACAAAATAATACTAGAAAACAAGGTGAATGTAAACAAAATTTCTTAAGAAAAATAATATCTATAGAAATGATCATATTTTAAAAAAGGAAATACCAACCTTTCTATGAACTGGATTAGAAACTGATTGCAGCTCAATGCTCACTCTCACACTCATTCTCCTAGATAAAAAAACATGTCCAAGTCTCAGAAACAAAAATTTCAGCCTTATTAAGCCACATTCTCTAACAACAATAGATTTTTAGAAAGCACATAGATTTGAAGTTCAAGCTGTTCTAGCAAATAACCTTGTAGTTTTTAACAGAAGACTAAACTTTTCTTACGTATAAAATAGGGAGGTTATGAGAATTAAATAAGATAAACAGTTGGAGGAAATGCTTTGTATTATTGTAGTATATGTTACTGCCCTGATTCTAAAATCGTATCCACTGAAAGACAAACCATCAATTTACATTACTTTTTTTTACATTAAAAAAATTTACATTTTGGGGCTGGGAATGTGGCTTAGTGGTTGAGTGCTTCCCTAGCATGCATGAAGCGCTAGGTTCGATTCCTCAGTACCACATAAACAGAAAAAGCAGGAAGTATAACTATGGCTCAAGTGGTACAGTGCTAGCCTTGAGCAAAAGAAACTCAGGGCAGTAACCAGGCCCTGAGTTTAAGCCCAGGACTGGCAAAAAATAAATAAATTTACATTTCAAATGATCAAATTGACTTAATTAAAGATTCCATTCTAAAAATGTTATTTTATTTTATTTATTTTGTTGTTGTTGTTGGCTGTAGGGCCTGAACTCCTGGCCTGGGCGCTGTCCCGCAGCTCTTCAGCTCAAGGCTAGCAATCTATCACTTGAGCCACAGTGCCACTTCCGACTTTTTCTGCTTATGTGCTGCTGAGGAATTGAACCCAGGGCCTCATGCATGCAAGGCAAGCACTCTACCACTGAGCCACCTTCCCAGCCCATCCATTCCAAAATTTTTACATGTGAATATTAGAACATTTAAGCTATACAGAATCAAGAAAATAACAATCTCTACTCTTTTATATACTTTCTTTCAGATCTAAAAGCTAAATCTGCTTGATATATTTTCTATGCAAGAAAACTGTCAGCAAATGTATTATTACCTATCTTATCCTAGATTAGGTCTGAAATGACACAACCAGAATATTTCATATTATATCTTACAGAGAATCCAATACTGAACACACACACACACACACACACACACAAATTAACCATAAACATTAATCAAGTTGTAGGAAGATGTTTAAATTTTTAAAAAAAGGAAAATTCGGGGCTGGGAAGTTGGCTCAGTGGTAGAGCGCTTGCCTTGCATGCCTGAGGCCCTGGGTTTGATTCCTCAGCACCACATAAGCAAAAAGAAAAAAGCCGAAAGTGGCACTGTGGCTCAAGTGGTAGAGCGCTAGCCTTGAGCTGAAGAGCTGAGGGACAGTGCTCAGGCCCAGAGTTCAGGCCCCACAACCGGACCAAAAATAAATAAATAATAATAAATAAATAAATAAAAATTAAAAAAGGAAAATTTAATTTAAAAACATTAACAATGAGTGGTTCTCAAATTCTTCTGCTAGGTTCAATAATAATGGTTTCTTATGACATACAGGGGAAGAAATTCAAGCTTGTTCATTTTTTAAGTTATTCTTCTAAAGATTTGACTTTTAACATTTCCATATTCTACTCCTTCTGTTCACAGCAATAAAATCTAGACTGACAAAGGAGTAACTTGGAAACAACTGACCAAGATTCAAACTGCATCAATCTTTTTTAAAGTTTAGACTTGTGATTATATTATTTTAAAATGTTTACAGGTGACAATATTGTCAGACACCTTGTATTCACATACTGTTTTGTAGACTGGGAACCTCTTTGTACAACTAAAGATAATAATAAATGTTAAAAAAATGACAAAAGGTTGAGAGAACATGATGTATATTACTTATACTTATAGGATTAAGTTCAGTCCAAATATCAACTCCAACTAAAGGGATGTCAATATCTAATGCTGCAAAAATGGAACTTGCTTCATTGGTGATGAGAAACACATCCTGTAACACCAGTGAGGTATTACCTTGCCGAAACAAATAATGGTTATTGTCTACATACAGTAAAAGTTTTATATAAAAAATAAATAAAATGTGTCATTTAGTTAAATTTCTTATTGAACATAGAATTGGGTGTACAATGTTAGTTGACAGGAGACAGATAAACATTCCACAACTTGAATCTATTACCTGAAAAAGAAGAGCAGCATTAGTCTACACCACAAAGACAGGAAAGGTTTTCTGTCTCTGTTTTATGGCACAGGGGATGAAACCCAAGGTTTCATTCATACTAGGCAAAGGCTCTCCCACTGAATTATACCCCCAGTCCATGAAGAATTACTTTTAAAACAATGTATTATTTCTTTTCTTTTCTTGGTATCTGAAAAACTGTACATGAAACAGATTAGAATAATACTCCAATTCCACTTAAGCTTTCTTTGGGGAAAAAAAACAAACCACCACCACCTTAACTTCCTAATTTGTAGAAACGAATAAATTCAATTTGATGGCTTGTGCAGATCTTTTTTGCTCTACACTGTTTTGTTTTAGTGCTGTTTTTAACATGAATCACCATAGTGGCATGATACTGTACTTGACATCTAGTTTTTGTTTTGTTTTTTTTTTTCATTTTATTTTATTTTTTTTTGTGAACATACTATACAGAGGGGTTACAATTACATGGGCAGGATAATGCGTACATTTCTTATCAAGCATTGCAGCCTCCTCCTGACACCTAGTTTTTTATGCTTCACAGTTTTGGAGTCCTTCCATACTTCAAAAATTTGTTTAAAAAATTCAATCTGGTTACATAAATCTGAAAGTTATATTGCTATAACCATCAACCAATCATACTGCATATATTTGAAATGCCTAATATATTAGATGTGAGGGAGAAAATTAAAATTAAGCTTAAAAATCAAATATGTTCCACATGTCTAGTCCAAAATACTCCCCCCGAAATTTGTAGAAAAATCTGAGCTTCCAGGGAATATACTATCTTCAACTACAAATCTTATTTGCTCCATTATAAAGGTTCATGACATAATAAAGCAATATAAAGAAATAAAATCCCTAATAAAAATACTACTTCTCATTTCAGTAAGCATACCACTTTGAACACTACATAAATCTGCATAATATCCACTGGGACAGTTAGATTTGGATAGATGTTGTTTTAAACAAAGAACATCTTTACCACCCATCATTAGCAGAACTAGATTCAAGCCTGCTGCTGTCACCCAGTAGCTGAGACAAATAAAAGCTACTCTAAGGCAGGTACTATGTGGGTGCTAGGGATACAAACACAAACAAACATGGTCCAGATGAGGTTAGATTAAATGACTTTTCCCTAGATATGCTTCTGATTTTATTTCAGGGATTCAAGAGAGGGAAAGGAAGGGTTATTAATGCCTACTGAGAGCCTGTGATACCTGTATTTCACCTTAGCTAACAACAATCATCTTGAGTAAATATTATCACTCTTAACAGATGAGGAACCTGAGGCACATATTAGAAATCAAATTTCTTGCCTATATCATGCTAGCTAATAAATGGATAGAGGTAATTTCAAATTAGGCAACTTTGAAAGATCCTTATAGTGAAGGGATTTAAGATATACCTTGAAGTTATGAAAGAAAAAGTAATGCCTTATGCATTGTTCTGTGTGAATTAACTCCTGTCAACCCCAATAATTCTATGTAATAGGTAGTTATTATAAATTAAAATAATTTTTAAAAGATGTAAAAAAGTTTTTAAAAAATTGGGGCTGGGAAGGTGGCTCAGTGGTAGAGCGCTTGCCTTGCATGCTCGAGGCCCTGGGTTCGATTCCTCAGCACCACATAAGCAAAAAGAAAAAAGCCGGAAGTGGCGCTGCGGCTTAAAGTGGTAGAGCACTAGCCTTGAGCTGAAGAGCTGAGGGACAGCGCCCAGGCCCAGAGTTCAGGCCCCACGACCGGACCCAAAAAAAAAAAAAAAAGTTTTTAAAAAATCATATAAGCAGGGTTAGGTGGTTTACGTGAATAGTAGAGTATGTGCTTAATGTGTGCAACCCCCAACACCAACCTTCTGCCCCTCCAAAAAAAGTAAATAATAAACAAATGGTATAAGATGGACAACTAAGTAACAGTTTGAAATGAGATTTAAACCAAAACAATCTAGTTCCAGAACTTGAACTCTTAATTTGTACCATGCTGCTTCTCCAGGGGAAATTTTATTTTATTTTATTTTTTTGGTTGTGGGGCTTGAACTCAGGGTCTGGGTGCTGTCTCTGAGCTTTTTCCCTCAAAGCTAGCACTTTACCACTCTGAGACACAGCACCACTTCCTGTTTTCTGGTGGTTAACTGGAGGTAAGAGTCCCTGGACTTCTGCAAGTCTGACTCTGAACTGTGATCCTCAGATCTCAACCTCCTGAGTAGCTAGGATTACAGGTGTGAGCCCTAGCACCCGGTTCCAGGGGAAATGTTTTTCTTTCCTCAATTAAAATGTGAGTCCCATGATAAGCACAATGGTTATGGGTTAGTCTGTCTGGTATGGAGTTGGGTACAGAAGGGAAATTCATCTCCTGAGCACCACGGACAGCTCCTGGCACATAGTAGGCATTTGCAAGTATTTGTTGGGCTGAACAGGCCTCGAACACTTACTAAAGAGTTTAGAAGCAGGGTGCTGGTGGCTTATGCCTGTAATCCTAGCTACTCAGGAGGCTGAGATCTGAGGATCTCGGTTCAAAGCCAGCCCAGGCAGGAAAGTCCATGAAATTCTTATCTCCAATAAACCACCAGACAACCGGAAGTGGCACTGTTGCTCAAGTGGTAGAGTGCTAGCCTTTGAGCTGAAGAGCTGAGGGACAGCGTTCAGACAGAGTTCAAGCCCCATGACTGACAAAAAAAAAAAAAGAGTTTAGGTTATTCTTTCTATATGTCAGGGGGGTCAGCAAATTGTTCTACTGTAAAGGACGACAGAGTAAGTCGTTTAGGCTTTTTTGGCTAACACGTCTCTTTCACACTTTCTCTGTCTCTCTCTTCAGTGTTGAAGAGAGTGCCATACTATGGAGACAATGAGCTACATCTTGACCTTTATGCCCTCAAAAAACAGTATAGTATAATTATTCAATTCTGCAAAAACAGCCAAACAATTTGGTAATAAAACTTCATCTACAAATAGTGGGCCATCTGGCCTTAAGGGCTCTGCTGAGCCCTGCTATAGGTGAAGAAATACAAGTATCTGAAAGGTATGAAAGAATAAAAAGAAGGCAGGGTGCAAGTGCCGATAGTTCATACCTGTGATCCTAGCTACTCAAGAGGCTGAGATCAAAGGATCAAGCTTTGAAGTTCTCAGGGCAGGAAAAGTCTGTGACACTCATCTCTAATTCACCAAAAAGCCAGAAGTGGAGCTGTGGCTCAAGTGGTAAAGTGCCAGCCCTGAGTGAAAAAGGCTAAGGGCCCAGAATTTGAACTTTACAATTTGTGGGCAAGGATGGAAGGGAGAGAGTGAAGGCAGGGGTGACATCCATCATCCAAAAGGAAATGTACTCATCACCTCACTTATGAAACGGTAACCCTCTGTACATCACCTTTATAATAACAATAAAAAATTAGAAGTTAATAAATTAATTTTAGTTATACATCCTATTTAACGTAATAGACCCAAAATCTTGCCATTTTAATGTATAACCAACATAAAACTTATTGAGATTTTACACTTTTATTTCATAGAATATCTTTAAAATCAGTGTTAATTTTATTTTGCACTTATAGCAACCCAATCTGGATTAGCGCCCCCCGTCAAATGTTCAATAGCATATGTGGTTAGTGCTACCACAATGAATGGCATGTAGGAGCAGAAGAAACCGCAGAGGTGGAACTCAACATATGCAAAGCCCTGGTCTGGGTCCCCCAAACGAAAACAAAAACAAACAACAACAACACAAAGCCAACTACTTAAACTAACCCACAAATCTATATCCATGGGAGTCAAGTTCAGGGATCACATATTATAGTTTACTGACAACTCAGTAAATCAATTTTGTTATGCGACTTTCCTACACCTGTGAGTTTTACTCTTTGTCTTTGACATACTGGGGTTTGAAGTCAAGACCACTGGCTTAGACGTCACTCTGCCACTAAAGCCATTGGGGCCAGGCTACACAATTTGTCTTTTATTGTATGTATTTTCACACTTGATCCTAATGACAACTACGTTATGTCAACTGTACACAAGAAGGAACACAGACGCTAAGAGACGGCGAGTGCATGGTCGAACTGGGGGCGGCTGTACAAACGGATCACCTGCTTTAACACCAATCCTACTTAAGCTCTAGTATTACCACGAAAACCATCACATCCCCAAAGTAAGTGTCCAACGGCGAGTGTTTACGAGCGGACAGTATTGCACCAACGAAATTCCTGTCAACTGTGGCCACGGTGGCGCCAAGGGGGCTCAGGCTTGCGCTCCCGAGGCTGGCACCGGAGGATCGCGGTTCGATGCCAGCCCGGGCAAGAAAGTGGTTGAGACTGATTGCCAAAGGACCACACCAAAAAGCCGGAAGCGGAGCTGTGGCTCAGGCGATCGAGCGCCAGGCTTGAGCACAGCAGCTCAGGGGCAGCGAGCAGGCTCTGAGTTCAAGCTCCAGGGCCTTCATTACTAGTGATGATGATGATTAATAATAATAATAATTAATAATAATAATATCAAGAAGTGAGGCTGGGTCACCGAGGCTGCCCATTTCCCCTCCCAGCGTCCCCCCTGCAGCGGCCGGTCGGTGCCAGCGGCGGCCACCCGGGCCCTGCCAGTGCCCCGGCCCCGGCCCCGGCCCCGGCCCCGGCCCCGCCCCACGGTCCCCAGCCGCCATCTTCACCGCCGGCGCGACCCCAACCGCCAGCCGCGCGCGGGCAGCGAGCGCCGCGGACCTCACCTCTCCTCGCAGTCTTTGCATTTCACCTGCAAGGGGACGATTTGCTGGAACAGAACTTGGCTCATCGTAGACCTCGGCCGGTCCACAGGCCTAGGCCTCCAAACGCGCCGAGGAGACGTCCGGCTGCGGACAGAGTTTGAGTTTGGCGCTTAGCTCCGCGGAGAAGGAGGAGCGAGAAACGGGGCGGGGAGGGGGGGGGGGGGACGACGAAGGAAGTTTGGACCTCGCAGCCACCATCAGTCACTTCCGGTTTTTGCGACGGAGGGCGGGTTGGGGGTTCGAATGGGTGAGCCGTTTCCGAGCATCGAGCGACGCGTTGGGACGCGGTGCCGCCATCTTTGTTGAGGGAAAAGTGTCCGATGGAGACCGGCATGCGCCATCTTTGTGAAGGGACGAGAACTCCCCAGGACACAGACAACTTTTTTTTTTTTTGCGCCGGCCGCCGGATGCTGACCGTCCCGGGCGTGGCGGGACGTGGATGATGGCGGCCTCTCCGCCGACTCCGTGCGCTGCGGGGTTTCCAGCCGAGGGGAGATGCGGGTACTACGTGGAAAAGAAGAAGCGGTTCTGCAGGATGGTGGCGGCCGCGGGGAAGAGGTTCTGCGGCGAGCACGCCGGCGCCGCGGAGGTGCGGCGGGAGGGGGGAGGGAGGGAGGGAGGGGGGAGGGAGGGGGGGAGGGAGGGAGGGGGAAGGGAGGGGGGAGGGAGGGGGAGAGAGAGGGAGGGGGGAGGGAGGGAGAGGGAGGGGGGAGGGAGGGGGAGAGAGAGGGAGGGGGAGGGAGGGGGGAGGGAGGGGGGGGAGGGAGGGAGAGGGAGGGGGGGATGAGTGAGGGAGTGAGAGCAGGGCGGGAGTGAATGAATGAATGAATCTCCTGGTAAGGAGAGTTGAGGATGAATGAATGATTCTCCCGGTGGTGAGCCGAGAGCAGGAATGAATGAATGAATGAATGAATGACTCTCCTGGTGGTCTAGGCAAGCCAGAAAGAAACCTAAATTATTTAGACTTAAAATTTCCAGGGAAACAAACCCAGGATGGTTGTTAGCAGGGATGGGGAAGGAGAGATTCGAACATACAACGATTGGCCTTTTAAAATGGAGAGCTCCTCTGATCATAGAAAATAGTATCTGTGGAAATGAAAAATCAGTATAATTGAAAACCAACTGCAGTCTTGTTCGTTAATGCATGTATATACACATATAACATATATATACATATATATGTATATAACCTATAACTATGGTCAGCCAATCCATTTGTGTCTCCGCATATTAACTGAGAATGTATGGGCTAGGAAAATAGAAACAGGGACAGGAGGATGCTGAGAGGAAAAGAACATGTCCAACAGAATTAGAAAAATAAACCAAATTGATGAGCATCTGCTTTCATCCTTTCTGAAAGTCTAGTATTATTTGCATTATGTGATTTCTTGTTCAAATAGTGTATCTTTCTAGGAAAAATCCAATCCAGATTAGTCTCATCACCCATCACCTACTGGTCCATCATTGCCAGAGCCTACTTCCTATTTGAGTTTGAAGGGCTTTTAACGAAAGTTAAGCATACTGAAGTAGAGATGTTCTTGTTTTGGCCTGTGGGAGTTGTGACTTACTGTGAGAATTCTTTTAAAGTCTACCCACAATTTACTGCGTAATTTTAAGGGGCCAGCAAATATCCATTGGTTGAAGAATGGGATTTGCTATAGAATGTTATTGTATCTTACCCAGACATCTGTAAGGTGATTGTAGATGGTGATATTGTAGAATATGAGTAAATTCTTAAGAGTCAGTATTCCTAGAGAGAAATCTAGTTAGTATCTCACAGAAACACTGCAGAACAGGAGGTGAGAATACTTTTCTGCAACTACAGTTGGGCTTTGAATTGTGATCATTCTTTTGAATTTGTATTTTATGTTGTAATTGGGTGTTGTGGTTCCCATCTTTTAAAAAAAAAAAAGTGTCATAGGTAGTGACATTAGTGATACCTCATTTTCATCCTGTGGTTCTTAACTGGAGATGATTTTTTTTGGGGGGGGGGGGCCGGTCGTGGGGCTTGAACTCTGGGCCTGGGCGCTGTCCCTCAGCTCTTCAGCTCAAGGCTAGCATGCTACCACTTGAGCCATAGTGCCACTTCCAGCTTTTTTTTTCTGCTTATGTGGTTCTGAGGAATTGAACCCAGGGCCTCATGCATGCAAGGCAAGCGCTCTACCACTGAGCCACCTTCTCAGCCCCTGGAGATTTTTGCCTAACAAATTTTAGTCACCTTATAGATGGTCTGGGTAGATAAAGTAAAAAAATCATTCTATGGTAAATCTCTTGGAATGTCTGAAGGCCTTTTGGCTATTGTAACTAGGAAGTAATGGCATCTAATGTTTTGAGGCCAGAGACACTGCTAATTCATAGACTAGTCCTTCCTCACCGAAAGAATTTTCTAGCTCAAAATATCAATTGCACCAGTGTTCATCAACACTGTTTCTAAACCCAAATGGTAAACGTATTTAAAAAGCTTCATCAGCATGCACCTGTAACTCAGGCCTATAATACTAGCTACCCAAAAAGCTGACATCTGAGGATCACAGTTTGAAGCCAGCCCAGGTACACAAATCCTAGAGACTCTCATGTCCGTTTAACTAGCAAAAAGACAAAATTGGGTGTGACTCAAGTTCTACTGTCGAACATCAGCCTTGAGCTGAAAAACCTAAGCAAGAGTGTGAAGCCCTGAGTTCAAGCCCCAGTATAGGCGCGCACACACACACACACACACACACAGAGCTTTTTCAATGTTCATCTGTGGTTAGCCTTTGGAAGTTAGAAAACAGTCATTCCCTTTTTGTGCAGGACCCAGGCCTTGAACTCAGGACCTGGGCTCTGTCCCTGAGCCTCTCTGTGCTCAAGGCTAGAGATCTACCACTTGAGCCCTAGCACCACTTTCAGCTTTTTCTGTTTATGTGGTACTGAAGAATCGAACCCAGGGCTTCATGCATGCTAGGCAAGCACTCTACCACTAAGCCACATTCCCTCCTTTTGGAAGTTAAGTTTTGTTGTTTGATTTTTTGAGATGAGATCTCACTGTTTTGCCCAGGCTGTTCTCCAGCTAGTAGTCTCAAGTAATCTGCCCACCTTACCCTCAGCAATATGTGCACCTGGCTGGAAGTTTGAGTTTTTGTTTTGTTTTATTTTGTATGTGTTTCATACAGATTCATAAGGAATGTTGAGTTGAGTCCTGTTGCCAACACTACTAATTTTCCTTTATTTTCTCCCAAGGCATAGAGTTAAATTAGTGCGACTTGAAAGCATATAACTGCTGGCTGTACTGAAAAGTTGCAAAGCCAGTGGAAAATGACCTGTACCAAATTTTTAAATGCCATATCTCATTGTTTTTAAGATGCTTTTCCCCACACTTTGGTAACAGCCTTGAGATAACAGTGCATCTTAAAACCAGTGTCATTTAGATATTTTTCACAAAGAATCTGTAACATGTATGTAAATCAGCATAATTTAGTTATTTCACAGTGTATACATATGTCAAAACACCATGTTGTGGTCTCCCTGACAAGGGGATGTTAAGCCAAAACGTAAGGTGATAGGACAAAATTAGAAAGGCTTAAGAAACAAAGGACTTCCACTGATCTGCTGATCACATATATATATGTGCACACCAGAGGGAAACCAGGAGGAGGACACAGAACTAGAGGGAATCAGGGAAAAACCTACTACAGCAGGACCCATCAGCTGTACTGGACATTGATCAAAATGAACTGAGGAACTCAATGGCAGCCATGGGAGAGAGGGAATGAGTGGGAAAGAGGGAACAGCTGATGCTATGCAAAACAAAAGAAATGTACATGTCACCCAATGTGGAAGAAATAACTGTATGCAAAGCTCATAGAACTCATAAATATTATAGACCATGATAGACAATTTGCCCCATGAAAGTTAGAATGTGTTTGTGACTTTAACTAATCATCACTATCCCACAATACTATGAAATTTGGGAAATTATGTATCACTTAATCACAAGAAAGAATTTGGGGGAAAAAAAAAAACCATGTTGTACATTACAACTAAATACAATTTTATCACCTTTTTTAATTATAAATTTGAAGTAAATGGTTAACATTTCTTTTTTTCTTGATGGCATATAAAATAACAGTGTCTCAGATTCAAAATTTTATTTCTCTAAAACCTATTTGAAACTATTTTTCTAAGGCAGTGTTTATTTACGTACAAAAAAGCCAGCTACATTGTAGATTGCATTGTTGTTAAAACCCATGAGATGATTTTGCCAATTTTTCACCTCTTTGAGAATATAGATATACTACAGAAAGATAGATAGACTTGATATTTTATTTAAGTAAATATATTTCCTTTATTTTATTAGGAAGAAAATTCTCGAAAAAGAATCCTGTGTCCTTTAGATCCAAAACAGTAAGTATAGAAATAAGGATTTTTCTATACTAGAAGCAATAAATATTGAAAATCTCATTTAAATTTTTCTCCTTAAATTTAGCACAGTATATGAAGATCAACTAGCAAAGCATTTGAAAAAATGTAATGCAAGAGAGAAGCCAAAGCCTGTAAGTGTTTGATCGGTAAAATTAAATAGTGAAGTCTGTGGTATATAATGTTTATGTACATAAACATTAGTGTGTTACATCTAGTGTATTACAAATGGACATATTATTAACAAGACTCTTTAGGCTTGAATTTGGTAAATTCATTTAAGTGAATATAATATGTGGGATTTTAAATACAGTTAAGAGTCATAATTCAGAATAGAATTTTATAGAAAATAAGTATTATTGAGGGCATCATGACCTTTACTCATTCCACTTTATTGCCACTGTTAAACATGTAATTAAAGCTAAATTCACAATGGTATTTTATGCCATCTGTCAGCCAAAAGCCATTATTATATCATATGATATACCCAGGGGTTACTTTCACTTTTGAATCAAGATTTTTTTTTTTTTTTGGGTCCAGTCATGGGGCCTGAACTCTGAGCCTGGGCACTGTCCCTCAGCTCTTCAGCTCAAGGCTAGCGCTCTACCACTTGAGCCACAGCGCCACTTCCGGCTTTTTTCTTTTTTGCTTATGTGGTGCTGAGGAATCGAACCCAGGGCTTTTAGCATGCAACGCAAGCGCTCTACCACTGAGCCACCTTCCCAGCCATGAATCAAGATTTGTAAAATGGTATTATTTTGTGCATCTGAATGTATACAGTATAGCAGCCACTGAACACATGGGCTTTTCTAATTTTTTTTTTTTTTTTTATTGTAAAGCTACTATACAGAGGGTTACAGTTACATGAGTGAGGTTATGAGTACACTTCCTCTTGAACATTGTTACCCCCTCCATTGTTTTCCCCCTACCATCCGGGCTTTTCTAATTTGAGACTAGTTTAATCTTGAAAATCTAGTTTCACTTTCTCGGGAGCCATATTTTACATCTAGAAGCTGTAAAACCACATTATTTAGGGTAGAATAGAACATTTCCATCATTGAAGAAAGTTGTGTTCCATAATGTTGATCTAAATCTTTACCTAGAATTTATCTCTTTGCAAATAGGCTTAAAAGATCTCATATTAATTTAAATAATACAGTGTATAGTGGGGGAGGGGGTATGAAATTAATGAATGAATGAAATGACTTAGTGTCACAAAACATTCCTGCTTTCAGTTTTTTTGTTTTAAAATATTTTTTAAATTTGGCAACCTGTCTTGTGTATCCTTCATAACTCTTCCTTGATACACAAAAACATATCCTGCCTCTTCAGGCATTTCATTTTCTTGATTTTGTTGTTATTTCCAGACAGGGCTCACTGTATAGCTCAGTCTGAGCCTCAAACTTGTGACCCTCTTGCCTTCCCCTCCCAACTGCTAGGGTTATAGGCATGTGTCACCACACTTAGCTGCCTTTACTTTTTAATCAGTATTTTAATATGGCATTGTAATTTTAATATGTCTTTTTTTTTGGGGGGGGTGGGGAGAGGGAGGCCTGTTATGGTGTTTGAACCTGGGCCTGGGCGCTGTCCCTCAGCTCTTTAGCTCAAAGCGAGCATTCTACCACTTGCGCCACAGAGCCACTTCCAGTTTTCTGTGGGTTAATTAGAAATAAGAGTCTCACAGACTTTCCTGCCGGGCTGGCTTTGAACTATGATCCTCAGATCAGCCTCCCAAGTTGCTAGGATTACAGGCATGAGCACCTGCACCCACCTTTTAATACCTTATTTTAATATGTCATTGTAAGATTTTTTTATTATGCTACAAGCCTAACAAATGGAATATACTCTTGTTCTTGATTTAATACCATAAGCAAAACTGGTACAGTCCTTAGTCTGTGCTATAAACAGGTAAAAATGTTCATAGAGATTGCTACTGAATTTTTTTTTAGGTGGTATATGCTTATTTAGATAACTAGAATTTCACTAGAATCAAAAATCCACAGAGATTAGTACCTTCTGATTTCTACCAAATCTCCAACACTGAAAAGAAACCAATCTCTGTAACAGGCACTCAGTAATTATTTAATAACTGAATGAATGGGAGGAAGGAGGACAGATAAACAGTATGAGATGGAAGAAAAGAATCTTTTTCAGCTGGGTGCCAGTGGCTCACGCCTGTAATCCTAGCTACTCAGAAGGCTGAGATCTGAGGATTGCGGCTCAAAGCCAGCCCGGGCAGGAAAGACGTGAGACTCCTATTTCCAATAAAAACTACTAGAAAGCAGGAAGTGGCGTTGTAGCTTAAGTGGTAGAGCACTCACCTTGAGCTGAAGAGCTGAAGCCCAAGCCCAGAGTTCAAGCCCCATGACTGACAAAAAAAAAAAAAAAAAAAGAATCTTTTTCAGGTTAATTTTTGTGAGTTTCATATTAATAAATAACATGGTATGGTTTTGTTTTGTTTTTCAAGGATTTCTTTATTCAAGATATTAATGCAGGCTTAAAAGATGATACAGAAATACCTGAACAATTAGTAAGTATTTAATTCCCAGTGATATTGGTAAGTTATCTCCACATTGTCAATAAGCCATATTCTCATTTTTGTCTGTAATAAATGTTATTTTGAGTGGGGAATACATTTTCCTGTGGAATCAGTATTGTTAATAATAGCTAATTCATAGATTAGCTTCTACCTCATAAGACACTATAGTAGAGCTCTGAATTCCCTGTGAGTTCTCTGAGTGTAGATTTTTTGACTTCTCAGGATGCCAGAGGAATTAAAGTAGCATGGCATCCAGTGAAGGGAGATTTAGCAGTTGGGCAAATCTAGTGGCAGCTCAGGAGAGATTTTATCAGGAAAAAAGAGCCTAAACGGCTGTGAGATTTACCTATTAACTTTCTACCATGTCTCTTGGTTTGTTAAAGCATTTGGGGACTACATTATTTAGTTTTCTTTTTGCATACAGGTTCCCATTTCTTCTCTATCAGAAGAGCAGTTGGGAAACTTAATTAACAAATTGAGAAAAGCAAGTGAAGGTAAGTCTGTCTAAAATTGCAAGTTAAATTATTTTGGAACAACTAAGTGGTATATGAGTTGATACTATTTTGGTTTTATAAAAGGTTAATGTTACAGACATATAGTTTGAGGTTTGGCTGCTTCAGCTGTCATTTTATATACTTGCCACAGGTTTGAGTTCCACACTTAATGATCACATCATGTCTCACCCAGCATTACATGATGCCATTAATGACCCTAGAAATGGGGATTCTGCAACCAAGCACTTGAAACAACAGGTATATTTTAGGCCACAATAACTACCTTTGTAGTTTTAATGTATTCTAGTCTCTCTCCGTATAGTTATTAGTGATATTTTGTTTAGCCTTTCAGAGTATAAAGTTATGTACATCTCAAAACTATGTATAACTATTTTTTAAATTTTTGGCATGGATACAGTTCTGACTGTTCAGTTTTCAATTTTTTAAAAAAAATTTTTTTGGGGGTCCGGTCATGGGGCCCGAACTCTGGGCCTGGGCCCTGTCCCTCCGCTCTTCAGCTCAAGGCTAGCACTCTACCACTTGAGCCACAGTGCTACTTCCAGCTTTTTTCTTTTTATGTGGTGCTGAGGAATCGAATCCAGGGACTCATGCATGCAAGGCAAGCGCTCTACCACTGAGCCACCTTCCCAGCCCCAAGTTTTCAATATTTTAAAGCAAGAAAAAAATTAAAGCTGAACAGAAATGACCATGGTGTGAACATACTGCTTGATAGAAGAATTGCCTTGCTGTTTTCCCATTTGAGCCAGACCTGTTTGCTCTAGTTTATAAAATAATCTTGTGAAGTTTGCAGGCTTCTATTTTAGGTAACATTGAAAAATTACAGTTACTTGGTCCAAGAAGATGCTTTGTTGAGTTTGGAGCAGGCAAGGGAAAATTATCTCATTGGGTTGATGTTGCCTTAAAAGATGCTGAAAAAGTTCACTTCATCCTCGTAGAAAAAGTAACTACAAGATTCAAGGTAAGTGAAACCACATCAGCACATCAGTAACCAAACTTTGATAGCATTTTTCTTTTCTTGTCAGTACTGGGGCTTGAGCCCGCTGTCATGAGATTGTTAGGCAATCACTCTATCTCTTGACCCATGCGTTCCCCCAGTCAACTTTTCTCTAAGGGGAAAAAAAATGATAGGAATGTGTCTCTTAAAATAAACTTCTCTTATTTTTTAGTTGATTACATCCTTCTATTCATGACTTAAAAGTACATTTGTTAAGCCTAAGTTTTGATAGTCCATGATTGGAATTGTTAAAATGGTTTCCAGAGTTAGGAATATATGCAAAAAGAGCCAAGCTGAAGCTAGAAGTTAAAAGTCATCTGCCTGACTGCTGACTGACTATTAATTCAACAAGTAATTAGGGTCTTGTTAAATGGATTTATATTACAATGTTAAATAAAGGCAAGGCTCTGTGCTCTTTTAAGTAATTGTAATGACTGTAAAGTGTTAAGATATAAAAGAAAGCAATACAAAGTTTAGTATGAATTCAGTGGAAGGAGTAACAAGTTTTATTGCAGTAAGGAAATGATGAATAAGAGCTAGAAAAGGTGCTGCTCGAGCTAAATCTTGATAAGTGAATCAGTGCTCGCTAGGTAAGAGTTTGAGAAGTATTCTAGGAAGCAAAAGCAGTTTAACCAAATGTCTGGAAGGGAAACCTGGAAACTTGGCTGTGTGGCAGGAGTGCATATTGTGATGTGTGACGTAGCGCTCAGGAGTGATGAGACTAGAGAGGAAAGCCAGTTTAGGGAAGATTCTGTGCTTTGTATTGAGGAAGTAATTTGATGTTATTCTGCTATATGCTGGACATAGAGTGAAAAACATTTGGTTCTTGCCTTCAAGAAGCTTCCATCTACTGGGGCAGATATGCAAGTATTTTTGTTGTGTAAATTAAGTTTCTTATGGTAATGTTAAAAACCAGATACTCAGGATTATGAAGATATCAACCTAACCTCATACCTGTTTTATTATCCATGATAAATGGAAGAGGAGAAATTGTGGGAAATGCTTTTATGCCTTAAGTGATTAAGTAGTTCTTTTCTTGAGGAGAAAGAAGATGGATGGGTTTGGAGAAAGAAATGAGTTCAGTTCTGGATGTGTTTGCTGTTGAAGTAGGGCTTTCTAGTTTATAATTAGATATATGTCTAAAAGGCTGGGATGTGGGCTAGGAAGGTAGCTCAGTGATAAAGTGCTTGTCTTGCATGCATGAGGCCCTGGGTTCGATTCCTCAGCACCACATAAGCAGAAAAAGCCAGAAGTGGTGCTGTGGCTCAGGCGGTAGTAGAGCACTAGTCTTAGAGCTGAAGAGCTGAGGAACAGCGCCCAGGCCCAGAATCCAGGCCCCATGACCGGCCAAAAACAACAACAACAACAACAAAAAACAAGGCTGGGATATATATTTGTTGTAGAGCACTAACCTAGCATTCCACTAGCACATACAATAACAAAACTTCAAAGAAGTGGTTGAAGATGTAGCTCAGTGATACTTTTCTAGCACGTATAAGACCCTGGAGTTAATCCCCACACTGCCAAAAAGAAAAAGTAGATAGGTATCTGAAGATCTGGGCCACAAATGAAGATCTGTACATCATTTGAATATTTGGTGTCGTTTAAAATAATTTCAGTCTTTCACGGGGTGTAAGAAGCCACAGTATAAACTAGGGATAACAAAGATAAAGGCGATAACAAATAATCATAGGCAAATCCTTTAACATCTTGGTCCCTTTGTGAGTGAATTGGAAACTTTTAGGGTTAAAATAAACATGCACAATAATCGATACCATTTTCAAGCCTTATAAAAATTTTTATTTTATTATTTTATTTTATTATATTTATTATTTTATTATTATGGAGTTTTCATAAAAAATATAAAACTTTAAACATTTTGTTCATTCTCTTTTTTAAATGGCAAAAAGTAAGATGGAACTTGAATTCTGAAAATAGAAATCTTTTCATTTGCATATGGCTGGGTTTATTTAACATAAAAAGTCATTGTTGCAATAATATTCTACTTATGCAGGTGGATGGTAAACACAGAAAGAAAAATTCAGTGTTCGAAAGACTTCAAATTGATATTCAGCACTTATGTTTGAGTAAGTTGTGTAACTTTCCACAGTTCTCCCATAAAGTACAGAAATTTCAAACTCAGATAAATGGATTTTTTAGGAAACCCATTTATCTGGAAAAACAATTAAAATCAGTCCATTGTCAATGTGGAATATGTAACAAATGCAAATTGAATTAGGATTGCAACCTTAAAAAACTGGTTTTAGATATCAACTGCGAGTAAAGTAGTATATTTGAGGAGAGTTTAATAATTAAAGTTTTGATAAATATGTCCTTATATTGCTTCTTTGTCTTATTTAAATTAATTTTAAATTTATTCATACCATAAGCACAAGCCTTTTGCCCAAAACCATTAAATGAGATAGTTTTTTTGTGTAATTTTGTATAAAATATATTTCCTAGAATTTTAAATTGTGCTGAAATGAATCAGCTGTGGAGTTCTGTGCAAACATACACCTCCTCAGTCATTATTTTCACTGCCCTTTTTATACCTTTCCTATGTTTTTATTTCTTCAAAAAGGAAATAACGCAAATATCCTAACTTTTTCCATGCCTTGAGAAGCAATACAACATTTATATATAAACCACTGTATTTAAAATTATTTAACAATCTATTACTTTGCTGATGTGATAAACTGTAAACAAGTTCTTATATTATATGTTGGATTTTATACAGGAAAAAAAAAAGACAGCACTATAACTCAAAGATTCTGATCACATTAGTAGTTGTGAGAACCAAGAGAGCAAACTTAATTTTTCCTTTTATCTCAGACAAGATTCCTGTTCTAAGAGAAGGGAAACTACCTGTAGTAGGAATTGGAAAGCATCTGTGTGGTGTGGCAACAGGTATGTAAACACACTAATAATTTCTCAATCAGTTCGTGAAGTTCTAGCTTAAATTGTCCCTGATCATTTTTAATGGTCTCTTCTAAGTAGTTTAGTTTTTCTTGTAGGGACTTTTTTGTGTGTGGGTTTTTGCCAATACTGGTCTTGAACTCAAGGTCTTATTCTCTTATGTAGCTTTTTCACTTAAGGCTCATGCTCTACCACTTGAGCTGCGCTTCCCATTGCTAGTTTAGATTTTTTTCCTTTAATTTTTATTTATTTTTTTAATTTATTTAATTTTTACTGATTTTTTTTCTGCTGGTCCTGGGGCTTGAGCCTCCAGCCTACGCACTGTCCCTGAGCTTTTGTGCTCAAGGCTAGTGGACTACCACTTGAGACACAACTCCACTTCCAGCTTTTTGTGGTTTATTGGAGATGTGAGTCACACAAACTTTTCTGTATGAGTTGACTTCAAACTGTGGTCATCAGATCTCAGCCTCCTGAGTAGCTAGGAGTGAGTATAAGCATGAGCCACCAGCACCCAGCTTTTATTTTTTTAAGTAGTTATACAAAAGGGTCTCAGTTCCGTAAGTCAGATGAATACAAAACATCTTGATCAGTGTCACCTTTTCCATCATTCTCCCCCATTTTGTTTTAGTTTCGATTTTTTTAACAAAAAAAAAGTTCTATTTCCTGGTAATTTTTGTTTTTGTGTTTATAATTTATCTTCATAGTGACTATATTCAATTCTGGAGCAAAATACAGGGATTTTCTACCTATCCACTTATTTGGGCTATTTTGAAGGAAGTACTTGGAAACTTTTGGGAAGAACTCTTTTCTTTTGTTTTTGGTTGGTCATAGTGCTTGAACTCAGAGCCTGGGTGCTGTCCCTGAGCTTTTTCACTCAAGCCTAGCTCTCTACCATTTTGAGTTACAGCACTACTTTTGGTTTTCTGGTGGTGAATTGGAGATCAGAGCCTCATGGACTTTCCTGCCCAGCTGGCTTTGAGCCATGACCCTCAGATCTCAGCCTCTTGAGTAGCTAGGGTTACAGGCATGAGCTATGGGTGCCCAGCTCCAGAGATAGTAATTTATTATTATTGACCACAGTGCCTAGTCTATGTTAGTGCTCCCTAAACGTCAGCCATTGTTCCATCATCCTCACAGGGGAACGTGGAGCTTCTACTCGATATGATTCAAATAGACTGGAAATGACTTTAAGTAATATATATTTGGGTTGTTGCTCATATTTTTAGACTTTATCATATACCTTGTCTTATTTAACCCTCATTAAAAATAAATCAGTTCCGGGCTGGGAAGGTGACTCAGTGGTAGAGCGCTTGCCTTGCATGCATGAGGCCTTGGGTTCGATTCCTCAGCACCACATAAGAAAAAAGAAAAAAGCTGGAAGTGGCGATGTGGCTCAAATGGTAGAGCGCTAGCCTGAAGAGCTGAGGGATAGCATCCAGGCCCAGAGTTCAGGCCCCACGACTAGACCCCTAAATAAATAAATAAATAAATAAACCAGTTCCATTATGGAATGGGGAGAGCACACATTTTGTTGTTCCTTCTGTGTAATCTGTGTTTCTCAAAGGAATAGGGTTTGATAGCCCTCTCCCATGTCCTTAAATTACTCTAAATCCCCCTTTCCCCCCTTATCTCTGCTGTAGTTTTTACTCTACTTGAAGATCTGTCTCCTCCTCTTTTGTGACACTACCTTCCCATTTCTTTCCCTTCCTCAATGCTATTCTTTCTTTGTTTTGTTTTTTGTTTTGGGGTCCAGTCGCGGGGCCTGAACTCTGGGCCTGGGCGCTGTCCCTCAGCCCTTCAGCTCAAGGCTAGCGCTCTACCACTTGAGCCACAGCACCACTTCCGGCTTTTTTTTTTCTGCTTATGTGGTGCTGAGGAATCGAACCCAGGGCCTCAGGCATGCAAGGCAAGCGCTCTACCACTGAGCCACCTTCCCAGCCCCTTTTCTTTCACAATCTTCCCACTCTACTTGTCCTTTAAATCTAATGTGCCTTGTGCATATTTAAATTTTTATTTTTAAATTAATAAAAATTTTTGTAGCCCTAAGATGTAAAAATAGATATTAAAAGATCTGTTATTTCAAGACCAACCTGAGCAGCATAGTGAGACCTCCACCCTCCCCCTCAAAAAAAAAGTCTGGAAAGAGAGAACTTACAGGATCATAGAGGAACTCTTTCTCCAAATAACTGTTCCCAGTATTTGTTGACTGAAATTCATATATTGAGCTAAATTTACTAATGAAATATCAGACCATTTAATATCCAGTTTTTACATGTTAGGGTAATAAAATTTAAGAATAAGAATTTGGTTTTTTTAATTAATTGGACACAGCATGACAATCTAATCAGAGGAAAAAGTAGGCTTTGTAACAATTTATTTTATTGAACTTGCCAATCTATTTAGTTTTAAAATGTGTTAAAATATTTTCATTTTAACATGGAGCATATGCTCCCCTACATTTGTACATATTAATCATTATATGCTTTGCATATGAAAGGCCGTCATTAAATATTTGCTGAATGAATACAAATACAGGAAAGCTACCCAATGAGGTCTTCCTACATTCTGTTTTTTTTTTTTTTTTTTGGTCCTGTCGTGGGGCCTGAACTCTGGGCCTGGGCGCTGTCCCTCAGCTCTTCAGCTCAAGGCTAGCGCTCTACCACTTGAGCCACAGCGCCACTTCTGGCTTTTTTTTTAATCTGCTTATGTGGTGCTGAGGAATCGAACCCAGGGCCTCATGCATGCAAGGCAAGCACTCTACCACTGAGCCACCTTTCCAGCCCTACTTCCTACATTCTGAACCCATTTTCTCAACTTCTCATTTATACTATTTGCTGTGAAAGTCTTACATTTCAAAATCAGTATCTTGAACATCTCATCAATATGCTAAGCAAAATTATCTTTCTTCTTCATTTTCTTTGTGTTTCTTAAACTCAAAACTCCTCCTGGAATATAAGATAGGAAAAGAAAAAAAAAATGTTTTCTATACCATTGACGTCCTCAGTTAGGGTAGGAGAAATGAGAGAGGAGATTGGACAAGAAATTGAGATTATAGATCTTAAGCTCCAGTCGCAGTTTTATTGGAAAATAGGTTCTTTGCAGAATAAAAGCAGAAAAGAACACATTTAAACAGAGTTGGTAATTTATGATAGAATCGGTACAAGTAGAAAGCTGATACAGTTGACCAAAGTTGGTAATTTATGATGGAATTATTACAGTATAAGGTAGGTAGCTTTTTGTTGTTCTTGTTTGGTTTTTAAAAGCCATAATGTTTAAGAAATGTGGAAAAATGCTTTTAAAGATGTTGTGGTTTGGGGGGGGGTACATAATTGTGTTTGCAGATCTTGCATTACGATGTTTGGTTGAAACCTATGCTGCCTGTTATGAGAAAAGGAATGAAGAACCTTTAGCCAAACGCATAAAGAATGATAAAACAGAAAATGAAATTAACACTTTGGCCAAGGAAGGAAGTGAAAATAATGTCCCAGAGAAGTGGACCCCTGTGGCTGGCATTGTTATTGCACTCTGTTGTCACCACAGGTGTGAATGGAGACATTATGTGGGCAAAGAATATTTCAGGGGTCTAGGCCTTGGAGCAGTGGAATTCCACTATTTCCAGCGAATGAGTAGTTGGGCGACTTGTGGGATGCGGAAAGCGCCTTTGGAAGACACAGCTGTTACTACAAAGAGCAAAGATCATCAAAGTGATGACAGTGAAGAACATGATGATGGAGAATATAGGATCAGAGATGACAGCACTGACAATTTGCCTGGGTGAGTGACTATAATACACAACATTGAAGGAGAAATACTGTATTGTTATAGTACAGTTATCTTCCCTTAATAATCCAGTAAAACACTGCAGCATGCCCAGTGGATACCTATAACTAGTGCTATTACCAAAGCCAGTGTCCACTGCCATACCTCCATCATCAGTCTGATCCTGGAAATGACTGTTTAGGTGACTACTGAGCAATGGGCAAAGGAGAGATCATGTCCCATGTGGGAAGGATCCCACCAGGCTACTAAGAATGGCATTAATTTAAAATTTATGAATTATTAACCAGATGCTGGTAGTTTATGCCTGTAACCTAGCTACTCAGGATGCTAAGATCTGAGGATCATGGTTCGGAGTCAGCCTGTGCAGGAAAATCCAGGACACTATGATCTCCAATAAACTACTCAGATAAAGCTGGAAATGGCTCTGTATCTCAAGTAGGGTAGAACTCTAAGCCTTGATCAAAAAGAAGCTCAGAGGGGCTGGGAAGGTGGCTCAGTGGTAGAGCGCTTGCCTTGCATGCTCGAGGCCCTGGGTTTGATTCCTTAGCACCACATAAGCAAAAAGAAAAAAGCCGGAAGTGGCACTATGGCTCAAGTGGTAGAGCGCTAGCCTTGAGCTGAAGAGCTGAGGGTCAGCGCCCAGGCCCAGAGTTCAGGCCCCACGACCGGACCCCAAAAAAAAAAAAGAAGCTCAGAGACAATGCTCAGGCCCTGAGTTCAAATCCTAGGACAGGCATAGAAAAAAATTATGAATTGTTTATTTCAGGAAGTTTTCACTTCCAGTTAATATTTTCATAGTAATTGAACCTCAGATAAGTGGAACCAGAGAAAAATTAAATGAGAGGCTAATTTTCTTATCAAGGACTATTACCAACAATTTTTTCAAGAGTATTATTTTTTACAATCTAATTTTATTTCATGTGTGTGTAATGTGCCAGTACTACGGCTTGAACTCAGGACCTGGGCACTATCTTTTCACTTTTTTTGCTAAAGGCTAGCACTTTACCACTTAAGCCACAGTTCCACTTCACACTTTCTGTTACCTAATTAGAGATAAGAGTCTCATAGATTTTCCTGCCTGGGCTGGCAGGACATCCTCAAATCTCAGCCCCTGAGTATCTAGGATTATAGGAATGAGAACCTGCCTATTTTACAATCTAATTTAGAGTAGGTTAATAATTTATAATAAATAAATTAATAATTTATACAATTTATATAATAATTGTAATAAGTTAATTAAATATTTTGGGGCTGGGTGGGTATAGCTGAAAAAAATGTATGTACATCTTAGAAGGATGAGACAGCACCTTGTATAATATGGGTTATTTAGCAGCTTCTCAGTAAATAGAAGTAACTAAAATAATTGTCATATTTTTAACGTTTTGTATGTTTTATTCAATTTAGGATTCTCACTGTTGAAGAAAAGAAGAAGATAGGGCATCTTTGTAAACTGCTGATTGACCAAGGCCGAGTTCAGTATTTACAGCACAAGGGATTCAGTCCTGCTTTACAGAACTATATAGACCCTTTGGTGTCTCTGGAAAATGTATTGTTAACGGCTTTACCAATTCCTTCTTCTTCACTACAAACAACTGGTTAAGGGAAAAGAAATTCAGATATCTCCTGTCTTCCAGAAAAGAAAATTTTTACACATACAAAAATATAAATAGCAGACAATACAAACTTTATAAATACTGTAGCCTCATTAAACTTTGGCAAAACATTGTTTTTTTACTTCAGAAGTCCAGAGAATTCACCAAATTCTTAATCCTCTTCACCAGGGCATTTTGAATTACATTATCCATCAGTATTTATAGACATTAATAAAGCAGTTGAACAGTTGACTTGCTGATCTGAAACAAACATAACACACCAAACACACAATTAACATATGAACTTTCTATTTGCATTCATTTGGGAAATTTATTTTCCTTTTGTTTTATTTCTCAAGCTCAAAATGTTAACTATCAATTGAGTTTGTAACAAATACCAATCTGAATATTTGCCTTTCCATGTGGATGTTTTTCTATGCAGATCTTTAAAGGCTAATCAGTTGTGCTGGACATTGGTGGCTTATGCCTGTAATCCTAGTTACTCAGGAGGCTGAGATCTGAAGATCAAAATTCAAAGCTGGCCTGGGCAGGGATTCCATGAGACTCTTACCTCCAGTTAACCACCAGAAAACCACAAGTGGTGCTGTGGCTCTAAAGCTCAGGGACTGTGCTGAGGTCCTGAGTTCAAGCCCCATGACTAACCAAAACCAAAAACAGATGATCAATTTGTGATTCTTTTCAAATGCAAACAAATTCTGACACGTTTACAATCAGTAAATGAAATCATCTTCAAACATCTGTAGAGTATTACCAGAATTTGTCCATTACAAACACCATCTGAAGAGATTCTTTCATAAAAAGGGAAAAAAACTTTCACTTTTTTGTTAGATAATTATCCAGTCAGAACTTCCCAAATGATACTTAAAAGCGTTAATTACAAATTAAATTTGAAATTTACAAATAACGTTTGAAGTTATTTATGCATCATATCTTTTATCAGGCCAATTTTGACAAATGGTAAGCACAAAAAATAGGTATATTCTCTCCAATTTGAGAAAGTAATTTGGAATAAAATAGAATTAGATGATGAAATCAAAAACCTCACATTTAAGCATTATTTACCTAATAAGTAGTTTCTATGCACAAGCAAATAAACCAAACATAGAAGTGACTGTTACTCTTTAACACATCTATTGTTCACTTGTTTCTATATCTGTTTGTAAAAATGGTTTTAATTATTAGTGCATATTCCAGAATCTAAAATTGTAGAAAATGGAATGCTAGCAAGATAACTATAATCTTAGCTCAGTTTTAATTCTGGACCTTTCTAGTCTAATCTTATGTCGTCACACTGCCTAGGTTCAAATTCCAACCTTACCACCTCTCAGCTATGTGACTTTGGGCAAGCTACTTCATCCTTTTGTGCCTCTGTGTTCTCTTAAAATGAGGATGATTCTAATAATAATAAAACCTACCTCACAACTTCATTGTGTGCACATAAAATGCTTAGAATATTTTCAGGCACACAGTAATATTCAACAAATATTAACAAATGATGCTAATTCTAGTAATTCAGGAACGGATCTTTAATAACAGGCAGGCTTTTAATACTTATGTTGTTTTTTTCTCATTGTAAGTTATGTCAAATATTATTAAAGTATGGTACTTTGATTAGTTTTTGTTAGTTACTCAGTCTCCAATCAATATAAAGAAGATGACATGTCATTTAATACTTACTTTACTGAATCATAGATGTTAATTTATGTCCTAAGATTTGTTTTGTATCATTGAACAATTTATGCCCTAAAATAAAAATTATTCTACAGTAGACATAATCTTTCTCTTTTTTTCCTTTTCTTTTTTTTGTAGTGCCAATACTGGGGCTTGAACTCAGGGCCTTGCACTAGCTCTTGGCTGTTTTGCACAAAGTTGGCATTTTACCACTTGAGCCACACCTCCTCTCCAGACAAAAGTCTGTTATGTTTAATCCAAGAACTAGCATGTTTCAGTTCTGAGCCTTATTTAGCTTAATAATGTTTGCGATAATGGTAAGAATACTTTATCCTCAGATCTCAAACTCCTGGAAGTGGTGCTGTGGCTCAAGTGCTAGAGCACTCGCCTTGAGCTGAAGAGCGCAGGGACAGTGCCAATGCCCAGAGTTCAAGCCCCATGACCGATTCAAAACAAAACATTATCAAACTGAGTAGCTAGGATTACAGGAATAAGCCACCACCACCTGGCTTAGAGCTATTTTTTGTTGATCATCCTCCCAACCTGTCCTGTGATCTTGTCTACAAGATCTAATGACTATTCTTTTTGTGATGCTGTGGGTAAAACTCAAGGCTTTAGGGATGCTAGGCAGGTACTCTACCAGGACACTATATCCACAAGCATCCTCCTAAGCATCCTCCACTGGAGATTGGCAAAAATGACTGCCTCTTTAGAAAAATGGTTATTGGCTGATAACACTTTTCAAAGTAGTTGCGTTTAGATGGGCTAAAGTCTATCTGTTAAGTCAAAACCTCCACATTTTGGTGATTTGTAAAGCCATAATTTTTATTACTAAGCTATCACTTCACAGATAATTGTGCTCATTGTTTCATTCCCCTAATCTTGGCTTAAAAGCTTTATTTCCTTAATGAAAACATTACATCTTAAATTATAAGAGATTAAGTGATTACACAATTTATATCAAAACCTCATTCTAAGTCATGCTGTAGACTCAAGCCTGTAATCTTAGCTAATCAGGAAGCCGAAATCTGAGAAGCATGGCTCAAAGCCGGCCGAGGCAGGAAATTCCATGAGACTGGTATCTCTGATTAACTACCAAAAAGCTAGAAGTGAAGCTGTCACTCAAGTGGTAGAACACTATCCTTGAGCCCAGAAACTCAGGGATAGCATGCAGGCCCAGGATTGACACCAAAAATCAAGCTCCCCCCCCCCAAAAAAAAAAAAACAACCTCATTCTAATTGTTGATTAAAATCTGTGTCCTATGAAAATTTTCATGTTTGAGGTTGGTGATGTAACTACAGAGCACTTGCCTCTGCCTGGCGTGTGTGTGTGTGTGTGTGTGTGTGTGTGTGTGTGTGTGTGCGCGCGTGTGTGTCTGTGTGTGTGCGTGTGTGTGTATGTGTGTGTGAAGAGAAATTGAATGGGTAATGGATGACTTCTTCATTCAATTGATAATGTTTCAAGTGCCTGCTCAAAGAATTTGTTTCCTGACTCCACTTGAAAATGTGTGAATACAACTTTTATTTCCTCATTTTTATCCGAGTTTCCATCCAAGTTCCACTTCCCTCACTTTTCTCCTACAATATTGGTCAAGAGTCTAGAAAAAGCAAGATGGAATGAGAAATCCATAAAGAAATGATAGAAAAGTTAACTATATACACATATTACCAAAAAAGATTGGTGTACAAATCTCCTACCTGCTTTCCGTGACTCCTGTATGTATGTATGCATAAACTGAAGGCCAAATAGTTCCTGTTCTTCCTCTTCATCTGTGCATGCACTGGGAGGAAGTGTTACTTCCAGTTTCAGTGGGTTGTCTCTGAAGTTGACAAACCTAGCAATTCGCCAAAAACAGTATTTTTTTAATAGGTGCTATAGAAATGTACATTTATTTTCCTAGAGAAAGATCAAATGATTAGTTTCAGTGACTGAATATTTTGGTGAGATATGATATATCCCAAGAATCTTTACATTTCCTAGAAAAAAAATACTAGCTTTAGGTAACTTATTGTTGCCAGTGAGATTGTGTGTGTGTTGTGTGTGTGTGTGTGTGTGTGTGTGTGTGTGTGTGTGTGTGTGCCAGTCCTGGGGCTTGAACTCAGGGCCCGGGTGCTGTCCCTGAGCTTTTTTGCTCAAGGCTAGCACTCTACTACCTGAGCCACAGCTCCACTTCCACCTTTTTTTTGGTGGTTAGTTGGAGGTAAGAGTCTCTCAGCCTTTCTAGCCCGGGCTGGCATAAAAGCACAATTCTCAGATGTCTCCTGAGTAACTAGGCTTTACTAATGAGATTTTTTAGCAGTATAAAAATATTTTTCATAAAAAGGTCACCAACATAAGCTATATCTTAAGACTGAGAAATCCCAATACTGTTTACATTTGATCATTCTTCCTTGAGTAAGACCAACACTGCATGAACCTGATCCATCAAATTATAGAATTTCATTAGAGAAGGCTTTGAATTTATTTATTTATTTATTGCCTGTCGTGGGGCTTGAACTCAGGGCCTGGGCTCTGTCCCTGAGCTTTATTGCTCAAGGCTTGTGCTCTTCCGCTTTGAGCCACAGCACCACTTCCTATTGTATTTTTTTAAATCTTTTCTTTTTTGGCACTGCGGACTGTACCCAGGATGTTGCATTTGCTAGGCAAGTGCTTTGCCACTGAACTATATCCCAGTCTGATTGGAGGTTTTGAGAAGATACGCATCATATAAATTAGAACCCAAATTTATTAATCATGGTCTCTTAAGTATTTGTTGTGTGGCCAAAAATGACATGTTAGTTTTCTATCTACAACTCATTACCTCAGATTTGCCATTTCTTCCATGCATGCTGGAATATCTTGCAATTTATTATTGCTGAGAACAAGAGTACCCAGATTTTTCATGTTGCTGATTGCTTCTGGTAAGCATGTTATTTCATTCCTCTGTAGCCATAATGTATGTAGATTTTGCATTCTGGAGAATTAAAAGAAGTTTCTATGATCAGTCACATTATATAAAATCTGGGTTTTTGTTACCTGAAAAAAATCAAAGAAATTGAGCTACTGTGCACCAGTAGCTCATGCCTATAAACTAGCTACTCAGCAAGCTGAGATCTGAGGATCTCATTTCAAAGCTAACCTGGGTAGAAGAGTCTCTCCAATTAACTACCAAAAAAAAAATCTGGAAATGGAGCTATGACTTAATGATAGAGCACCAGCCTTGAGCAAGAAAGCTAAGCACCCTAGGCTCTGAGAGAGAGAGAGAGGGAGGGGGCGGGAGGGAGAGAGAGAGAAATCTCATGTTTGCAGTGTCTCTTTGAACCAATATACTTACTGATTTAACTTACTTTACAACACCTGAATAAACTACATTACAGAATTAATCTTCAAAAAAATTAACCTTCTAGCCAGGCACTGGTGGCTCACGCCTGTAATCCTAGCTACTCAGGAGGCTGAGATCTGAGGATCACGGTTCAAAGCCAGCCCGGGCAGGAAAGACTGTGAGACTCCTATCTCCAATAAACCACCAGAAAACCGGAAGTGGCACTGTAGCTCAAGTGGTAGAGCGCTCGCCTTGAGCTGAAGAGCTGAGGGACAGCACCCAGGCCCAGAGTTCAAGCCCCACAACCGACCAAAAAAAAAAAAATTAACCTTCATAATGCTATGCCCCCATGGTAGTAGAAATGAAATCAACATATTTTAGAATTCTTCACAGTTGTCACAATTTTCTTAGTGTTGTAAATGTTGCATAAATCTGAGTCTAAAGAGACAAGTCATAAATTATTACCATGCCTAGTCAGAGTAAAGGTGGTATGCACAATGGTTAACAGCCTGGATGCTGGCCAGGACGCCTACTAACTGACATTGGAGGTGTGAACTAACATTCTCTGCATTTGCTCCCGTGTCCTTTTGTAAAGTACATAGAAATGCCTGGCATGCACTCAGCCATATGGGTAACATGGTGGCATATTTTTGCCAAATGCCAAATTTTTGCACAACCAGTTTTTCCACTCCCTAAACCCTTTTACATATTTGGCATACATGAAATCGTTCTGTGGCAAGCCAGCGTATTTTAAAGTCAATGAGTGTATTGTGATCACCAATGCTTGGGGGCTCCCCTTTGAGTGGTTCAGTCTGTTTTCAGTTCTTATTTTCCATAGGTGGTTTTAAGGCATTGGCTAGTAGCATTCAAAAGTTATTCAGTTTACCTTTCTATGGTTTCAGGAAGTTGCTCAAGTCTGTTGCTTCCCATATCTAGCCACTCAAGCGCAGGCATGTTCAACACAGCGGGAGGGATGGTAGTAAACTGGTTCATACTCAGATCGAGGTGAGTGAGTTTGAACAGTTTGCTGAGCTGCAGGAGAAAGCAAGGCTTTTCAAACCATGTCTACCATGTGAATTCATGGAAGGTTTACCCTGATCCAGGAGCAATTTGACATCGAGGGATGTTTTGCATTACATTTGAGTTGGACACTCAATTATTATGCTGGATGCATAATAGTTCACAACCAATTGGAAAGTAAAGCTGAGTAGTTTCCAGTGAAATAAAAAATTATCATACAGACAGGCACTCCTGTATTGCTAGCTATTCATGAGGCTGAGAGCTGAAGATGGAGGTTCAAAACCATCACAGGCAGGAAAGTCCATGGGAGTCTTATCTACAAATAACCACCAAAAAGATGGAAGTGGCTCAAGTGGTAGAGCGTTAGCCTACCACACACACACATATACATACATACATATATATACATATACATATATATGCATATGCTTGGGTTCAAGCCCCAAGACTGGTACCAATATGTGTGTGTGTGTACACTATATAATATCTATTATATAACATATTGCTATATATAGCATACAAATTGCATCTACTCAGAGCTGGGGATAGTGGTGGAGCATGCACTTAGCATGTGTGCAGTCTAGCACAAAAGAGGAGAGAAGGGTGGGCGGGAATGAATCTAGCCAATGGAAATTCATTTTCCAAACTAACCAAATACCATCATTAACAAGACCTTCATGCTCAAGCTTTTTCTTGGCTCTATGAGTAAGCATGTATCATCAAGTTTTACTTTCATCCACATATCAGCTTTATTGCTTGATAATTCTTAGTTTCTAAATAAACCCTCAAAAATTATTAGTGGTGACACACGCCTGTAATCTCCTCTACACAGGAGGCCAAGACCTGGAGGATTGTGTTCTGAAGCCAGCTCTAACAGAAGAGTCCACAAGACTCCATCTCCAAAATAACAAGCAAAAAGCTGGCTTGGCTAAATGGGAGAATACCAGCTGAGCAAACAAGCAAGCTGAGAAAGTGCAAGGTACTGAGTTCAAAGCCTGGAACCAGCAAATATATGCAAATATACATACATGGAAATATATATATATATATATATACATACATACATACACACACATACACACACATTAACACATAGTAGGATACTGAAGGAGCTAAGGAGAGAGTTCTCAGAAAAAGAGGTAAGAATGACAAAGAAACATGTGAAGAAGTGCTCATTATCCCTGGCCAGAGAGGAAATGCAAAGCAAAACAACTCTGAGATTCCATCTCACCCCAGTTAGATTGGCCAACATTTTGCATTTGAACAGCAATAAACGTTGGTGGGATGTGGGGAAAAAGAACCCCTATTGCACTCTTGGTGGGAATGTAAACTAGTACAGGCACCCAGACAGCAGCCTGGAAGTTCCTCAAAAAACTAAACCTAAATCGTCCCTACAAGCCAACCATACCACTCTTGGACATCTAATCCAGAACATCAGGACCCAGGATACTGGAAAGACACTTGCGCATCATGTTCATTGCTGCACTACCCACAATAGCCAAGCTATGGAAACAACTCAGCTGCCCTGCCATAGATGAGTGGATCCAAAAAAAATGGAGTACCTGTACACAATGGGATTTTACACAGCCATTATTATGTCATTTTCAGGGAAATGGGTGGGCCTAGAACAAATCATATTGAGTGAGGTAAGCCAAGCTCAAGAGACAAATGGCAGGTTTTCTCTTATATGCAGAAGCTAGATCTAAAATACACAGGGGGCCAGGTGCCAGTGGCTTATGCCTGTTATCCTAGCTACTCAGGAGGCTGAGATCTGAGGATCCAGGTACAAAGCCAGCCCTGGCAGAAAAGATACTGGGAGACACTAATCTCAAATTAACCCCTCAAAAACTGGTGAAGTGAAGATATGGTTCAGTGCTAGAGCACTAGCCTTGAGCAAAAGAGCTCAGGACAGCACCTAGGACCTGAGTTCAAGCATCTCAACTGACAGATGCCTATATACATCTGATCATTCAAAATAATATTTATTGGAATGAACTCCAGGAAATGGAGTTCTTGGTTGTGATTTTATTTTCTTTTTGTCTTGTTTGTACATTTACCCATCTTTGGAAAAGTAAGGGAGGGTATAGAAATGGGCAGGCAAATAGTGAACAAATGCAGCAGTGATACTCACTAGATACTACGCTGAAAATGAACTATACAACTTGTGGGAGGGGATGGAAGAGAAAAATCGGGAGAGAGCAAGGGAAAGGGTAAAATTATCTAAAAAGAAATGTACTCATTACCTGACATATAACTGCAACCCCGCTGTACCTAACCTTTATAATAACAACAAATTTTTTAAGTAGTAGGACAATACCAGTATTCTCAGTTTTTTTAAACAAAAACTGAATTGATATGACAGTTTCCAGTCTACTCCTCCTTACTTCATACAATTGGCTATGTGTCATTGCTCTGCATGATTTTCAGTTTTTATTAGTGTAACTAAGTGCTTGTTTGGTAGCCAGTACTGCGGCTTGAACTGAGGGCCTCTCACTTGGCTCTTTTGTTCAAAACTGGTACTCTACCACTTGAGCCACACCTCTACTTCCTGCTTTTTTTGATGGTTAATTGGAAAGAAGAGTCTCTCAGACTTTTGACACAGTTCTTCAAGCCATGATCCTCCAATCTCAGCCTCCTGAGCAGCTAGGATTATAGATGTGAGCTACCAGCACCCGGCTTTTTTTTCTTTTGAATTTTATTATTTTATTATTATTTTTTTAATTCTGTCTGGATTTCAAGGAGATAGCAATCTAAATATATCAATATTTATCAACAAAATATATCAATACTATGACAATAATGGAATTACCTTTTGTGTTACAAATATTTTTCTTTAATTGAAAAGCTGCAATGTAGTTTTCTAAATAGTATTTTTTTTATTGTAAAAATACTGTACAGAAGGGTTACAATTACAAGATAGTCAGTACATTTCTTATCAAGCATTGTAGCCTCCTCCTTTGTTTACCCTTCCCAGCCTCCCCTCACCCCCACCCACCTAATCCTCCCCCCCCCACCAAAGTTGTAAAGTTCATTTTCGACATGACAACTTGTACTTCTTCTAAATAGTATTTTTGACATAAGATTTCTAGCCTTTCCTTGTGAGTTTTCTTTTTTCTTTTCCTTCCTTCCTTCCCTTTCCTTCCCTTTCTTTCTTCTTTCTTTCTTTCTTTCTTTCTTTCTTTCTTTCTTTCTTTCTTTCTTTCTTTCTTTCTTTCTTTCTTTCTTTCTTTCTTTCTTTCTTTCTTTCTTTCTTTCTTTCCCAGTCCTAGTACTTGAACTCTGGGCCTGGCACTGTCTCTGAGCTTCTTTTGCTCAAGGCTAGCACTCTACTATTTGAGCCACAGTACCACTTCTGGATTTTTCTGTGTATGCGGTACTGAGGAATTGAAGCCAGGGTTTCATGCATGCAAGGCAAGAACTCTACCACTAAGCTACATTCCCAGCCTGTGAATTTTCTTTTTTAACATATAATGGAGAAGTAAACTACTAGTAGATAGGAAATAATAGGATAAACACTTAGATTTTTCTGACCTCTTGTGGAAGATCACATATATCTCTGTTGACAGCCAGTTCTAGTTTCTCCAAGCTGGCACAATTACTTAGTTCCTTGGGGACAGTTTTGATTTTGTTGTAGCTAAGAATCAGTTCCTGAAGTCTAGTAAGTAGTCCTACAAAACAAAACAAAAAATAGTGGAAAACAGATGAACAAAATGTTTCCAGCTACGATGAAGTTATAGGGCAGATTTCATATATAATTCACAGTTTTGTTTTTTTGTTTGTCGGTCGTGGTGTCTGAACCCTGGGCCTGGGTGCTGTCCCTCAGCTCTTCACCTCAAGTCTAGCGCTCTACCATTTGAGCCACAACGCCACTTCCAGCTTTTTCTGTTTATGTGGTGCTGAGGAATCGAACCCAGGGCCTCATGCATTCAAGGCAAGTACTCTACCACTGAGCCACCTTCCCAGCCCCTAACTCACAGTTCTTATTTTCTCCCTTTTTCCTTGTCAGTGTCCTGCCCCAACTTTAAACACAGGAAAAGTGTTGGTGGTAGGAACATGACTATTTTCATTGTTTTAACTAAACTACATAGCCTGGGCAGAAGGTAACTCAGTGGTTGAGCCCTTGCCTAGCATTTACCAGGCGTAGGGTTTGAGCCTCAACACCAAAACCAAAATATATTGGGCAATTTTTCATTTGAAGGATTTTTTTCCCCACTGTGCCATGAATTTTCATTTTCTTTCCCTCCCTCCCTCCCTCCCTCCCTCCCTCCCTCTTCCCCCCTCCCTCCCTCATTCCCTCCCTCCCCCCCTCCCTCATTCCCTCCCTCCCTCCCTCCCTCCCTCCCTTCCTTCCTTTGTTCTTTTTTGTGCCAGTATTGGGACTTGAACTCAAGGCCTTGCGCTTTTGCCTGGCCTTTTCACTCAAGGGCTTGAACCCCATCTCCACATCTGGCTTTTTACTGGTTAATTGGAAATAAGAGTCTCTGTTATTTGTCCGTCCAGGCTAGTTGCAAACCTCCCTCAGATCTCAGCCTCCTGAGAAGCTAGGATTCCAGGCATGAGTCACTAGTGCCAAGCTAAATGATTTTTATTGCCTTCAGCTTGTTGTAAGAGGAATAGCTAAATCAGCAATGTTGTTCCCGAAGCTACAGAACAGTGTCTCCAAACAGACTTTTCTCATTTTGAAATCTCATCTCTCATTGCTCCAACTAACCTAGAAGCTTACTTCCCTTGAGTTTCAATTTAGATGAAATGTTTTACAGTTTTCTCGCAACTTGGGGATATGTGTAGTCCACATACTTATTAAAAAAAACAGCTAGATAAAATAGAATAGGAGTAAAAGCAATCTTTCTTACCAATTCCTCTTGGTATCTCTGAAATTGTATTTCGAGATAAATCTAGCACAATGAGATTCTGGAACCGTCCAATGAATTCAGGAATTTTCAACAAACCAGTTCTATGAAGTTGCCATTCCTGTAGTTGATTGAGTTTCAGTAAAGAAGAAGGGAGAGTCTAAAGTAAAAGAAATGAGTCACTATATGACTTAAGTTAGATCATTGGCACATTGAGATGTGATATTAATTAATTAAAAAAAAACTTTGGAGCTGGGTACTGGTAGCTCATGCCTGTAATATTACCTAATCAGGAGGCTGAGGTTTGAGGATCATGGTTCAAAGCCAGTCAAATAGGAAATTCTGTAAGATTCATCTCCAATTAACCACCAAAAAGCAGATGTGTGGGCTTAGTGGTAGAGTGTTTGCCTAGCATGCATGAAGCCCTGGATTCGATTCTTCAATACCACATAAACAGAAAAGGCTGGAAGTGGTACTGTGGCTCAAATGGTAGAGTGCTAGTCTTGAGTAAAAGAAGCTCAGGAACAGTATGCTCAGGCCTTGAGTTCAAGCCCCAGGACTGGCAAAATTTTTTTAAAGCAGGAAGTGAAGCTAGGGTTCAAGTGGTTGAGCACCAGCCTTGAACAAACAAGCTAAGGGACAGGCCTTGCATTGAGCCTACAAAAAAAAAAAAAAAAAAGGACTTGGGAAAATTTTAACTTTTGTAGATAAAAAAAAAATTCCAAGTATTCTATGTTACTACTAAGTTCTAAGACCTTTACCTTTTTTTTTTTGCTAAAATTCAAACTCCAGTTATAGCATAATTAACAAAAGTGACATATCTTTGTCAATAATGTACACACATTGGAGTATATTGGAAGTGGCACTATGGCTCAAGTGATAGAGCGCTCACCTTGAGCTGAAGAGCTCAGGGACAGCACCCAGGCCCAGAGTTCAAACTGAACAACTGACAAAACAAAAACATTGGAGTATGTCTCAAAGCTTCTGTTCTACTAGGCTTTCATAGAGTCAATGGACTATTAAAATTGAGAATATTCAGCCAGGTGCCAGTGGCTCACACCTGTAATCTTAGCTACTCAGAAGGCTGAGATCTGAGGACCATGGGTTGAAAGCCAGCCCAGATGGACAAATCAATGAGACTCTTCATTTAACCACTAAAAAGCCAGAATGGGAGATGTGGCTCAAGTAGTAGGAAAAGACAAATTGGAGTTCAAGTTCCAAGACTGGCACATACACAAATAAACAAGATTATCAAAAAGATCTTAATCAGTCATTTAAACTTTTCTTCATTTCAAAGTATCTTGAAAGTATTTTTGTGGGGGGGGGGGGAATTTTTTTTTTATTGTGAAAAAACTGTACAGAGGGGTTACAATTACATGGGCAAGATAATGAGTACATTTCTTATCAAGCATTGTAGCCTCCTCCTTTGTTTCCCCTTCCCATCCCTTCCTATCCACCCCCCGCCCCCACCCAATCCACTTCCCCCCCCCCTCACCCCGCACCAAAGTTGTAAAGTTCGTTTTCGACATAACGACTTGTACATCTCCTTGTTGCAATGGGTCCACCTGTATCCCTAGTTAAAGATTTGTTTTTCCCCTTCCCCTCCACAAATTATACCAACATCAAATACAGTGAAAGCAGGGATTATACTGTGGGGGAGGGACATACAAAGCAACAAAGAAATAATCTTATAAATGTGTTAGAAACAATCGCATGAAAGAAATCTTGAAAGTATTTTTTTTTTCTTCTTATGTGGTACTGAGGAATCAAACCCAGGGCCTCATGCATGCAAGGCAAGCACTCTACCACTGAGCCACCTCCCAGCCCTAATCTTGAAAGTATTTTTAAGCTGGGCATTTTTAAAGAGTTTTATGTATTCTAAATTCTATTGATTTTTATTTCAGTGTAAAATAGACCCAAGAGGAAGCAAGGGAGTTAACCATTTAACTATAAATACCTATGTACATGCATAAAAATAAACACTTATAAAAATTACAGTATGCCTAATATAGCAAAGCAATTGTGTCTAAGTACATTTATATGCAAAGAGAGGAAAAAATATCAATCTGGACGCACACCTAACAAAGTAATAATATCCATTTTATTTTATGAAGCTTTAATCAATCATTTCAAAAAGAAATGGTGGTCAGATGGTCATCTTTTTTTTTCAAAGAAAATGAGAAATTACATATTATAAAGATTAAGAGGAAAAATATAACAAATAACTTGAGATTAAGCAGAAAATCTTTTTTGTTGTTGTTGGTTGTGGGGCTTGAACTCATGGCCTGGGCGCTGTCTCTCAGCCTCTGTGTGCTCAAGGGTTTTATTCTACCATTTGAGCTACAGCACTACTTCTGGGTTTTGAGTGGTTTATTGGAGATAAGAGTCTCACGGGGACTTTTCTGCCTAGCATGGCTTCCAGATCTCAACCTCCTGAGTAGCTAGGATAACAGGCTTGAGCCACCAGTATCTGGCTAGCAAATAATTTTTTTAAAAATTCAGCTAGTACTAGAGCTTGAACTCAGGGCCTGGATAGTGTTTCTTAGCTTTTTTGCTCAAGGCTGATGTTCTACCACTTAGGCTACAGATACACTTTCTAAGTTTTGGTGGTTGATTGGAGATAATTGTCCCAAGTGCTTTCCTGTCTGTCTGGCTTTGATTCTAAATCCTCAGATAACTTCCTGGGTAGCTAAGAATATAGGCATGAGCTGCTAGGGCCCAGTAGCAAATTATATTTTGGCAAAAAAAAAAAATTGTGAATTTATATGTCTCTTTTCTGTTCTTCTTGGTACCGAGACTTATTTGGTATATTGTTAATCTGATAATTTTTTATCAGATTAGGAATAGGAAAAGGAGAAGGAGGAGAAGGAAAGAGGAAGGAAGGAAGGAAGGAAGAAAGAAAGAAAGAAAAAAGGAAGGAAGGAAGAAAGAAAAAAAGGAAGGAAGGAAGAAAGACAGACAGACAGACGGACGGACTAGAGGCATGGTTCAGCAGTAGAACGTTTTCATAGAAAGCACAAGAACAAGGTTCTGGGTTCAATCCCCACTACAATAAACATAATTTGTAGCTATTTCAGTCTTTTATCTTTTTATTTTGCCAGGCCTGGGGTTTGAACTCAGAGCCTGGGAGTAGTTTTACCAAAGCTAACACTCTACCAGGAGCAACAGCTCCATATCCGGCTTTTTGGTGGTTAATTGGAGGTAAGGTTCTCACAGACTTTCCTGCGTAGGCTGACTAACTGTGATCCTCAGCTTCCTAAATAGCTAGGATTACAGGAATGAGCTACCTGAACGCAGCTATTGCAGTCTTAATTACATTGTCCCTCTTTTCAACTCTCCAACAAAGAACAAAAAGTGCAGAATCAGAAATTACTTTTCTAGCGTTTACCTTCCATTCTTCTTTTTCTATCTTCAAAACGAGTCTTCCATCTTCTCTGTTGACCTTTTCTTTTAGTTTTGTTAAACTTACTCGTTCTTCCCAAATCCGGACTAGTCTAGGAGAACAGAACATCAGTTTCGTTCCTAAGTATTGACATAGACAGCTGTCACTGTTGTGTGGATATCAGAATTGATTTTGCAATAATTATAAAAGCAATCAGTACCATAAATGTCCCAAGGTAACAGTGGGTTAACTCCCACTCCTTTGGGAATTGTCCTTTGTGGGGTTATTTCCTCTCCTTTTGCCCAGGATTCACAATTATAAAGACAAGCTGTGTCTAAATGATTTAGATGTTAGCTGATGAAACTCAGGAGTCTCAATCATGCGAAGCAAGATTCTACTGCCTTCTTTTAGTTTTACAGACCCTCCAACAACTGGAGGCATTCAGAGAATGTCCAGATGTGCAGAACCTCTCACCTATTCATCTTGCAAATTGACTCCACAAAGCATGTAAAACGCTTTGAGGATTAACTTGAAGAAAAGTAAGATGGGTGCCAGTGGCTCACACCTACTACTTACATCCTAACTACTCTGGAGGCCAAGACCTAAGGATCGTGGTTCAATGCCAGCCTAAACAGTGAGACTCTTATCACCAAGTAACCACCAAAAAGCCAAAAATGGAGCGGCATTTCAAATGGTAGAGCCCTAGCTTCGAGTAAAAAAAAAGAACTTAGGGATAGCACCAGGCACTCAGTTCAAGCCCCAGAACCTGTGGGTGTGTGCATGCGTGCACAAGCACGTGCACACACAGACAGACATAGACACAGAATAACGTGTGTGGGTCTAGTATGTTATCTTCCTACTTACTTTCCGCCTTCTTTTCTCTCCCTTTTGCGTTCCTCAGTTCCCTAAGATGCTCTATATTTCGCAGATGATAGTCCCACATCTTCTCAGGGCCCCTGATTAGAACTAATTTATTTCCCCTCTTCTCTCTAGTATTGGCTTTTGAAGCAGTTCAGAGATGAACTTGAGTCTGATAGCATGCCTTTTTAAAATTAATTTGTCTATTTTGGTGCTGAGCTAGAACCTAGGGCTCTGGGCATGCTAAACATGGTTCTGAGTTTTTGAAAAGTATTATAATTCCCCATATATTTTATTTGCAATAGCCTTATTGAGATACAATTCATATACTGGTGGGTTTGCGGTATATTTATAGTCTTAATTAATTACTATGTAATTCCAAACTACTTTTGACTTAAAGAAATTCATCCTCTCCAAACCTATCCATAGCTGTCATTCTCCACTTTCATATTTCCCCTTCTTCAGCAATCATGAATCTCCTTTTTGTTGTTGTTGTGATCCTGAGTCCTGAGTCTTGAACTCAGGGCCTGGACACTGTCCCTGTACTTTTATGCTCGAGGCTAGTACTTCAGACTTAAGCCACAGTTCCACATCTGGCTTTTTGGCAGTTAATTTCCATTACAGTCTCAGGGAATTTCCTGTCCAGGCTGATTTTAAATCATAAATGTGAGATCTCAGCTTCCTAAACAGTTAAGATTACAGGCAGGAGCTGCCAGCTTCCAGTATAAATTCATTACTTTCATTACAAGGACAAGCAGCTAAATTAAATGGTCCTTAATTGATGACAATGATTGTTGCCTTTGAGACCCCTCTTAATTGGCCCTGCTTAGGATACCCTCTTTGTCTTGGTAGAATATAATGCGAGCAAGAATCTTACTGAGCAAGTTTGGTGAGCATCCCTTGCTTTGCTCCCTAAACACTTTACTTCAGCAATAATCCTATCCAGCCATGTCAGCCAGAAACCCCTTCTGACTCCTTTCAGGGCATTTCCACCCACTCTCTCCCCTGCTCTGCCTGCAATCATCCTTTTATTTATTTGTTGCAGTCAGAATTGAGTCCAGTCCCTCTCCACCACTGTAAGACTCTCTAAAGCTCAAAACTATCGTAATTGGGACAATATGAACACTGTACATTTCACAGGAGTAGTTTTATTTATAAAAGGGGAAAGTCAGGACATTGAAGACCTTGGTGAATGTAATGTTTACTGAATCAGATCAAGGTGTGAATACCAGTTCTGCATTTACTGGCAATGCGATCCTTGAAAAGACACTTCGGCCTGTCCCTTAGGTTTTTCTACTTTAAATGGAGAAAAATAACAGTACTTATATGTAGCCAGGACTACTCATCACCCTCTGACATCTGTTGTGCCTCTTTCTCAATAATGGGTCCTCTAGTGGGCATAGTGGCACATACCTGTAGTCCTAGTACCCAGAAGGCTGAGGTGGGAGGCTATTAGAGTTTGAGGCAAGCTTGGGCTGCATAGCAAGTTTCTTTATGAAAAAAAAATCCTTTAAATTAACTAGGCACTAGCCATTTAGCCATTCTCTCTTGCAGCTACAAACAGGCGGTGTGATGTTTTGCCAATGGACTATTACAGAATTGTGTTCAGTTCCCTTGAAGGGCAACTTCCTGCTGGCTGGAAATACATGTGATGGCTGCAGTTGCCCATCTATTTTAGGCAGCAGGTGAAGGAGGAGGCAGACTTTAAGAATGGAAAACCATGGATGGTTGGGCAATAAGATAAGAGGCCAGAGTGTCTGACTTGGTGGAGTGCGATTGCATGCTTGTTGGCTTTGCATGGAAAGAATGTTTTCTCCTCATCCAGATCTTTTTGCATGTGTATAGGTGTGTCAGAACTGGGGCTTGAATTCAGGGCCTAGATGCTGTCCCTAAGCTTTTGTCTGTTCAAGGCTTGTGCTCTACCACTGGAGCCGCCATAGCTTCACTTCCAGCTTTATTGGTGGTTAGTTGGAGATACGAGTCTCATGCACTTTCCTGCCTGGGTGAGTTCTCAACTGCTATCCTCAAATCTCAGCAGTAGCTAGGATTACAGGCATGAGCCCGCAGGGCCGAGAATCTAAACTTTTTTTTTTTTTAACATTCACCAGGTGCAAATGGTGGCTTATCAATAATCTTTCACCTATTTTATTTATTTGGACTATCTGTCTATCTATCTACCTATCTACCTACCTATCTATCTATCTATCTACCTATCTACCTACCTATCTATCTATCTATCTATCTATCTATCTATCTATCTATCTATCTATCTATCTATCTATCTATCTATCTACCTATCTACCTATCTACCTATCTACCTATCTATTTATCTATGACAAAGTCTCACTATATAGCCCAAGCTGGCTTCAAACTCTCCATCTTCCTGCCTGAGCTTCCCAGAGTGCTAAGATTACAGGCATGTGCCACCATGACCAACTCTCCCTTTTTCTTTAGTGAAAGAAAACCAATTGTTACCCTACCCCCAAGGAATCATGGAATGCATCTTGTTTTCAATCCCATTTCTCTGCCTGGGGTGTACAAATGACCCATTTCTAGCCATTGAAGGAGAAGTTCACTAGAGCTGAGAAACATCTCCTCACTCTTAAAGAGAAAGGAAATCAAGTTCTGGATGGTTTAGTTGTAATCCTAACTCAGGAGGCTAAGATCCAGAGGACCAAAACAAGATCCAAAGGAAGCCTAAGCAGAAAAATCCTCTGAATCCACTTTCAAAATAATCAGCAGAAAGTCAGACGGGAGGCATGGCTTGATTGAGTGAGCACCAGTCAAGTAAGTGAGAGGCCCTGAGTTCTAATTCTACTACAGCCCAAACAAAAGAATGGATGAATGAAAAAGGAGAACATGCTTGGCTGGCAGCCTGGGATTGGCAGTAGGAAGTAAGAACAAAGCTGACTTTACCAACATGGAAGTTCTGCTCTACTTTTGGAGCTGTCTTACTTCTCAATTGCCTAGGCCTTTTATATTGAAGTTTCTGTGACTTGCTAACTGAAATTAACACATTTACTTTTTTTTTTTTTTGCCAGTCATGGGTCTTGAACTCTGGGCCTGGGCGCTGTCCCTCAGCTCTTCAGGTCAAGGCTAGCGCTCTACCACTTGAGCCACAGCACCACTCCCAGCTTTTTTTTTTCTTCTGCTTATGTGATGCTGAGGAATTGAACCCAGGGCTTCATGCATGCGAGGCAAGCGCTCTACCACTGAGTCACCTTCCCAGGCCCCAAATTTACTATTAAAAAAAAAACAAACACCTAATGAATGAGAATTGTAGGGGACCATGTGGAATCTAGGAGAAAACAGACTATTCTTGTAAAATCAGTAGGAAACTCTGAAGACAACCAATCAGGAAAGTAAGAAAGATCTAGAAGAGGCAGAGGAAATGAGAGCCAGTCTCCTTAAATATAACCCCAATCAGGTAATCAGGTGTTCCTCAGAGGTCCTAGCTCGAACTTATAGCTATTCAAGTAGCTAGAAATTTGTAGTACCTTCTACTACCAGTTTGTGTGTGTGCATGTGTGTGTGTGTGTATGTGCGTGTGTGCATGCACACTGTTACTGGGGCTTGAACTCGGGCTTTTGCACTCTTTTTGTTCATGGCTGGCCCTCTACCACTTGAACCACACCCCTGCTTTCCACTTTTTGTTGATTTATTGGAGATAAGAGTTTTAAAGACTTTTCTGCTTAGGCTGGCTGTGAAGCTCCATTTTTGTATCTCAGCTTTCTGGGTAACTAGGACTATAGGTATGAGCCACTGGCACATGCCACTTCCCCTTCCTCCCTCCCTCCCTCCTTCCCTCCCTCCCTCCCTCCCTCCCTCCCTTCCTTCCTTCCTTCCTTCCTTCCTTCTTTCCTTCCTTCCTTCCTTCCTTCCTCCCTTCCTTCCTTCCTTCCTTCCTTCCTTCCTTCCTTCCTTCCTTCTTTTCTGGTACTGGATTTGGGATTAAGTCCCTTTCATTTGCTAGGGAGCTGCTCTACCACTTGACCCGTGCTTCTAGTACTTCTTATTTTAGATATTAAAAAATATAATACTGAACAAACAATCCTGAAAATGAAAGAGAATGATAACTATTCAAACCGGTGAATATACACAGTACCTACCACAAGACAGAGGATGACCACCATTTCCACATACAAATGCTTTTTAAAAAATCAGTGGAGGGGCTTGAACTCAAAGCCTTGCTCTCATTTGACTTTTTCATCAAGACTGGCACTCTACTACTTGAGCCACACCTTCATACCTGGCACTTAGTAAATAAGCTTTCATAATGACGAGACTCTGAGTATTCACTAATTCAAAATAACAAACATGTCATAGCATACTTCTGTTGAAATTCCTTCTCTCGCTTCAGATCTTCATTGTGTTTCTTTATTCTTTCTTCCCAAACTTCCTTCGCAGCATGAAATGCCCCAGTGCAAACTACGTTCTCTGTCATGATTTCTCCACATTGTCAGCAAGGTGTCAACTTCATTAGGCTTTGTACAGCAGGATCACCATGGACTACTCAGAAAGGACCTAATAAATGGTGCACCAGAGGGTGGGAAGAATGTTCATTGAATACTTTATTATTATACTAGATATAATTATCATAAAAGATAACGATTACTGAACACTGCTCTAGAAACTATTCTATGTATTGGTTCAGTTGGTGGATTGGTTTTTGGCTTTGTTTTTCTCTTTGCCAGTACTGGGGCTTGAACTCAAGGCTTTGTGCCCTCACTTGGCTTTTTCACTGAAGGCTGATTCTACCACATGAAGTCATACAACTTCTGGCTTTTTGGTGGTTCACTGTAGACAGAGTCTTTCAGATTATAGGTGTGGGGCACAGCAATGCCCAGTGGTTGGTTTTGGAGACAGGGTCTCACAATGTTGCTCAGGTTGGTTTCAGACTCACAGACTCAAACAGTCCTTTCAGATCAGCCTCCTAAGTAACCAGTATTACAGGCATGCACCACCATACTTTATGACTATTGTACATATTTTACATGCCACGTTTCCCCTTAAGACCCTTATATAAAATATTACAATTCAAATACTTTCGTGGATTATTTGGCAATGGAGATGTGCACATTATAAGCACCCTGGGGTAACCTTTTCTACAGTAAGGTATTGGTGAAGATGTACACTTGTGGAAATTTTAGTACAGTGACTGTAACAGAAGTTATGGGAACAAATCACCTTGGGAAACAGTTTGGCTCTATCTTGTAACAGTTACCCACATTTTCAGCAAGTAATTTACTAAAAAAAAAAAAAAAAAAAACCAATAAATATAAAAAATAATAAATATAAAAAAAAATGTACTTATTTCCTGACTTATAAATTGGTAATCCAGCTGTATATCACCTTTATAATAATAATAAAATTAATTTTTAAAAAAGAATATTTGAGACATTTAAAAAAAAAACAAAACTCATTGAGGCCAGGCACTGGTGGGTCATGCCTGTAATCCTAGCTACCCCAGAGACTGAGATCTGAGGTTCGTAGTTCCAAGCCAGCCTGGGCAGGAAAGTCTATGAGACTCTTATCACCAATCAACCAGCAAAAAATTGAAAGTTAATTGGAAATAAGAATTTCAGGATGCTTGCCTTGCATGTATGAGGCCCTCAGTTCGATTCCTCAGCACCACATAAGCAGAAAAAGCAGGAAGTGGGGCTGAGGCTCAAGTGGTAGAGCACTAGCCTACAGCTGAAGAGCTGAGGGGCAGTGCCCAGGCCCAGAGTTCAGGCCCCACGACCAACAAAAAAAAAAAAAAGAGAGAGAGAGAGAGTTTCAGGAATTTTCCTGCCTGGGTTAGCTGCAAATTGGGATCCTCAGATCTCAGCTTCCTGAGTAGCTAGTATGACAGGTGTGAGCCACCGGCACCTGGCTCAGACCAACAATCTTGATGAACATGAACACAAAAATTCTCAACAAAATACTTGCAAACCAAACTCAATAACACATTATAAAAGTCATGCATGCACCACAAGCAAGTGGTTTTACTCCAAGGATGCAAAGATGGCTCAGCCGATGCAAATTCATAAATAGAATACAATATGTAAATCGAATTAAAGGCAAAAAAAATCACAAATTCATTTCATGCTTCAAAATAATAAGGGTTACATAAGACAAACCTAAAAGCAGCATCATACAAAAAGCTAAGGAGGAGAACAAAGATGGAATGAATGTCCTCACTCAACTGTAAGATCCAGGATGTCTGGTTAACTCTTAATCAGTCCACAATGTCCCTGATGGCTCATTTCCCAGCCTATGCACTGATGGCTGGTCATTGCCAAGCCGTAGCACAAGAAAGAATATGGTGAAGCATCTATGTACAATTTATTTGCATAGATAAGCCAGTGTGGTATGGATGCTGACAAGGAACAGTTTAGCATATGCAGTGCTTTTGGGCCTATAGGAAGGAGGTGGAGGTGGTTTTGATGAATTATGAGGAGGAAAAAAAGTTTTCTTTCTGAATTTCATGGTCAATAAAATATTTCACTTTTAAGTTGGATGTTTCTGCTACAGGTTTTTGATTCAGAAATTAATATTTTGCCTGTTAACTGTAGATGCATTAAAATGGGAAAAGATACATTAAAAAAGTCCCTGAGATTCAAATGGAAGAGAAACCATTTTAGCTGTTTGCTTATTTCTCGGGGCTGGGACTTGACCTTGGGTCTCAATAGACTAGACAAGAGAAACTATTTTATAAGTGGATGTTTGGGTTGTAAAATCTGTTTGTAAAACCGAGATCCTATTTTATATTGATATCAAAACAATTTAATTTCAAATGTGGTTGGAAAGGTCTGAAATCTTAGCTTATCCAGAGGCTGAGACCAAAGGATCATTTGAGCTCAGGAGTTCAAGGCCACCCTAGTCAATATAGTATAACCCTGTTGTGTGTGTGTGTGTATATGTGTGCATATGTGTTTATATATATATATGTATATACATAAACCAAGAAAGACAGTAACAGTAGGGCTATAGCTTTGTGAAGATATAAGAGAACTTATAATAAAAGCCAAACAAGAACATGAGGGCCTAAATTCAAGCCATAGTACTGGCATACACATATGCACACATATACACAAATACATACACACATACACACACAAAGTCAAGATAAAACAAAAACCTTGATATTACATGTATGAATAATCTAATTACCTGGGCATATTCCTTATAATTTCTACTCTCAGCTATATTGAAATATTTTAGATACTTAGATATTTTAAATACTTTAGATAACAACAAATAATGAAAAATATTCTTAAAGTCCCAACTACCTATATGTGTCTATGTATTTTACTAGATATATGACAATTCAGTCATTTGTGGATTTGTTTCCACATTTGCCATTCAATTTCGGTCATCTGTTACTTTTCCCTTGATGACGTATTTCCCTCAGAAGAGAGCCAGCCTTTAACACAAGATCTCTGTCTCACTTTGATTGACATGTAATTGAAAAGCATGTAGCACATCCAAGAGATCAGTTTTTCAGAGGGGTAAAAAGACCAAAGAAACACAAGCTCAGGAGTAATGTTTTTTGCTTGTAGGGAAAAGTATGACATTCCCCTTACCTTACCCCAATCCCCCTCCCCCCAAAAAAAGACTCATTCAAGTTTGGTTGTACATTCTGGCAATTATAGATGCAGGAAATTCATCGGCAGTGAACTGTATGTGAATAGAGAGAAAAATGGTTGTAAAATATACTTACCAGTGCTGGTAGATGCTGAAGCTAGCATGGCCAAAAGTCAGCAATTATCAATCAGCTAGGAATGGATTGCAGGGTGATTTTTGTTGTTGTTTGTTTCCAGCGTGGCTGCAAATGCCAACAGTCCTCAGGGAGGCTGTAACCCAGTGACATGTAATGTCAGCCGACTTCTAATTTTAGCTCATGGACAAGGCTGAGAATAGCAAGAATCCCATGGGGCTCGGGTGCACAGGATCAACTGATAAGGGACATGCGTGTGAAATGCTATCTCACGAGTGCTATAAAAGGACCAGACACAACTGCTTCTAAGCTCCAAAAAAGAATTCCTATTCAAAGTCCTTGTACTTTGTGTGACTGAAACATTAGGAAATAGTAGACACTATTTCAAGCAGGGAAACAGAAATACAACAAAATTCCTATCTAGTAAATGAGAGGCCTGGAAATACCTACCTAAAGGTACCCATACTTCAGAGAAAGGAAAAGTAAGCATGTGGTTAAAGGTGGATAATGAAGGAACCCCAAACTTCTGCTCAGTCATTCTTTTTTCTTTTCTTTTCTCCTTTTCTTCTGTGTTTCTTTTCTCCTTCCTTCCCTCCTTTTTCTTTCTTTCCTTCTTTCTCTTTTTCTTTTTTTATAGTAGGAATTGAATCCAGGGTCTTGCACATCTGAGCTATACTTTTTCCTCACAAAAATTTAAATTGAACTGACCTAGGTGCTATCCCTTAGCTTTTTAGATCAAAGCTGGTGCTCTACTTTTTGAGCCAAAAACGACACTTCTGGCCTTTTGGTGGTTCACTGGAGATAAGAGTCTCACAGACTTTCCTGCCTAGGCTGGCTTTAGAATCACAACCCTCATATCTCAGTCTCCTGAATAGCTAGGATTACAGATGTGAATCACTGGCATCTAGCTTGAGCTCGTGTGTGTGTGTGTGTGTGTGTGTGTGAGTGTGTGTGTGTGTGTGTGTGTGTTGGTCCTGGGGCTTGAACTGTGATCCTCCGATCTCAGCCTCCTGAGTAGGTAGGATTACAGGTGTGGGCACCAGCGCCTGGCTCAGTCTTCTCTTTCTTGATCTCCAAATTTGGGTAAACCCCCTCTGAAGAAAGGCATGGAGAATGAATAGATTTCTACACACAACTCACTCCAAATTCAAAGTTGGAGATTGTTTATCTCCTGAACTGGGTTTCGGCCTCCACTGAGACTTCTTTGGTTCTGAGCGTCAAACTAGCCGCTCCTGCCCAGCCATGGAGGCACAGGGAGAAGGCCAGATCCTCTGCCAGCCGCTGCTCTCACGGGGTGAAGGAACTCTCCTGCTTGGTCCCTGGGACCTGAAGAGAAGCTTCATCAGTGTTGGCTGGGGTGAAGTCATCTCCTGGAGACCGACATTGGACATTTGGGTGGCCAAGGTTCTGCCTGGCTGGCTGGCAGGCTCTGGCCACCAATGCTAACCCCGCCTCTTGCTCACAGTGCAGTCTCTCCTTTCCTGCAGGCTTCTCCTTATAAGTACCCCTCCCCAGCTGCTGCTCTCTGTCTGATGGACTCAGCCTGCCTGTCTTTCTGGCATTGAACTCTTCTTCCCCTCTTGGATGTGTGTGGGGTGCTTTATGCAGCCAAGACATCTAACAATGAAACTGCTCAACTACTCCAGAAGTCCATGAGGCCAGAGGTCTAAGGCTGAGGGATGCAAGGTAGGGATCCAAGGGCAGGAATGCAAGGCAAAGGCACAAGGCCAGGCCAGGGGGCTGGTTGTCACTGTACTCCTTCCTCCCTTGGTAGTACTCTGCAGGGACTAACGTAGGCTGAGATTGAGCTCTGCAGACACCAGGCAGGGAAGGCTCGGTCGCGAAGTACTGATTCCATTCTCTATATTATCTCCCTTTGAATGTGTAATAAATACAAACAATAGAGTATTATCAGTCACTTAAAAGCATGGTAATGTGGAATTGTTTATTGACATAGTTACCCAGAATATAAATTGAAAAAAAAATCAAACTGTAGACAGTGGACTCTAATTCCATTTATATCAAATAGCTATGTATACAGGTCAATACATAAAAAGGTAACAGTTACAAGATGATATGTCATGTTTTATTTTGTTTATAAGACTCCATACCATCTGATTTTCTATCCTTTTCTTTCTTCCTTTGGCAGTACTGGAGTATGAACTCAATACCCCCACACTAAGGAGACAGGACTCTGTTGCTATGTCTCGGGTACGTTTCTGGCTTCCTGGATAGGTGTGCACCAGGACCTAATCTACTTATTTGCAGGTCATCTCTGTGATGAGGGCTGATGCCACCTCACTGAGCTTACTTCCATTGAGACGGAGTCTTGTGAACTTTTCTGCCCAGGCTGGCCAAGGACCACCATCCTTCTGATGTCAGTAACAAGGATTACAGGCACATTTGAAAACCAAGACAGGAACTCATTCATAAGTCTCCTGCAGGATGAATTACAGCCCTATGTGCCATAACCCAGCTCTGAATGCTTTAAATAACAGCATCTGTTTATTTATGAGGTACTAGGCTTTGAAATCAGGGCCAATCAGAGCTTATTAGGCAGCTGCTTTACCACTTGTATCCCCACCTCCAGTCCCTTTGCTTTTGTTAGTGACTTCTTTTCCTCTTAATCCAGCCTGGACTGTGTGCCTCCTATTTATATGTGCCACATAGAAGAAATGTGAGGTGCACATCATGAAATGCTCAACTTCTCTAGCCATAAAAGAAATGGAAATAAAGACAACATTGAGATTCCACCTCACTCCAGTTAGAATGGCTATCATCAAGAAATCTAGTAACAAAAGATGCTGGAGGGGATGTGGCCAAAAGGGAACAATACTGCATTGTTGGGAGTGTACACTTGTTCAACCACTTTGGAAAGGAGTATGGAGGTTCATCAAAAGAGTCCATATAGAGCTCAGTAACCCCTCTTTCGGGCATTTACCCAAATGATCACAAACAAGGTCATACTAAAGCTACCAGCACAACCAGGTTTATCGCAGCATTAATCACCATAGCTAAGATATGGAACCAACCCAGATGCCCCTCAGTAGATGAATGGATCAAGAAAATGTGATACACACACACACACACACACACACACACACACACACACACACACACACACACACACACACACACACACACACACACACACACACACACACACACACACACACACACACACACACACACACTAGAATTCTATGCCTCCATCAGATGCCTAGCATTTATTGGTTGAAAAGGAGTATTCTCCTAAACTTTCTCCATGGATTGACCTCAAATGGCAATCTTCCCTTAAAATTAGGATTACAAATGTGAGCCACCATAAACAGCTCACTGGTTATTTGCATTCCCATTTTGAAAAAAAAAATGAGTTTTGTCACAAAATTTCATTTGAACAACTAATTTTGGCATGTAGTCTTCAACTGAACAAGTTGTATACAACCTCAAGCCCAGGACTACTCTTCTTTCCTTTTTGGCCAGTGCTGGGGCTTGAACTCTGGGCCTGGGCACTGTCCCTGAGCCTCTGTGCTGAAGGCTAACACTTTACTACTTGAGTCATAGTGACACTTCTGTTTTTTTCTGAGTAATTTATTGGAGATAAGAGTCTTGTGAACTTTTCTGCCTGGGCTGGCTTCAAATCTCGACCCTCAGATCTTAGCCTCCTGAACAGCTAGGATTACAGGCATGAACCACTGGTGCCCAGTTGTTGTTTTTTAAATGCCAGTATTGAAGCCTGAACTCAGGGCCTGGGCATAGTCCTTGGCTTTTCCACTTTATCCTTTGAGCCACAGCTCCACTTCTAGCCTTTTTGTGGTTAATTGGAGATAGTGTTATGGACTTTTCTGTCCAGGTTGGCTTTAAACCATAATCCTCAGGTCTCAGCCTCCTGAGTAGCTAGGAGTACAGACAAAAGCCATGGTTAACCAGCTTAAATAGATTCATCTTGATGTTACATATACATTTATATACACCCACATATATAATGTTAGTGGCTTTAGGATTTGAATTCAGCACTTCTCAGTTGCTAGGCAGTGCTCTACAGCTTGCCATGCCTCCAAGCCTGATGGTCTTTTTTTTTTTTTAAGGTCATGGGGCTTGAACTCTGGGCCTGAGCACTGTCCCTCAACTCTTCAGCTCAAGGCTAGCGCTCTATCACTTGAGCCACAGCACCACTTCCGGTTTTCTAGTGGTTTATTGTAGATAAGAGTCTCATGCCCAGGCTGGCTTTGAACTGTGATCCTCAGATCTCAGCCTCCTGAGTAGCTAGGATTATAGGCGTGAGCCACTGGCACCTGGCTCTGATGGTATTTCTGATTAAAGTGAACCTTTAACAAAGTATTCATGTGAAGTCTTCATTTCTATATAAAATTTATTTTTTCATTTTTCTGTCCATGATTTCCCTTTATCTCCCCTTATTCACATTCCTCTTCAGGAAATTCCTATTTTTTTAGCTGAAGATCCAGAAAATTAAGAAGTAAATTAAATGTAGTAGCTGCTACCTTTAAAGTGCCTCCCTATCACGAGTGACTTTGTAAAGGCTAAGTGCTTTCCAACAAAATGCAGAAGCATTGGTAAAATTCTAAAACCAACATATTTAACACCTTACTGGTTATAAAATTACAATTAAAACCAGGCTATAATTTCTCTTGAAAAAGATGTCAAATTTTCAGAATAAAACATTTACAGACGATCCACAATAGACTGCAGGGTATCTTAAAAGATCAGGATAATTGCACTTATTTTATGAAACAGTTCACATGATTGTAGGGAAATGAAAAATATTTTTGTATGTATATTCATTTTCCAACTAAATATAATTTAAAAGCTTCAGAAAGAATCAGTTATTCCGTACAAAAGAAATAGCAAATACTGTATATAGTCACTTGTCTCCTAGTAACAGTAATTTTGTTTTCTTTTTTGCCAGTCCTGGGGCTTGAACTCAGGGCCTGGGCACTGTCCCTAAGCTTCTTTTTGCTCAAGGCAAGCGCTCTACCACTTGAGCCATCGTGCCACTTTCAGTTTTTTCTGTTTATATGGCACTGAGGAATTGAACCCAGGGCTTCGTACATGCTAAGCAAGCATTCTACCACTAAGCCACGTTCCCAGCTCTAATTTTGTTTTCTTGACCTTGACACAGTTCTCCGCACCATATTAAGGAGCCACACTCTGACCTATAAAACGGGAAAACCCATAGGAACCAGCCCACCATTATTCATTTTCCACAAACATCTCATAGAACAGTGCTATTGTACATTAGAACCCCAATCGCATAATACAAGTCATTTATGGTACAAATTGTAGTGAAGAATATGAGCTTGGCACAGCTAGGCTTTGCATCTTCTTTGGAAGTTCAAAGATGTCTTACAAGTGTTCATTTTAGATCTAGTAGCATCAAAGCTGGGTTTTCTAAGTAGGACTTCCACAAGTTGGAGAAGCGTGACATGGTAGCGCCGTCAATAATTCGATGATCAGCTGACCAGCTCACGTTGACTATGTGTGCTTTATAGACTTCTCCTTTCTGGTTAAATCGAGGAAGAGCCTAGAAACAAGGTGAGCCAAGAAACAAGGAATGAACTTTCACCCACTCAGAAGCTTAGGATCAGAGGACAATGGTGTAGCTTGGGCAAACCCTCTGCCCTACAGAGAGGAAGGGGCGGCTCTCGTGGCTTCTGAAAATGCTAGCTCCCGTTTCTCCCGCCTGGGAGGACAGATCCCAAGCTGTCAGTTTCTCTATGGTGCCTCCTGTCCCATAGTTTCCATGCTTATATGAAATGTCATCTCAGAGATCAAGTATTTTAACCATTTTTAATGGGCACCCACTATGTGCTAAGTACTATTATAGGCTCTAGGGAGACACACACTTAGGATATTAAAACACTTAAGATACTAAGGCTCCTCACTGAAGACAATGAGAACAGACTGTGTAGATGCCTGAAGCAGGACATGGGAGGGACAAGACAGAACAAGACCGGAGTGTTGGAGGAAGGCATGGTCTCAGTGGAGGGTGGGGTGGGGGAGAAAGCTTGTAATTTATAGCAAAAAGAAGAGAGCAAAGCAGAGATGAGACAAAAAGAGGGAGGAATTAAATAATATTTGTCTTTATCCAATAGAGGTTATATTAGATCATAATGAAGACTGTTCTAAGAAAGGTTCTTCAGTCCAGCACTGGTGGTTCATTCCTGTAGTCCTCGCTACTCCAGAGGCTGAGACCTGAGGATCAATGTTAAAGCCAGTCGAGGCAAAAAAATCCATGAAGCTCTTATCTTCAATTAACCAGCAAAAAGCTGGAAGCAGAGGTGTGGCTCAAGTTGTAGAATGCCAGCCTTGCATAGAAAAAGGTAAGTAAGCCAGATGCTGGTGGCTCATGCCTGTAAATCCTAGCTACTCAGGAGGCTGAGATCTGAAGATAGCGGTTCAAGGCCAGCCCGGACAAGAAACTATGAAACTCTTATCTCCAATAAACTACTGAAAAAAGCTGGAAGTGGTGCTGTGGCTCAAGTGGTAGAGTACTTGCCTTGAGCAAAAGCAGCTCAGTGACAGTGCCCAGGCCCAGCAAAGAAAAAGCAAATCAAGAATTTAGGCCTAGTTCAAGCCTGAATACTGCCACACAAGCACACGCACATGTGTACACACACACACACACACACACACACACACACACACACACACACACACAAGCATTAAAGAAAGAAAAGAAAAACCATACTTCATATCTTAAAGAAATCATGGGGGGGAGAGTAGTTGAGGAGGTGGGAGGGAAGGGATGGTAGGGGAAAAACAAGGGAGGAGGCAACAATGCTGGAAAAGAAATGTATTCATTACCTTGCTCATGTAACTTGTAACCCCTCTGTACAGTATTTTCACAATAAAAAACTTATTTTAAAAATAAGTGGTGTCTTAGATCTGTAAACACACACACACACACACACACACAAATATACCTAAATTGGCAAAACTATACAAACAGTAATAATTAACAGATGAAAACTTATTTTGCCTGAAGCCAAAGGAAAAAAAGGAGAAAAAGAAAAAAAAGAAATCATGGGTGAAATGATTAAAACATCAGTTAAGCAGGTACCTGTAGACTGCTGTTCATGTGGCAGTATTCCTAGATGCTGGAAAAATATGAACCGAAATACTCAGACAGATGGACTAATAAACCAAACATGGATTACACAGGCCCTGAGTTCAAGCCCCAGTACCAGCACAACACAAAAACAAAAACACAGTATGCTTAACAGAATATTATTTAGCTTTCACAAACAAATGAAATGACGATCCAACCTATACCATGAATTTTGAAAATATGCTAAGAGAAATTAACAAAGACATAAGGGGACAAATGTATGATTCCACTTTTATGAAGTACCAGCATAGTCAAAAGCAGAGACAGGAAGTAGAGAGGGGTTGCGAGGGGGTTGAGAGGAAGACGGAAGCGGGGTTTACTGGTCGGGGGTACAGAGTGCAGCTTTACGCATGATCAATGGGGATGGCCGTACCAGACCATGAAAGTACGTAAAGTTCATATTATGTTTCTCTTGCTCTCTCTCTATATATACATATGTATATATGTATATACATACACACATCTATGTATATCTATGTATATATATTGCCAAACTGTATGTGTAAATATACATATATGTTACAGACAACTCATTTAGAAGGAAATAGCTTAAAGGAAAAGTAAAAACCAAACTTTATCAAACCCGTTTGACAGTTTGGAAACCAGGAAGCCAAACTTTGGTGAGCAATCAAATGCTGACTTGTGGTTGGAAACAGAATTAAGTAACGGAGCAATTACCACCCAGAGACAACTCCTGGTTGGCAAAGAACAAGCCATTTCCTTTCTTTCTCTACCTTCTCTGTTTGCAAGAAGATCAAGCGGACTTTAAGAAGAGGGAGGAGACAGCTGAGGGGACTCACAGCTACTGCAGCAGTAGAGATTGGGAGAATTGTGGTTTGAGGCTAGCCTGGGCATAAAGTTCATGAGACCTGGGCTGGGAAGGTGGCTCAGTGGTAGAGCACTTGCTTTGCATGCATGAGGCCCTGGGTTGATTCCTCAGCACCACATAAGCAAAAAAGAAAAAAGCTGGAAGTGGCGCTGTGGCTCAAGTGGTAGAGCGCTAGCCTTGAGCTGAAGAGCTGAGGACAGTGCCCAGGCTCAAAGTTCAGGCCCCACGACTGAACCAAAAAAAAAAAAAGTTCATGAGACCTCATCTTAATCAGCGAAAAGCTGAACAGCATCCTTACTAGGTGGGAAATGGAAATAAGATTGTGGTCCAGGCTAGCCTGGGCAGAATGCAGACTCTATCTCAAAACATAACCAAAATAAAAAGGGCTGGGGGAATGGATCCAGAGGTAGAGCACCTGCCTAGCAAGAGCAAGGAGGTGGTGTCAAACTCTAGAGTCCTGTCTCTCTGTCCCCTGCCCTTCTCTACACCCTCCCTCAGGTAACTCAGGTAACTACAGGTAACTCACACCTGGAATCCTAGCTACTCAGGAAGTTGAGATCTGAAGATCAAGGTTCAAAGCCGGCCCAGGAGCAAAGTCTATAAGACTATCTTCAGTTACTCCATTAAAAAAAAAAAGCCAGAAGTAGAAGTGTGGCACAAGTAGTAGAGCTTCAGTTGAGTGAAAATGCTAAGGAACAGCACTAAGGCCTGAGTTCAATGCCTAGTACCTGCACAAAAAAGGAAAAAAAAAATGAGGGGGGGGGCAGGGGGAGGGAGAGAAACAGAAGCAGATAACATACTAGCTAGAACCATCTGCTAGAAAGCCAATCAGAGAGGGGTTCAAGGACAGTGTCTGTGAAAGTTGTTGTTGTTTTTGCTGCTCCTGGGGCTTGAACTCAGGGCTGGGTTTTGTCCCTGAGCTGCTTTTTTGCTCAAAGCTAGCTAGTATTCTATCACTTGAGCCATAATGCCACTTCCATCTGTGAAAGGTTGAGTTGCCATGTGAAGTAAGAAACACATGGAAGCCGGGCGCCAATGGCTCATGCCTGTAACCCTAGCTACTCAGGAGGCTAAGATTTGAGGATCTCAGTTTGAAGCCAGCTCAGGCAGGAAAGTCCATGAGTCTCTTATCTCCAATTAACCAATAAAAAGCTGGAAGTGTAGAAGTGGTAGAAGACTAACCTTGAGCAAAAAAGGTCAGGGACAGTAGATAGGCCCTGAATTTAAGCCCCAGGACTGACATCGAAAAAAAACCACTCCCCTCCCTGCCCCCAAAAATCACATGAAGACAGTAACAGATATGTTCAATGTGGAAACATCACAACCACAGAGCTAAAGAAAGGTTAACCAAGGCCAAAGTGGTAACTGTAACATAAATGACAGCAGAATGAAAGTGGCATGAGGGGTTTCTCAGCCCTGAGTTAGTTGGAAACCCAATGCCCATTTCTTCAAATTCTAATCAGCTGGCGTGAGATTAGCCAATGGACACAATTTTCAAGTTCCAGATGGTTTAAATGTACAGTCCTAGATAAGAATCATTACACCCCAGTTGTTTTGTTTGCTTTTTATTTTTTTTTGTTGTTGTTTTGATTTTTGGTGCCAGATCTGAAATCAGGGCCTGGGCATTGTCCCTGAGCATTTGTGCTCAAGGCTAGTGCTCTCCCACTTGAGCCACAGCTCCACTTCCAGCTTTTTGCCAGTTAATCGGATCTAAAGAGTCTCATAATCTTTCCTGCCCAGGTTGGCTTTGAACTATGATCCTTAGATCTCACCCTCCTGAACTGCTGGGATTACAGGTGTGAGCCACCTGCACCCAGCTGCACCCTAGTTTTAATCCAGAGTCTCTGGAAACATGGTGGTACAACGCCTTTGTGGGAATCACCTGGGTTCTTGCTCTAACTATAAATTTTGGGGACTCTGCCTCCAAGAACAAGCACTCTGCACTTGTGACCAGCTCTTGCAATGATTCTTGAGCATGAGTAAAGTTTGAGAAAAAAAAAAAAAGTTCTAAATTGTGTTTTTCTTTTCTTTTTGGTTGCTCTGGGTTTGAATTAAGGGATTCATGTCCTATTTGCTTGCTTGACTGGTGCTCTACCACTTGAGCCATGCCTCTGGCCTGGCTTTTTACTGGTTTTCATGTGTGTGTGTGTGTGTGTGTGCGCGCGCGTGCGCGCACGCCAGTCTTGGGACCTGAATGTTGTCCCTGAGCTTTTTTTCTCAAGGCTGGCACTCGAACATTTGAGTCACACTTCTACATCTGGCTTTTTGGGTAGTTATTTGGAAATAGGAGTCTCACAGACTTTCCTGCCTGGGCTGGCTTTGAACTGTGATCCTCAGTGGCATGTGCCACTAGCACCTGGCAGAAAAGAATTTCTTTTAAAAATTTCAGAATGCCTAATAATAATAGTAAACCAATCCAAATTGTTATTTACTAGAAAGTAAAGTTCATGCTGGTTGCTGATATCTCGAGATACACTTGTAATCTGAGCTACTCAGGAGACTGAGATCTGGAGGATGGAGGTTCAAAGCCACCCTCCACAGAAAAATTTGTTAGACTCCCTCTCTAGCACAGCACCCAGGCCCTGAGTTCAAGCCCTAAGACCAGCACCAAAACATTTGAACTTAGGGCCTCATGCTTATTAAGCCAAGTGCCCTACCACTCGAATCATCCTCCAGCCCAATATATTTTGATAGAAGCAGACTGGCTGAATTTATGGTTATGCCTGTATGGACAGGCAGCTACCAGAATTGCTGGTGGAGCTCTCCAGAAGAAACATCTGACTTACTGCGCCAGATCCACAAACTCAAACTTAACAAGCCAGGGGGAAAACCTAAGAGGAAATGATTCATCTTCTTGGAGTTCAATTTCTGCAACCTACTTAAATGGCTCTTAATTACTTACTACACATACCTTAATCGATCCAAGGGCCCCAATGGCTACTTCGGGGGGCAGAATCACTGGTTTGGCATAGGTACCACCAATCTTCAAAAAAGAGCAGAGATAGGAGGCTTTCAGGACACATACCGCAAATGGCACTATTTTTTAACTGATCATATAGTTAGAAGTGATGGCTTATGAATCTGAGCATGTCAACTCACCGATCCTATGTTGGAAAGAGTAAATGTCCCTCCAGTGAGGTCTGGGGTGCTGAGCTGACCTGATGAACCCAATTTCTGTAAGCGGGTCAGCTCTGCAGCAATCTCAAATACAGAGCGGACCTGAATATTTTTCACATTTGGGACGATCAAGCCCTGTTCAGTATCCATTGCTATCCCAATGTTATGAGACGCCTAAAAGGAAAAAAAATATATATACATATATATGATTTATTTCACAAATAATAATAAAAAGGATATACATTCATCATTTTCACTAAGCCAGGCGTGGCAGTGTACACCTGTAATTCCAGCCCTTGGCAAGCTGAAACAGGACAGCTACCTATGTAGCAAGACCTTATCTCAAAAATACCAAAATCAAAAATATAAAGAAAGCCAGGTGCTGGTGGCTCACATCTAGAATCCTAGCTACTTAGCAGATTGAGGTCTGAGGATCTCAGTTCAAAGTCAGCATAGGCAGGAAAGTCTGTGAGACTATCTCCAGTTAATCAGCAAAAATCTAGAAGCAGAGGTGTGAGTCAAGTGGTAGAGCACCAGCCTTGAGCAAAAAAAGCCAAGTGAGAACATATAAAGCTGAATTCAAAACCCAGGACCAGCCCCTTCCCACCCTCACCCCCCAAAAAAACCCCCAAACAAATAAATAATAAAACTATTTTCACCAGAATAGACAGGGTTTAAAGAAATACTTCTAAAACAATTTTTAAGCCAGGCTCCAGTGGCTCTCACCTGTGATCCTAGGTACTCAGAGGCTGAGATCTGAGAATTGTCGTTTAAAGCAAGCATAGGCAGGAAAGGCCATGAGACTCATATCTCCAATTAATCACCAAAAAGCAGGAAGTGGAGATCTGGCTCAAATGGTAGAGCAAACTAGTCTGAAGCAAAAAATAAAACTAAAAAATAAAAAATGCTCAGAGGTAGTGCCCAGATGCTGAGTTCAAGATCAGCATACATACAAAAAAATTAGTTTATTCATTTAAAAAATTAAAAGGGGCTGGAAGGGTGGCCTAGTGGTAGAGTGCTTGTCTTGCATGCATGAGGCCCTGGGTTCGATTTCTCAGCACCACATAAGCAGAAAAAGACGAAAGTGGTGCTGTGGCTCAAGTGGTAGGGTGCTAGCCTTGAGCTGAAGAGCAGAGGAACAGCGCCCAGGCCCACAGATCAGGCCCCACGACTGATAAAATAAAATCAAAATTAAAAGGAAGGCTAGCACTGTACCTCTTGAGCTACAGTGCCACTTCCAGTTTTCTGGTGGTTTGTTGAAGATAAGAGTATCACGGACTTTCTTGCCTGGGCTGGCTTTGAATCATAATCCTCAGATCTCAGCACCTGAGTAGCTAGGATTACAGGTGTGAGCCACTATTGCTCGGCTTAGATTTTTTTTTTTAGGTAAGTTTATGCTGGTAGATGTGTAAGATACATATTATTGCTGGAAATGTAAGGTCACGGTGTGGCCTTTCTAGAAAACATTTGACACTTGTACCAATATCTATAAAAAGTTATGCTAAGGCTGGGCACTGGTGGCTTACACCTGTAATCCTGCCTACTGAGGAGGCTGAGATGTGAGGATCACAGTTCAAAGCCAGCCTAGGCAGAAAAGTCTGTGAGACTCTTATCTCCAATTAACCACCAGAGAACTGGAAGTGGCACTGTGGTTCAAAGTGGTAGAGTGCTAGCCTTGTAGAAAAGCTCAAGGGCAGCGTCCAAGACCCTGAGTTCAAGACCCACAGCTGACAAAATAAAAAAAAAAGATTATGACTTGAAGTACGATGGAAGTATCTCTAGCATACTATAAACATATTTGTACCATCTTCTACTTATAATAACTATTTTTAAACAGATAGCCCACCTTGTATATTATATTCTGGCAGTTTTCATCCACAGAAGCATTAAGGATGGGGAACTGTAGCAATCCCAAAGAAGCAGCCTGTGTATCAGAAGAGAACACAGTGTTAGCACAACAACTCAGGAAAAATACAGGATTCCAGAAAAAAAGAGGTATAAAGGAGAGGGGGAGAACTCTTATTTATGTTGAGTTTAATTTAAGATTCCAGGTTCCTAGGTATATTACTTCCTTTGTTACCAACAACCAAGATACAATTAGGTCACCTTGATCATTTAAGGATAAGGTAGTCAGCTTGTAAACATCAAAGTTAACTATTTAAACTGTCAAAATTCCAAAGGAAATGTCCCAGTTCTAAGTGATTTCCTTTATTTCATATAGTCTTCAGATTTCTATGAGAGGCAGGCTCTGGTGGCTCATGCCTGTCATCCTAGCTACTCAGGAAGCTGAGATCTGAGAATAGAAGGTTCAGAGCCTGTCTAAGAAGGAAAATCTGTGACTCTCATATCCAATGAACCTCCAAAAAACAGGAAGTGGAATCGTAGCTCAAGTGGTAGAGTGCCAACCTTGAGCAAAAGAAGTTCAGGGACCGTGTTCAGATCCTGAGTTCAAGACCGGGGCGGGGGGTAGGGGGTGGGGTGGAATTTCTGAGAAGCAACCAGCAGTTCAAAAGCACATTAGAGATTAAAATAGAAAAATAGAGGAAAGTTGTTCCCTGAGCAGAAAGAACATCAAGGACAAGGATTTCTAAGTGCCCTGATGGAAAAGGAATCGTGTTCTACCTGGTGCCCTTGGCCAAGTGACGCGCAGAGCTGGTCCCTTTGGGCTTTAGGACCTGAGTCTTCCTTCCTTCCTCTGTGTGTTGCTCAGAGCCCCCCATTCCTTGTGGTTTTCCTTACGATCACTCCTCTCCTTCCCATCGTGTGCTGATTTTCCTGTTTCCCTAGCACAAAACGGGCTTGATGGGTTTTCTGTCCATTCATAGACCTCACAAACAAGGTTTGCACATTGCATTCAGTGGTCATGCCTCATATGAAATTTAGAAGATTGTAAGACAAAAATGCTTCAAAGGATCCGCATACCCCAAAGCCCTGGTCTAGTCCCATGAAAAGTACTTTAGCTGGGCGCTTGCAGCTCATGTCTACAATCCTAATTACTCAGGAGTCTGAGATCTGAGATTCAGCCTGGACAGGAAAGTCTAGGAGACTCTTACTTCTAATTAACCAGGAAAAAAATCCAAAAGTAGAGGTGTGCCTCAAGTGGTAGAATGCTAGCTCAGAAAGAGAGAGAGAGAGAGAAAAAAAAGCTAAGAGACAGCAGCCAGACTCCCTGAGTTCAAGCCCCAGGTATTAGCACAAAGCAAAAAAAAAAGAGTTCTTTACTCTTTTTGTGTTGTTAGTTTTGTCTGTGGGTCAGAGGTCTGGACAAGAAAAATGAAATAAAATCCTTCAGTTAAGAGAAGGGAAGCCGGGCGCTGGTGACACACTTGTAATCCTAGCTACTTAGGAGGCTGAGGAGATCTGAGGATCGTGGTTCAAACCCAGCCTGGGCAGGAATGTCTGTGAGACTCTTCTCTTCCAATTAACCATCAGAAAACCATAAGTAGAGCTGTGGTTCAAAGTGGAGCTCTAGCCTTGAGCAACAACAGCTCAGGGGCAGAACCTAGGCCCTGAGTCTAAGCCCCATAACTGACAAATAAAAAGCAAGGGAAAAAGCTTTGACTACACAGAGGGCTTTCTTTCCTGGGTTTTGTTAGGCTAGAGTTGAGAAAGTAAAACAGTGGAATGCAAATACAATGAAAAGACATGTTACAAATCTTTAATTACATGACTTGGAAGCTTCTTTATATACAAAATCAAGGGTCACACGTTAAGTGTTATGAGAGCAACACAAAGATTTAAAAAAGAGCCCAAGGATTAGGTTGTTTTACCCCGTGCAATACTTATGTCTTTATTGGCGGTACTGGAGTTTGAACTTAGGGCTTTGCGATTTGCTAAGCCAGTCAGTAGTCTACCACCGCAGCTCTCTTTTTGCTTTCATTTTTTTCAGATAGGGAGGGTCTCACATTTTTTTGTTCAGGGCCTCAGACCAAGATCCTATTTGTGCCTCCCATTAGCTGGGATCAAGGCACACATTACCATGTCTGGCTTTTGTTTTGAATAGGTTTTCATTAACATTTTGCCTGGGTTGGCCTAGATTCTTGATCCTCCTGAATAGCTGGGATTATAAGCATGAGCCATTGTACCTGGTCCTTTTGTAGAATTTTATAAATGTTCTTCAAATTTGTATGCTAGTTCAGAAAAAATGTCCTAAATTTTATTTTCATAGTACAGATTAGTTCATTCAGATTGGTGCATTGAAGACAAATAACAATAAAAGATATTCCAGGGATGAGGAAAGAGAGTAATCAAGGGGATTATTCTGATTAAAATCTATTTGTGTGAAGAGGTGACACTCACCAAGATGAATTGTATTCATGCACTGCTTTAAGTGGCAACTCTTTTGTATAACTACTTAAAGATAATAAAAAATTTAAAAATATATGTATGTGTGAATTTTTTTTCTTAAAGAGAGGGATATTTCATATAGTAAAAAGCTGGTCCACTATGCTTCAAAGGAGACTAGGGGTCACCAGCAGGCAGTAAAAAGAGCTGAGTTCGAAACATAGAAGTAGCTACTCAGCTTCCTGGGTAGTTAGGATTACAAACATGAGCCACTGGACGCTGCCTTTCAACTGTGTAAATGCTTATGACACAAAACATAATGGCTAGCACCTTGTTAGCTCTAGGATGTGGGTGGAGTAATATGTAGTTCACACACTATCTACTTGCAGAACAAAATGTAAAAGTCCTATTCAAGCCTTGATCGAGATGAATGAAGTCTCACCTTTAAGAAGAAGGGCATAAAAGTGAGCTTAATGCCACGAGCCAGAGCGACCGGTTTCAACTCTTCCCGCAGCTTAACAAGCTCAGTCACGTCAACCTCGTCACAGTAGCCAAAGTGAGGGATCCTCAAAGCCGCAGTCATGCTCTTCACCATGGCTTTCTGAAAGCCTAGAAAACAGCCCGCACTATTTACAAATGTGATCATGTATCACTGACCAGAAACTAGTACACACGCAGTGCTCCTTGCTATAGCTATGTTAGCTTATTGCTTCAAAAATGTATATGCTAAATCAGTCCATGCACTGGTGGTTCATGCCTGTAATCCTGGCTACTCAGGACCTGGCTGACCTCTGAAGACTGCAGTCTTGAAGCCAGATGGGACAGGAAAAACCTATGAGAGTCTTACTTTTAATTAACCATCAAAAAGCCAGAAAGTGGAGCTGTGGTTCAAGTGACAGAGCACCAGCCTTGAGTGGAAAAATCTAAAGGATAATGCCAAGGCTCTGAGTTTAAGGCTCGATTAAAAAAATACAAAAACCCACAAAAGAATAATGAACAAAATTAAAAAATATTGCTGGATTTGAATTTTTCCTTTAGTAAGAACTAAAACCATCCCATCCTAAACATTCATCTATACATTCTCACCATTCAACTTAATACTGCCTTCTGTTACTGTTGTCCTGATTACCTGTGAGAGGCTGGGTCTTGTCTTTGCCTGTGAAGACTGGTGGTGTAAATGCAGGTCCGGGGACACTCCTGTCTTCTGGTTTGGGTGCAGGTGGTATGATTTCAGCTTTGGGTGAAGGAGGCAAAATGGCTCCTGTCTGCTTCTCCAAATAGTTGAGAATATCTTCTTTAAGTATTCTGCCATCTTTTCCCGAGCCAACAACTTCACTCAACTTGATCTAAACAGATGACACATTTTCCTGCTATTATCAAAGTTTAAACATGGATTCTAATCACTTCTACAGCTCTACCTTTGCCCAATAAATTAAAGGAAATACAGGGTTTGAACTCAGGGCTTCATGCTAGGCAAGTGCTCTATGGTGAAACCATGCTTCCGCCTACCACCCCTTTTGACATTGGTTATTTTGAGATAGGGCCTCATTTTTTTGCCCAGATCTGTGCTTGAATTACCATCTGCCTGTTTTATGCTTCTCATTGTAGCTGAGGTCATGGGTCCTGATTCTTCTGCTCAGCTGGCCCTTGGCTAGTTTTTATATCTTTTAGACAGTGATATATTAACTTACTACTTCATTTGATGATCTGACTAGCCTAGTTTTCATATTATGGGTTGCCTTCATATTTGAACACAATCATAAAGTTTCATAAAAAGTAGGCCTGCGTGTGATGTTGCATACTAATAATATAAGCACCTGGAAGGCCAGCCTATGATAGGTAAGCAAGATCCTATCTCAAGAAACAACATCAAGGGCTGGGAAGGTGGCTCAGTGGTAGAGCACTTGCCTTGCATGCATGAGGCCCTGGGTTCAATTCCTCAGCATCACATAAGCAAAAAGAAAAAAGCATGGAGTGGCGCTGTGGCTCAAGTGGTAGAGCGCTAGCCTTGAGCTGAAGAGCTGAGGGTCAGCGCCCAGGCCCAGAGTTCAGGCCCACGACCGGACCCAAAAAAAAAAAAAAAAGAAACAACATCAATAAATCCATCAAAAGCATAACATGTGTGTGTGTGTGTGTGTGTATATATACACACACACACTAGAATTTCCCCAATTTTGAAAATATATGTACCTTCTAATTTTTTTTGCTTATTTAAGGAAGCCAGGCATGGTAGTATAAACCTGCAGTACCAGCACTCAGGCGGCAAAGGCGCCATGAGTCGGAAGTCAACCCAGGTTAGTTTTATAGCTAGATTCTGCCTTAAACACACAAACAACAAAACCCCAACACCTCAAAGAAGAATGCATCTGAGATTATTTTCTTCGAATAGTTCTCCAATGGCAGGGTAACTGGCTGGGGGGATGTGAACATTTTAATGACTCTATTACCCACTTCCAAAATGTGAGCTTTGGTTATACTCCTACCGTAAGTCAATTACTTTCCTCAGAAACATGGAAAGTCTGATCGTGGAGCAGTGCAACTAAACAGATTGATGATCCAGTTCCCAGTTCAGCTATTTACCTGATTTTGAACAAGGTGATGGGACTTTCTTAACTCTGCTTATGAGTAAATGGTGGTAATTTACCATGAAGGGTGGGTGTGAGAATTGGAGATGAAGTGTGTAAAACACCTGGCACATACATGCTCCCACAACGAAGGCAATGACTGGTCAGGCAATTTGTTAATAAGGGACACCATTGGCATTGCAATGGAGACTTCATTGTTAAAGTCTGCTTCAGTGCATTAGTGGTGGTGGTGTTACTTTACCTCTGTCATTCTCAGAATGCTGCCTGTCTCACAAGTTCAGTGAGATAATATGTAAAGACCGATTACACGGTCAGACAGTCGCCTTGCTTGCATTTTGCCCTCCACTGGGTCAATGACCTTGCTGTAGTTTGGATCTGGAACATTCTTGAATGGTCCATGCGAGGGCTTGGTTCCTAGTTTGGTGTTATTGGGAGTAGAAGTTTTAGAGTGGGGCCTAGAGAGAGATGTTTCCAGTTACTGGGGGTGTGTCCTTGGAGAGGATTGTGGGATACAATCCCGTCCCTGGAGTCTAGCGATGTGGTAGAATGGCCTTCCTCTGTCATGTACTGTCCCCACGATGTGCTGTGCCTTCACCGGAGCAAAGAATGGGGCCACTGATCACAGACTCTGCACTTCTTTCTTTTTAACTTAATTATCTCAGGTATTTTGTTATAGTGATGCGTAGCTAACACAGATGGGCAAAGGTAATACAAATGGTCAGCCTCCCTGCCTCCACCCCCTTAGATCTCATCACTTGCCACCACATCCATACCTGGGCTATTTCCTTTCTTTTTTAAATTTCTTATCATAACTTCTCATTGCCTTAACCAGTTCTTACTCTCTCAATAAATCTATCACAAGTTGCACCTGTAGTTCATCTGACCTGATATTAGTACTTGGAAATACTTAGTAGTGACTTTTACTGTTATTAGACACTAAGAAGACTAAAAGAAGACTAAAAGCCACATTGTTCGATTAAGGTGAAGTATGAAGTGCATGAACCAGGCACCAGTGGCTCACACTTGTCATCCTAGCTATTCAGGAGCCTTAGATCTGAGGATTGTACTTTGAAGCCAACCTGGGCAGAAAAAGTTCAAGACTCTAATCTTCAATTAACCACCAAAAAAGTTGGAAGTGGAGCTGTGGCTGAAGTGGTAGAGGACCAGCCTTGAGCAAAAAAAGCTCAGGGACAGTGCTCAGGCCCTGAGTTCAAGCCTCAGGACCGGCTTACACACAACACACACACACACACATACACACGTTTATAATGTCTTCTCATCTCTCCCAAGTGTGAAGATGCCATTATCACTTCTCATAGACCCTAGACATGGCCCCTAGACTTAAATAGCAAGACAACTTACATTGTTTTCCATTGCCAGTCGGCGAACTGCAGGAGTTGCCAGTGTTTTCTGGCCCTTGATCTCTTGGTGTGTGTGTTCCTCATGGGACACAGCAGGAGTTTCAACAACATCTTCCTCAGAATCTGGTAACAACGGAACACTTAACTTTAGTGAAAATTTTATTTATCTATCTATGTATCTATCTATCCATCTATCTATGAATGATCATATTTACCTATCTCTGATAGGTAGATATGAAAGGTTAATGGCCTAGAATAACTAAAATTCACTGGGTGCTGGTGGCTCATGTCTATAATCCTAGCTACTCAGAAGGCGGCAGAGATCTGAGGATCATAGTTTGAATGCAGCCTGTGCAGGAAAGTCTGTGAGACTCTTATCGGCAATTAACCACCAGAAAACCGTAAGTGATACTGTGGCTCAAAGTGGTAGTGTGGTAGCCTTGAGCATAAAAGCTCAGGGACTGAGCTCAGGCCTGGAGTTCAAGCCCCACAACCAGCCAAAAAGAAAAAAGAAAAAAAGAATCAAATGTGAAATAAAGTATATGAAGAATCTTATAAAAAAAAACTGTTAGTGGGCTGGGAAGGTGGCTCAGTGGTAGAGTGCTTGCCTTGCATGCCTGAGGCCCTGGGTTTGATTCCTCAGCACCACATAGGCAAAAAGAAAAAAGCCAGAAGTGGCGCTGTGGCTCAAGTGGTAGAGTGCTAGTCGAGCTGAAGAGCTGAGGGACAGTGCCCAGGGCCAGAGTTCAGGCCCCACAACCGGACCCCCCCCCCAAAAAAAAAACCCAAAAAAACTGTTAGTACCATAAATACTTCTATCTCTCCCTCACAAGACTCCCCCTCCCCCTCCCCCATCCCCATCCTGCTTCTTCCTTCCTTCCTTGAACTCAGGATCTGGGTGCCATCCCTTAGCTTTTTCATTCACGGTTGGTGTTCTGGCACTTGAACCATAGCTCGACACCTAGCTTTTTGGTGGTTAATGGGAGATGAGTTTCATGGACTTTCCTGCCTGGGCTGGCTTTGAATTGTGATCCTTAGATTTCAGCCTCCTGAATAGCTAGGATTATAGGCATGAGCCACCAGTGCCTGCCTACGAAAGCATCACTTTCTTATATAACACTTCAAATAATTTCCAAAATGTTTTACATACATTGTATTCTTTGGTGATCACAAAAATGCTATGTGTAAGCAGGGAAGATTTCACTATATTACCTGTATAGAATCTAAAAAGAATGCAATTAAGACTAAACTGAAATTTTTATCACTTTTAGATTGGAGATGTGGCTGTGTTGGGCTGTGGGTACAGCGCAGTGGTAGAGTATTTGCCTAACACACTTGAAACTGTGGGTTCAATTCTCAGGATTTCACATTTCATTCATTTCACATTACATACATACCTTACAAACAATACATTTGGCTATAATACTGACAACTGAGCAAATTGCCCAAGTTTTCTGATTGTGTCTATTTCTTTATCTAGTAAGCCAAAATCTATCACATGGATAGAGAAAATAGAGGTCAGATATTTTATAAATTCTAAAAATGTCATTCTGAAAACTAAGTGATGGTAATATTAGTTATGATTACATAGACTACAGAACTTCAATCCACACCAACTCAAATGCTACCATTTTTTTTGTTGTTGTTGTTGTTTGTTTTGTTCTCTTTTGTGCTGGTACTGGGGCCTGAACTCAGAGTCTTGAGTTTTCCCTTAGCTTTTTTTTTGTTTTTTCTTGGGTCCGGTTGTGGGGCCTGAACTCTAGGCCTGGGCGCTGTCCCTCAGCTCTTCAGCTCAAGGCTAGTGCTCTACCACTTGAGCCACAGCGCCACTTCCGGCTTTTTTCTTTTTGCTTATGTGGTGCTGAGGAATGGAACCCAGGGCCTCAGGCATGCAAGGCAAGCGCTCTGCCACTGAGCCACCATCCCAGCCCCTCCCTTAGCTTTTTCATTCAAGCTTGAGGCTCTACAACTAGGGCCACAGCTCCAGATCTAGCCTTTTGCTGGTTAACAGGAGGTACAAATCTCACAGACTCTTCTGCCTGGGCTGGCTTTGAACAGCAAAGGATTGCTTCCCGTGGGGACCCAGTGACAAAAGGACAGTAGTAATCAACTTGGTAAACAGACGACCACATTTGCAGTACCTTTGAAAGCTTCGGTCTCAATGTCTACTAATGGCTTCCCCACATAGGCGATGTCGTCTAGGTTATAGTAGAGCTTTTTAATGACGCCATCGTAACGACTCGTGATGGTAACCGAAGCTTTATCGCTCTGAACTTCACAGATGCTGTCAAACTGGGATACCGTATCTCCTTCTTTCACATACCTGAAAGGAAAAGACATGAGCTACGAGGCGCTTTTGCACGTGCACTCACAATAACAACATAAATTCCACGCTGAGTTCCATAGGGAGCTGCCTAATCCACAATTTACTGTCACATGGAGCACCAAGAGATTCTCTCCAGGGCTGGGAAGGTGGCTCAGTGGTAGAGCGCTTGCCTTGCATGCATGAGGCCCTGGGTTCCATTCCTCAGCACCACATAAGCAAAAAAAAAAAAAAAAAAGAGATTCTCTCTGATATAGGCTAAAATTTTGCAAATCCATTCATGGATCTTAAACATTGATTGATCCACCCTTTTTTTTTTAAAGACTTTTTTTTTTTAAAGACATTCTTTTTTTTTTTTTTCAACTGGGGTAAAATATTTAATACAATTTCTCCAAAGATAATATACAGAATGAGTACATGAAGAGATACTTGCATTATTAGTGTTTAGAAAAACTCAATTAAAAGCAACAATGAAACAGCACTTTTTATTTCTTGTGTGGAGCATACCATTATGTCCGGTCTCCTGAACTTTTGCCCCATGTATTCAAAATATGATTCTGTTAAAGACATTCTTAAAAGTGTTATTTCCTACCGAGTGCTGATGCTCATGTCTGTAATCTTAGGTTGAGATCTGAGAATCAAAGTTCCAAGCCACTTCAGGCAGAAAAGCTTGTGAGATTTTTATCTTGAATTAAATACCAAAAAAGCTGAAAGTGAAGCTGTGGCTAGCCTTGAGGAGAAGAAGAAGAAAAAAAACCCTCGGGGACATTACCCACACCCCACACCCTTAGTTCAGGCCCAGGATGAGTAAAACAAAACAAAGAAAAGGCATTATTTCTTTTTACTGTCTTTTTTTTTTTTTAAACCAATCCTGGGGCCTGAACTCTGGGCCTAGGCCCTGTCCCTGAGCCTCTTTGTGCTCAAGGCTAGTGCTCTACCTACCACTAGAGCCACAATGCAACTTCCAGCTTTTTCTGTTTAGTTTATTGGAGCTAAGAGTCTCACAGACTTTCCTGTCCAGGCTGGCTTCAAACGGAGATCCTCCTGAGTAGCTAGGATTAAAGATGTGAGTGACAGGCACCATCTTTACTGTCTTTCTTTACAAGATATGCACATGCTCAAAAAAGACCTGAGAGAGCCCTGATCAATCATCGCCACTTTACCCTGAGGCCCAGTTAAAGCAGGAAATAAAGGCTGTGGGAGGGCTAGAAATTGCTAGAGGATTCAAGATATGATCAATGTGCAAACAGAATTTCTTGGCAAAGGGTTGAAGCCTTATTGGTTAAAATATGTAAGGAAATCTGTGTCTGATCATTTTGGATCTTCTATGCTAATTAAAGATCTCAGCAGCAACAAACCAAAGAAAAAACAGACTTCAGAATTGGTCCAGGAAAATCACTAAACAAACCCACAACATCCACCTACCTCACATCCTAAAAGCAACAACAAAATCCTGGGAAGGAAAGGAACTTATTTCTTGATTTGCTACATTGTTTTTAAACGTCAACTTTCAATTAAAAAAAAAATACACATTCAATTAAAAAAAATAAACATTCAAAGAAACAGAAAAATATGGTTGAGCTGGGTATTGGTGGCTCATGCTTGTAATCCTAGCTACTCAAGAGGCTGAGATCATTCTAAAGGACTCCATGTTCTTGACCACATATATAATATACACGTATATCTATATATCTATATCTATATCTACATATATATATATATGCACATCTGAGGAAGCTAGGAGGAGGGCACAGAATCAAAAGGAAACAGAAAATATACAACAGAGAGGCCCATCAGTTGCAATGGACATCGAAGAAAATGAACTAAGCAACTCAAGGGCAGTGATTGGAGGGAGGGAATGAGAGGGAAAGAACAAACAGCTTACACTAAGCAAAAGGAAAGACATGTACAAATCACCTGATGTGGAAGAAACAGTTGTATTGTCAAGGCTCATAGAATTCACAAACATTATAGACCATGATAATGACAATTTGCCTTATGAAGGTTAAAATGTGTTTGCGACTTTAAGTATTACTATCCCCCAATACTGTGAAATTTGTGAAATTTATGTAATCACTTAATCTCAATAAAAAAAAATTTTTTTAAAAAGGTTGAGAGCTGAGGACTGAGGTTTGAAGCCAGTGCAGGCAGGAAGCCTATGAGACTCTTATCTCAAATTAACCAAAAAGCAAAAAGCAAACAAACAAAAAAGCCAGAAATGGAGTTGTGGCTTAAGTAGTAGAAAGCCAGCCTTCAGTAAAACAGCTAAGGAATAGCACCCAGTACCTGTGTATGCACACACACACACACACGCGTGCACACACACACACGCATGTGCACACACACACACACAAACACAATCAGGGGGAAGTAATAGTCATTTATTAATCACATTCAAATAAAAATGCCTGAATGCACGTGTTTCCTCCCAACATATTATCAACAAAGTAATTAGGTTATTATAGGAAGAAGTTTCTCAACTTAAATGGATTCCTCTAAGTAAATACTTATTTCCATTTACTTAAAATGTTTTCAGATGGGGCTGGGAATGTGGCTTAGTGGTAGAGTGCTTGCCTAGCATGCATGAAGCCATGGGTTCGATTCCTCTGTACCACATAAACAGAAAAAGGCAGAAGTGGCACTTTGGCGCAAGTGGTAGGGCACTTGCCTTGAGCACAGAGAGGCTCAAGGACAATGCCCAGACCCTGAGTTCAAGCTCCTGGACTGGCAAAAAAAATATATTTGCAGATTAGCTTACCATTCTTTGACAGTTACTTCTCGAATGCCTTCTCCGATGTCTGAGAGTTTGAACTGAACAATCTGTCCTTGTAAAGCTTCACAGAGAAAGCAGAAATCAGATCATTAAATATGAACAGATTACCATTAGTTATTCTTACCTCTAAAATTATAAAACATTCTCAACCAGAACTGGAAGTTGGTTTCAAAATGCCAACCCTAATTTAAAAAAAAAAAGCCATGTTTGATAACCCATTAAAGATCAAAATATATTATTCCATGATACCAACCTAGTGACAGAGCAACAGAACTGACATTTTCCAAATTCTTAAATAATATTCCTGGAATGTGGGCGATGTGACTGTGACATCTGTCACCCACTGATCACCAGGGTTGACCTGGCTGGTCTGGCTGGCTAGCCCTCACTGGTCTGTATGCGTCCCTCCTGAAGGCGAAGGAGACACACATCCCTGAGAAAGGACTCTGCTTTGCTCAAGAGCGCACTGATGGCTGTGCTCCCCTTCCAGAACCTCAAACCACAGAAGCTCTTTGTTACAAGCCCTTAATGACCAATCAGTCACATTAGAAGCAATAGTTGTGAACAGAAAGAATGGAACAAAGATACATACAAAGAGGGACCCGGCAGAATCCTCATTTTATTTTATGAAATGAAAACAATGAGCTACCAATGGCCAGATCTCAATTAGATCTTTCCTGACTTTCTATAACTTCCTTATATGTATGTGTACCAGTCTTCGGCTTGAACTCACATCCTGGGTACAGTCCTTTAGCTTTTTTCACTCAAGGCCACTGCTCTATTACTTGAGCCACAGCTCCATTTCCAGCTTTTTTGCTGGTTAATCAAAGAAAAGTCTCACAGATTTCTCTGTCCTGGTTGCCTTTGAACTGTGATTCTCAGATCTCATAAGATCTGGTGCCAGCCTATTTGTGTGTGTGTGTGTGTGTGTGTGTGTGTGTGTGCGCGTGCGTGCCTGCGTGCGTGCATGCGTGTCTGTGTGTGTGTACACATACGCACACTCCAATCTAGAGCTTGAAATCAGAGCCTGGGCACTGTCCCTAAGCTTTTCGTGCTCAAGGCTAGTGCTCTACCACTATGCCTCAGCTCCACTTGCAGTATATTTTGGTGGTTAATTAGAAATAAAGAATTTCATGGACTCTCCTTCCTGAGTTGGCCTTGAACCAAGATACTCTGTTCTCAGCCACTTAACTAGCTATGATTACAGGCGTGAGCCACCAGCACCCATCCTATTATTCTTTGTGGCGAAAAGCAAGACAGCTCTATATCTAGCCAACTTGACGGAAATTCTTATATGCCCAAATTAATTTCTGTCAAATGATCCCTAACACTTCTCTTTCCTCTTCTCCATTTTCTGTCTTTTTATAATGCCAAGATGCACTCCCAAAAGATAAAGGATTTCTGGTTAATATACAGCATTCTCACTTTTCCAGGTCAGTAACACTCTGAACCTATTCTGAATGCTCCTCTGTTGCCAGACTGCTACTAACCATAGCTGCTTATAAAAAATGTTCTTTGAAGCACAGGAATAAGATTAACAGTAAACACAAAGCACCTTTTCACATGAGTTATGAGGTACCTCTTATTTATTCACTAAATCTGGGCCCTCTCACAGCTGGCTGTTCAGTTTACTGCCTTTCTACAGAGTTTGGTATGAGTTATAGAAACTGTAAGAGCTGGGTGTGGTGGCATATACCTGTAGTCCAGGCTTTTTCAGTGGCTATGACTAGAGGGTTGCGGGGATCCAGAAGTATGAAAACAGCCTGGGCAACATAGCAAGACCCTGCTTCATAAATAAATAAATGTAATAAATAAAATTTGAAAGTATTAAATTCGTTTTAGATTCTATATCTCAAACTTAATAAATAATTCTACTTTTCAGGCTTTTCACTAAAGAAATAATTAGAAAGGCACACAAAGACTTGTGCTCAAGAATGGCTACTATAGGGTTAAAATAAGGAAGTGGAAATCTATCTGTGTAATGAGAAACTGATGGTGCCTCTGTACAGAGAGACCATGGGACTGTGACAGTATTTACCATGGTGGGGGGAAAATGGCTGAAGATAGGGAATGTGGAAATCAGCCCAGAATAAGAAGGCTGTGTGTATCATGTGAAGAGGTTTGAACATTATTTTAAATGTCTTCTGGAGCCACAGGTAAAATTAATGTGGTCATAAATTCTTTATAGTTGTTCCTATGAAAAGATAGAATCTATTTTACCATGCTGGGCTGGCTTGCCTGTGCTAACAAAATGTAGATCTACAGTTGTGTAAGTTCAAGGGCCCGGGCCTCGAAGGTTTTCACAGCTTCTGCCTTCAAGAAGGTACCAATTCACAGCTGTAATCTTCACCATTCAGAAGGCTGAGATCTGAGGATTCTGGTTCAAAGCCAGCCCAGGCAGGAAAGGTGGTGAGAGTTGTATCTCCAATAAACTACTAAAAAAGATGGAAGTGGAACTATGTCTCAAGTGGTAGAGTGTTAGCCTTGAGCAAAAAGAAGCCCTGAGTTCAAGCCCCAGGACTGGCACCAGAAAAAAAAAAAAAAAAAAGGTTAAGAATGACCAGCTGTATGAGGATGCTACAACAGAAAACCAGCTTCAACTGCCAACCATTTACAAGCCAGTAAATTCTGAAGTGGTTTGTTATTTGGCAATCATTTGTCCATATAGAATTACATCTCAAATATGAGATCTGAACTTTTGGTGTACAGTTTCAGAATAATATGTCCCCAAGAGGAGTGTGGCAGGTAGATAGGGTCCTACAGGATGCAGCAGAGGTAAAACAGAGCACAGAAAGCAGGTAGCCACTGAAGGCAGGACTGAGGATGGAACTTACACAGTCTTCAAAGCTGTCTAAAAAGGAGAGATCTGGGTACAGGTGGCTCATTTCTGAAATCCTAGCTATTCAGGAAGCTGAGATTTGAGGATCTAGGTTTGAAGCCGGCAGGGGCAGGAAAAGTCCATAAGACTCTTATCTCCAATTAACCATCAAAAACAAGAAGTGGAGCTATGGCTCAAGTGGTAGGGCATTAGCCTTGAGTAAGTAAACTAGGCGAACACCTAGGCCCTGAGTTCAAACCCCAGGACTTGCACACACACACACACACACACACACACACATACACACACACAAATCCACAAATAAACAAGAAAGAGGCAGAGAGACACAGAGAGGGAGACAGAGAGAACAGATTTAAGTGTATACAAGTTATAGATTTTGGTAACTGACTTCACGTGAGACAGAATGCAGGGCAACTCTAGGTTTCCAGCTAACCTAGTAACTGAAGTAAGAAATACAGGAAGAAGAGACTGTAGGAGATTGAGTTTGGAGAATCTGAGTTATCCACAAGACACTAGAAATGTTCAGCCAGTAATTGGTAAGATGTCTGAGCTACAGCTAGAGATCCAAAATTCTCTATGAATTGGTGGGAGTTGAAAGCTGAGTGGAGATGAGGGAAGAGAAGGAATGGCGAAGAACAAGACTATCTCAGAAATTGAAACTGAAGCCAAGAAGCCAAGGAAGATGACCTTAAAAAGACAATGAGTGAAAGTCGGGTGCTGTGGCTTACGCTTGTAATCCTAGCTACTCAGGAGGCTGAGATCTGAGGATCGCGGTTCAAAGCCAGCCCGGGCAGGAAAGTCTGTGACACTCTTATCTCCAATAAACCACTCAGAAAAAATGGAAGTGGTGCTGTGGCTCAAGCGGTAGAGTAATAGCCTTGAGCTGAAAAGCGCAGGGACGGCGCCTAAGCCCATAGTGCAAGCCCCACAATGGACCAAAATAAGAAAAAAGAATGAGTGTTGAGAGAAAGTAGGCACCAAGTAGTGCATATTTTCTAATTTAATCCTCCCAAGTATTAGGATCTTTGTTGTGCCTACTGATACACTGCAGATGCTCAGGGCAATGCCCTGAAATATGATGATTAAGCAATAAATACTGAATGAATGAATGAATGTTCACACCACAGAATGAATTAATTATTCTTGTTACTCCCATTTTCCAGATGATGGAATTGAGAGACGTTAAATGACTTGTTGAAAACCATACATATAGTAATTGATACACCAGGATCTCCCATGGGTTGGGATCTGTGGATCTAGGTCCTCAAAGCTGACCACAAGTGTTTAGGATGGAGCAGGAAGCTGGAGTTCCTGCTTAAACAGCCTCTACTTTCTTAAGAAAATAACAAAGAGAGATCAGTTTAGAAAACATATCTTGGCTTGGGAGGTATAGCTCAGAGGAAAGCAATTGCCAAGCATGCATTAAAGCCCCAGGTTATATTGCTAACAAGATGCAAAAATACACACAGTATATATGTATAATGCATGACACACATGTATGTATAGTGTGTCATACATATGTGTATATGCATGACACACACATATTGAAGAAAAAGTGGTGAAGGTAAGGTTTATTTGTCCAAGGTTGTTGTGGGAGCAGACGTATAAAAAGCATGGACGGCCAGCACAGGTGGCTGACTCCTTATAAACCTAGCTATTCACAGGAGGCTAAGATCCAGAGAATCTTGGTTCAAAGTCAACTTCAGTAGAAAAGTCCATGAAATTCCATCTCCAAAATAATCAGCAAAATGTCAGGTTGAAGGCATGGTTCAAACAGTACAGCACCAGCAGAGCAAGCTCAATGCCCTGAGTTCAAATACTAGTACTGGATGAGGTGTGTATGTGTGTGTGCGCGCGCGTGCGTGTGTGAAAGCATGAAAAATAGTTTGCCTGGAACTCTTCCATTTTTCATTGCTTGCACATACTAAATGTCTGTCAAAATTTTATGCAACAAAAGTCCATGGTTCTGGATAAAATACTTCTTATACCTTAATTTTTTATCTCTCAGGTTATTTACAGAGGGGAGAAAAGTTGATATAGATAATTAAATGGTAAAGCCAGGGAATTTTCTATTTAGCAGTAAGTTCGGGTGACTTCATCGTAAGATGAGAGCAAGCAACATGGAAGCAGGTACTAGGACTTGAAGCCGCTCCTTTCAGCTTGACTAGAAAGCTCCTCTCAGTATTATTGCACTTGGGAGAGACAGAAAATAAAGAATAGATGTGCAGTAACTGAATCCCAACAGAATAAAGACACAAGCACTTAAGGGAAGTTGGAAATTGGGGGGTAAAACAAAATGAGAGCCAGGAACCAGTGGCTCACACCTGTAATCCTAGCTACTCAGGAGGCTGAGATCTGAGGATCATGGTTCAAAGCCAGCCCAGGCAATTAACCACTCAAAAACTAGAAGTGGCGCTGTAGCTCAGAGTTCAAGCCCCATTACTGACCAAAAAAATGATGAGAGAGAGAAGAGAAAGAGAGGAAGAGAGAGAGAGAAGGGGAGATAGAGAGAGAGAAGGGGAGAGAGAGAGAGAGAACTGGATTGATATGGAGAGAACCAGGCTAGAAGCTTAAGGTCAACTTGGTTTTAGTTTGGTAAGCAGGAAAGAAAGAGAGAGAATGAAAGAAAGAGAGAGAGAGAGAGAAAAGAAAAGAAACATTATTTTTCCAGGTGCTGGTAGCTCACACCTGTAGTCCTAGCCACTCAGGAGGCTGAGATCTAAGGACTGCAGTTCAAAGCCAGCCCAGGCAAAGCCAGTCCATGAGACTGTCCATGTGGGTCAAAGAGGTAGAGTGCTAGCCTTGAGCAAAAGAGCTTAAAGACAGCACCCAGGGCCTGAGTTCAAGTCCCACAACCAACAACAACAAAAAGAAGACATTATTTCCATGTGCTGCTCTGAAATCACACTTACCAGCAGATGTTTTTAGGAAGTGCCGTGGATGGCCATACTTGAAGGAGGGATATCGAAGGAAACATATACAATTTGGCTTCAAAATGTGCACATTACTACAGGTTTGAAAATAGCGAACATAAATCTACAAGTGAAAAAACAAAAATTGCCTTTATAAGTTAACTTAATTGCTTCTTACGATTTTATTTTTATGTATTTATTGTAGTGGGGGTTTGAAGTTAGGGCCTCACACATATTAAGCTGATGCTCTACCTCTTTAACCATACCCCCAACCCAAAAAAGTTTTTTTTTTCTTTTTGTGTTACCAGGGCTTAGGGCCTTGGGCTTGCTAGGCAGGCATTCTATTCAGGTATTGGGCCCTAATGGTTTACTTTTTAAAGAATCTATCGAACTTCAGTTCTATTTTTAAACATGCATTATCAAAATGTCAATAAGAAATTATCTAGGCAAAACTCAGGATACTTGGCAGTGGGAGCAATCAAGTTTATGAAAATTAGTTATTTCCTGACATTTTTGTTCAAAAACATCAAAAGAACTCAAACTCTGGCATAAAATACTTGTTTGCTCAAAATTCCTTTCATTCCAACTCAAGTGTTTAAACTTCCTGAAACAAGGATACAAGATGGCATCTCAACGAGTAAGTTGGGCACAAAGGCTTATACCTGTCAACATAGCCATAAGGGTGATTATTATCCAGGCAAGTGTGGGCAAAAGTACAAGGCCCTGAGTTGGAATCTCACTACTGCCAGCAAAATAACATAAAGGAATGCAATTAAACACTTTTAAAATGATAGTAATTCCCTTGCCTCCAGTTCTAGGTCTCAAACTTAGGACCTTCTATGGGTTAAGCAAACATTCTATACCATAGCTCTCAGAGTTTTCTCATTGTAATTGATAGCTGACTTTAACTATTTTATGTAACAACTTAGTATGAGCATGGGATCATACCTGTAATCCTAGCTACTCAGAGGGCTGAGATCTGAGGATCAAGGTTCAAAGTCAGCCTGGGCAGGAAAGCATAAGACTCATCTCCAATTAACCAGTAAAAAGCTGGAAGTGAAGGTGTGGCTCAGGTAGCAGAGTGTCAACCTTGAGTAACAAATCTATTGAGTGAAAAAATCTAAGAGTGCAAGTCACAGAGTTTAAGTCTCAGTACACACACACACACACACTCTCTCTCTCTCTCTCTCCCCAAAACAACAACAAAATAATTTAGTATGATACAAAACAATATCGGAGGACTGAATGTACTCAACTTGATATATCAAAATCAAGGCGACTCTTAGAGGAACGCCAAGGTGCAATGCCTATATGAATCTGATCATATAAAATAATATTTATTGAAATGAACTGCAGGAAATGGAAACAAGAGGTTTTTCTCCTTTGTTGCTGTTTTCTTTTCCTTTTGTCTTGGTTATCTTTCTTTAGGAGGGTAAGAGGGGGCACAGAAATGGAGGGGGCAAAGGGTGAACAAATGCAGCAGCGGCACCCACTAGACACTATGTTGAAAATGAACTCTACAACTTGTGGGTGGGGATGGGAGGGAAAAACAGGGACAAAACAAGGGAAGGGATGACATGGTTCAAAAAGAAATGTGCTCATTACCTGACTTGTGTGATTAACCCACTGTATATCTTCTTTATAATAACTTTAGACTGCATTAATTTCTAGCCATCTTCGTGTTTTTTGAGAATACAAGTATCTATTTGAAATTTTTTTCATTTCTGTTGTCACCTTTACTTAAAAAAAAAGTCACTTTTACTTAAAAAAAAAAAATCAAGCATGTTAGCTCCTAAAATTTCAAGTCAGATTATAACACACCCTATAGCCTGTTTTTTTTTGTTTTTTTTTGAGATGGCATCTCACTGGGTTGCCATAGCTGGTCTCAAATTCTTGGACCCAAGTGATCCTCCTTCCTCAGCCATCCAAGTGGCTTCAACTATAGAAACATGTCACCATGCCAGCTTACAATAGTTATGCCTTGTTGTTCATTTTTGGTTTTTGTACTGTGACTGGGGCTTGCACTTAGGGCCTGGGTGCTTACCCTTAGCTTTTTTGCTCAAGGCTGATGCTCTACCAGTTGAGACACACCTCCACTTCCAACTCTTTGCTGGTTAATTAGAGATAAGAGTCTCACACTTTCTTGCCCAGATTGGATTTGAACCTTGATTCTCAGATCTCAGCCTCCTGAGAAACTAGGATTACAGGTGTGAGCCACTGGCACAGGACTAACAGTATGCTTTAATTAACAAACATTTTCATTCTTTTTTTATAGTTTTTTTTTGGTCAGTCATGGGGCTTGAACTCTGGGCTTGGGCGCTGTCCCTGCACTCTTCAGCTCAAGGGGAGTGCTCTACCGCTTGAGCCACAGTGCCACTTCTGGTTTTCTAGTCGTTTATTGGAGATAAGAGTCTCACGGACTTTCCTGCCTGGGCTGACTTTGAACCGTGATCCTCAGATCTAAGTCTCCTGAGTAGCTAGGATTACAGGCGTGAGCCACCAGCACCGGCTTTTCATTCTTCTTCTTCTTTTTTTTTTTTTTTTTCCTGAAAGCAACTATAGAAGAACAAAACTTTGGTTTACCAGGAACAGTATACTTAAATTCTTTTACATAATTTTCCTTTCCTTGATTGTCAACTTGTTACTGATTTCTGAGCCATGCATCTGCACTTCACCTTAAAAAAAATCATAATCATTGTAATATCTACAATTTACTGTTAGCATCAGAATTCAGGAACAATAGAGCCTATCAACTTAAATGGTATCTTAGAACCAAGCAGGCCATAAAGAATTCTTTTTCCCAGTTTGTCTGACTTTCCCCTTCAACCCTGGCTCTTGGTCAACAGCAAAACCAAAGGAAGAAGTCAACCTCTGTTTCATTTGGGTGTAAAGTGCAGACAGTAAATGGAAGTTTAAAAATATATAGACCTATCTGGACTTGCACAAAATATTTTATAGTTTAACTGTATTATTTTCTTTCTTTTGGCAGTGCTAGGTTCAAACGTAGCCATTCTACTACTTGAGCCACACCTCTAACCCTGCTCATTTTACTTTATTTTTCACACAGCTTCTCAAGTTTTTCAGCCAGGAAGAACTGCATACCACCATCTTCTCATCTATTCCTCCCAAAGTATTTGAATTACAGGTGCTCACCATCATGCCTGGCCCTAGAATTGTAAAATGTTGGAAAAGAGTAATCTACTAGAAGGTTCTACCTTTACAACCCAACTCTTACTGAGGAATTATTAATGAATTAAGGGAGACACAAACTACCAAACTAGTATTTACTGATGGAGAGGAAGGGTGGGCAAATACAGTCATTATATTCAGTGTAGATAATGTAAAAATTGAACTACATTACTTAGGGAATGGATGGGGTACTTGAAAAGATGGAGGAGAATGATGGATCAAGACATTGTACATAAGTACAATACATTGTACTTACAATGTGACTTGTTAAATTAAAACCCCTTTGTAGGTCTGGGAAAGTGGCTCAGTGGTAGAGTGCTTGCCTTGCATGCATGAGGCCCTGAGTTCGATTCCTCAGCACCACATAAGCAGAAAAAAAAAGTCGGAAGTTGCGCTGTGGCTCAAGTAGTAGAGCGCTAGCCTTGAGCTGAAGAGCTGAGGGACAGTGCCCAGGTCCAGAGTTCAGGCCCAACGACCGGACCCAAAAAAAAAAAAAAGAAAGAAAGAAAAGAAGAAAACCCCTTTTTAGAACTACCTAATTTCTTTAAAGTTTATCAACTGCTTATAATGGACTAGTATTTTAAGTTTTTGCATATATCTATTGTGCACCTCATAATTATCATTTGGAATATGCACATCCAAGAGAAATCGATGAGAGAGGTGAAGTATTGTTCAAGGTCACACAGCAAGTTAAGTGGCAAAGTCAAGCTCTGATACCAAGGAAATCTGACAGCAAAATCTGTTCTTTTGTGTGTCAGAAGTGAAGAAAGCAGTCTTACTTTCAACATGAGACAACCTCTCTCCACCGGCATGGGCATGTGTGCTCTGATTTTTTCTAAGAAATTATAGGCAGGCAATGGAGGCGGCTAGGTTGAGGTATGTGGGGTTTTTTAGATTAGGTTGGCTTGGAAAGGCTTCTAGATGCAGTCTTAGGCTGGGCCTTGCATAAGAAGTATAATTAGCAAAGAACACAAGGACACACAAGTTCTAAAGCAGAGGAAACAGCATAAACAAAGGGACTTTGGCTGGAATTTGCTTATGATGCTGTTTGAGACAATGAGCAGCTTGATTTGACTAGATCAAATTTATAAAGGAGCAAATAGTTAATAAGTATAAACATCGTTGGACTATGCTATTTGAATGTATGTGGTATGTTATAGGAAAAAAGAGGATTAGGAAAACAATCGAGTAAACCTCTGTTATACAAATTACATCCAGTAAAGTCTGGAGAGAAAGGAAGGGGCTAAGGTATGATTGTAAAACCTGAGACACGAAATAACAGTGTCTAGTGCCGGGGCACAGAAAAAGAAAGACAGACAGACAGAGATCAGAGACAGACGAGAGAAACACAGACATAGAGAGGTAAAAGGCACAAGAAAAGTTACTGATTTAGATGTATTAAAAGGCAACAGAGTCCATTTAATCCTAGCTACTCACTCAAGAGGCTGAGATCAGAGGATCCTGATTGGAAGCCAGCCTGAGTAGAAAAGTTTTTGAGATTCTTTACTCTGATTAACTAGCAAAAAGCTGCAAGTGAAGGTGTGGCTCAAGTGGTAGAGCAATAGTCTTGAGCAATAACACTAAGGGACAGGGCCTAGGCCCTGAATTCAAGCCCTAGAACACATTCGTGCACACACACAAAGGAAAAAAAAGTAATTTTTCAATCTTCAAGCTAAAGAAGATTTTCTTTTCTAGAATCATACTTAGGCTAGTAAAGTAAATATAAAGGTTTAAACCTCTGATTTTAAAAATCATGCTTATAGAGTTACCGGTTTTATATATATATATATATATATATATATTTTTTTTTTTTTTTTTTTTTTTTTGTCGGTCGTGGGGCTTGAACTCTGGGCCTGGGTGCTGTCCCTCAGCTCTTCAGCTCAAGGCGAGCGCTCTACCACTTGAGCTACAGCGCCACTTCCAGTTTTCTGGTGGTTTATTGGAGATAGGAGTCTCACGGTCTCTCTTGCCCGGGCTGGCTTTGAACCGCGATCCTCAGATCTCAGCCTCCTGAGTAGCTAGGATTACAGGCGTGAGCCACCAGCGCCCGGCCAGGTTTTATATATTTTGTAGTTGGGGCAATATCAAATTCATCTATGAACAACAAGGAATGATGACAAATCCTCTGGAGACTCTCCAGCCTGCTTTTTCTGATGCAATTTCATTCTATACCTTGTCTTCAGGTATTTATTAGGTCAACATGTACAATCAAAATATTAGAGAGAAAAGAGTTTAGCTGATTAACATAATAAAAAGTATTTCTAATACCTTACAACTGTCTAGACTCAGAAACTCAAAGCTAACAGATGGGTGCTGATGGCTCACACCTGTAATCCTAGCTACTCAGGAGGCTGACATCTGAGGATTGAGGTTTAAAGTCAGCCTGAGCAGGAAAGTCCCAGAGACTCTTAGCTCCAATTAAACACCAAAAGCTGTGGATCAAGTAGTAGAGCACTAGCTTTGAGGGGGAAAAAAAACTCAGGAGATAATGCCTAACCATTGAGTTCAAGCCCCAGTATCAGCACTAAAAAAAAGACAAAAGAAATTCAAAGCTAAATACAATACAATAGGTAGTTTTCAGTATTCATATTACCTAGTATTTTCACAAAAGACCATAGAAAAACTCAAGTTGATAGGGTTCACAACGGGCACAATGACTTTAGGGAAATGGAAATAAAGCTACTGCATCTGCTTAATTAACTATAGCTGATAAGAGCTCTTATTGCTTATAACTTTTTACTCAAATATTTTAACTAAGTCATTCTACAAGTATTTGCTAGCACTTCAATGTGCTGGGCACTAGGAATTACATATAAAACAAAAGAGAGGTAATCTTTCCGTAATGGAATGCACACAGGGTTAAAATAGACCAGTAGCAAGGTAAACTCACTGCTCCTGTGGGGAAAAACAAGAGTACAATGAAGGAAAATAAAAGGAAAGAAACTTGCCTGGAGAAAGCTATGTTGAAATAAAAACCTGAACCAGTAGTAGGAGTAACTAGAGGATGAGGAATACTGGCAGATAAGACCATCGGGTTTAAGGCAGAAGAAATATCTATGCAATGGTAATCAAACAGCATGATGTATGGTCAGTCAATTCTAGTCTAGTTTACTAAAGGGTATGTGGAGGAAGCATCAGCGTTTATCAGTCAGGTAATTTTTAATAAGAAATGAAGCCTGAGAAATAAATTTCTTCAGCTGTTTGAATCTTAAGACACTGCATTGAGGGCAATCTTAAGCAAGAAAATGATATTACATGTATGATCACTCTGGCTAGCCCTATGAATGAAGAGGAAAAGAATGGCTCAGAGGCAAAACCTGAATTAGAAAGAACTGGGACACCTTTGATTGAGGGTAGGGTAAAAAACAGTGAGTAGATTGCTTCAGAGTTACTGCCTAGCTGGAAGAGAAACAGGTTTGAGGGTTGAGTCTAGAGTCTTTGAGGCATCATGGCATACTTTGAGGCTAGCTTTTCCAGGCTCTTTTGTGTTATAGCATTGGCCATGTAACTCTTCAGGCCTAGATCCACCCCTTCCTCCTTTTTGCCCAAATATCAAGAAGTTGTAGAGCTCTCCTGTGATCATGATAGAAAGACCAAATGAAGCTGGGCGCTGGTGGCTCACACCTGTAATCCTAACTACTCAGGAGGCTGAGATCTGAGGATTGCAGTTCAAAGCCAGCCCAGGTAGAAAAGTACATGACACTCTTATCTCCAATTAACCACCAGAAAACTGGAGGGGTGCTGTGGCTCAAGTGGTAGCGCGCTAGCCTTGAGTTGAAGAGCTGAGGGACACGCCCAAGCCCAGAGTTCAAGCCTCACAACCCACAAAAAAAAGACCAAATGAACTGCTGAAATAACAAATGTTCGTGATGATGAGCCATGGAATCAGTGCCAGCTGTTACCTAATTTTGGTATGCTCTCTTTGTATAGATGCTTAATGTTCTACTTGTTAATTTTGGTTTTTAAAAGTTACAGATTAAAAATTACTTCATATACATGCAAATGTAGGTTAACTGGACCGTATTTAGACTGGTGCCAAGCTTCCGTGCAAGCATCAAGAGTATGCTTACATAAACCAAATTACAAACCTAGGCTTTATGATATAGGCTATTATTCACTCTTATGTGGCAATATCCTTGTGTTACCGTTCTAAATACTGCAGGCAATTGTCACATAATGATATATGAAAGAGCATATTGTATGTCCTTTCCCATCCGAACATTTCACTTGCTGAGTTGTAATTGTGTCTCCCTCTCCTCTGCCCCCAGTACTAGAATGCAATCTGACTTATATTTGTGTTCTGAGTGTCCAGCCTAGTAACTGCTACACACAGCAGGTCCTAGACGGCCAGAAATCAACCAACCACTGCAGAAACCTCTAGGGAAATGAGTTTGTGTGGGTGGTGAAACATCCAAGAAGAAGAAAAAAATAAGATGTGTAAATGGGATGTAACCAGTCTCCTTACTGGGATCTCTGGGTATTTGCTATTACAAGTCTGAGAAAGGAGTCATTGAAGGGGGAAAGGAGACAGAAGACGGGAGCGAGTTACAAACCAAATAAATGAAATGTAAGTCTGTCTATTCCTCAAGGGAATGGCCAATCTCTTCCTCTAGTCTAAATTCTCTGAGGTGAGGGGTCATTAGTACCGAGGGTCAGAAAACTGTGGGAGCTCAACAAATGCCCTCAGTATGCCTGGCGCCTTTCACAATGCCTAGTACTCTGAAAGAGATCAATGAAAGGTTAGCAGGTGAAAGGCAGGCTTGGCCTTGGGGGGGGGGCGTTAATAAGGCGAGTGTGGCGACCTAATCCGGCCGGGGTTCGGGGAGGGGGTGTTTCCGGGCACCCCCGCTGCCCCCCCCCAGCCCGCGCCTGCGGAGTCCTTCCCTTTGCAGTCCTTCCCCGACCTGTCCATCACGCGCGGCCCGCACCCCAGGCGCTCCCAGGCGCCAAGTAACTCGCCGCTTTCGGATGACTCCGAACAAATCATCCCAGCTCGAGATCCACCCGAGCCTGCTTACCAGCTGCCCGGCGTTCCGGCTCCAGGTCCTGAGAACACGCACTGCAGCCATCTTACTCCGGAAACCGCTCGGGCACTGCGGCTGGAGAGAAGCCTCCTCACAGCGGCCTATCAAGAGACGAGAGACGCACCTCCCTCAGCGACCAATGGGGGAGCGCAGGAACGAGCCTCCTACTCCGCCGCCAATCAGGGAGAGGGGACAGCCGGAACTGCCCACCAGGAAACCAATCGGAGAGCTGGAAGAATCCACGCCTCCCACCTGGCTGCTAACCCGGGAGCTGAGCCGGCAGAGAGCCACCCCCCCCCCCCTCCATCCCCGGGAGGCGGTGAAGAGTCGGGGGCCGAGGGAAGGACGACTCGGTGGGGACAACTCAGACTTAAGTTCGGGGGTGGGGATGGAGGTGGTGTGCTTCAGTGTTCAGTGCAGATGCAGCAGCAATAATCTTTTAAATCCTTGTGAGGGGGAAACAGAGTGTGTTAAGGGAACACACAGGAAGGGCAACTCACCCGGAGAAAGTTGGGGTGAAACCCGCGTGGTAAGAAAACATTTTTGGTGTTCTGTCTACCGTGATTATAGGAAAAGGAAACGATTTCATACTTTGTTGCAAGGCTCTGGACTACTTGTTTCTTAGGTCGATACAGGAACACTTGCCGGGAATTAGCACCTCTTACTCCGGTTAAGTGGTTTGTTATTACTTTAGTTTTATAATGATCTCCTCCCCTCTCCTCCTCCTCTCCCTCCCCCTTCTTCCTCCTCCTCCTCCTCCTCTTCTTTCTCTTCCTCTCTATTATTATTATTACTATTATTATTAATGTACTAGGGCTTGAACATAGGGCCTAGTAGCTGTCTCTGGGCTACTTTGCTAAAAGCTAGCACTTTACTACTTGTGCCACACCTCAACTTCTGGCTTTTTTTTTTTTTTTTTGGCCAGTTCTGGGGCTTGAATTCAGAGCCTGGGCACTGTCCCTGAGCTTCTTTTGTTCAAGGCTAGCACTTTACCACTTGAGCCACAGAGCCATTTCTGGTTTTTACTGTGTATGTGGTACTGAGGAAGAGAACCCAGGGCTTCATGCATGCTAGGCAAGCGTTTTACCACTAAACCACATTCTCAGCCCATTCTGACTTTTTTTTTTTTTTGATGGTTAATTGGAGATGAATCTCACAGACTTTTCTTCCGTGGGGCTAGCTGTGAACTGTGATCATGAGTTGGAGCCAGGCTTGAGCTACATAGAGAGTTACTTCACAGTGAGACTGGGATACAGAGTGGCTTCACCTCAAAAAACATGCAAAAACAAACTAGTCTGAAGATGCAACTTAATTGCAAGGGTTTGTATTCCTAGCACTGGAAGGGGTGAGAAAGACCAGTTTTATCAGGCAATCTTTTTTCTGCACAGGAATCAACTATAAAACAGATTTCTAGAAACATCTAGAATGACAATACCATTCTTTTTTTCTTACATCAGAATGAAAATTCATTATATCTTTTCTTTCCAAGACCTGGAGATATCTCACCTGTCTATCTGTCATGAGTGAAGCTCTTGGTGACGCTAAAGCTTTTGGCTAGCCAATAGCCCTTTGATTATTAGATACTATCTATAGCACTACCTATAGTCCCATATCAGTGGAACTGTTGAGACAGGACATGTTTATTTTCAACTTTACTCTACATAATGCAAGATTGTTATGCATTTTGTCACTGGACAAAACACATCTACCAGCTGTGGAAGGGAGTAGTATAGCATTGGCTTAATTCTTTTTTTTGGGGGGGGGGTCTGGTCATGGGGCCTGGATACTGTCCTTCAGCTCTTCAGCTCAAGGCTAGCACTCTACCACTTCAGCCACAGCGCCACTTCCAGCTTTTTTTCTTTTTGCTTATGTGGTGCTGAGGAATCGAATCCAGGGCCTCAGGCATGCAAGGCAAGCGCTCTACCACTGAGCCACCTTCCCAGCCCTGGCTTAATTCTTTGCCCCCAATTTAGTAATTGTAAAATGGCATTATGGTGTTAGTTTCTCTAATTATTAATACCACTAAATATTTTCCTGTTTGTTGACCACTCTTAAAATGCCTGCTCATGCTTTTCACCCATTTTTCTTTTATTGTGGGTGTTTTTGTTGATGAGTGGTTTACTTGTGGAGCTCCCTCAAATATGCTGAGCCCTGTAGATTTTATGCCAACTTTTGGCTTAAGGTCTCATTTACATATGCACAATAACCTTAAAATTTTAACTTCATATGATTTTATTTTTCACAATACTTGGGTTATTCCAGCTTTGGGGCTATGAAACATTTGGATACAAATGTTTGGGGAATGTGTTTTCTTTTCTTTCTTTTTCTTTTGTCTGTTGTGAGGATTCAACTCAGGGTCTAGGTACTGTCCCTGAGCTCTTTTGCTCAAGGCTAGTGCTCTACCACTTTGAACCAGAGCTATTTCTGGTTCTTGTGTGTGTGTGTGTGTGTGTGTGTGTGGAATTGGAGATAAAAGAGTTTCATGGCTGGGTGCCGGTGACTCACACCTGTAGTATTAGATACTCAGGAGGCTGAGATCTGAGGATCATGGTTCAAAGCCAGTCCAGGCAGGAAAGTCCATAAGACTCTCATCTCCAGTTAACCACCAGAAAACTAGAAGTCTCAATGTGCCTCTTGTGGTAGAGCACTAGTCTTGAGCTGAAGAGCTGAGGGACAGCATCTGGGACGAGAGTTCAAGTCCCATGACCGACAAAAAAATATGTAAGAGTCTCAAGGACTCTCCTGTTCAGGCTAGCTTTGAACCAGGATCCTCAGGTCTCAGCCTCCTAAATAGCTAGGATTATAGGTGTGAGCCACCAGTGCCTGGCTTCTACATGTTTTCATTTCTCTTAGGTTTATGCCTTAAGGAAGTATTGTTAGGTAATGAGGTCATTGTTATGTGGTGTGTGTGTGTATGTGTGTGTGTGCACGTGCAAGTGAACTCAGGGTCTGGGCACTGTCCCTTAGCTTTTTTGCTCAAGGCTGGTTCTCTATCACTTGAGCTACAGCTCCACTTTTGTCTTTTGTATTATTGTATGGATGGATGACATTGCAGCACTGTAACTGATTACTTTTACATCTTTCCATTTTACCTCCAATTGCTTCAGGGTATGAACTACCTTCTTCTGCACGGGCGCGCACACACACAAATATATATTTGTTACTCAGTTAAGGCAGGAATTGAGTCACCAGCAGGAATCAAGAAGTTTGTTGTTGTTTCTACCTTTGATAAGCCCTGTACTGTTCTTGGAGTCAACTAATTCTCTCTGACAGGTCTGAACAGCCAGGTCCTTTTATCTGCAGGCCAGTACCTTGATTTATAAACACTCCTGTCTTATCCTTTCTCCTTGAAGGACTGTGACCTATTTGACTGGCAACAGACCAGGGCTTTGAACTGAACAGAGCTTTGAAGGAAAGGCTCAACTCCCTTCCTTTCTCCAACTAAGACCCATTTCACATCTTATCTATGTCCCGCCATGAGTTACTTTCATAACAACCCCTATCAGACAACTCTAGTGATCCCTTGGGACTCATTACACATATCCCAGCCAGTAAGCAAGGGAGAATCTCAAGCTTGGCTGAAGACCACTCTCCAGGTATTTCTCTAACCTATGCTAATGTTGAGCTGTCTTTTTGTCTGTCCTCTGTGCCTTTTGAATCTAACACTGTCCACCTATGCAAACACACACACACACACACACACACACACACACACACACACACACGGGGTAATTGAGGAGCAAAGGTATCACTCAATGCACAAGAGCACACGCTTTGGAAGACAGGCTGCAGAGAGCTCGAATCCCACAATACTCAGGTGCATTGTAGGGAGGGTCTAGACTTCTCCCGTGTGGTTAGCTCTTAAGAGTCTGCAGCTCTGGGTGGGCCAAACCCCTGGAGAGAATAAGACAGATCACGATTATCAAGAAAGCAAATAAGGCTCAAGCGTGCGGGACAACGGAAGGATTGGTTCACAGTCGGAAAGGCTTCTCACAACCTACAGGTTCCAGGAGTGTCTTCGGGTCCAAGTTCTCCAAGCCCAGGCAGTGCGGAGTCGGGGGGGGGGGGGGGGGGGCACAGAACCACAGCGAACACACCCTCCTTCGGCGCTGGCAGTGCGCGTGCGCACGGGACACCCGCCCCCACGGTCCCGGGGATTCGTTTCCGCGGAATCCATTTCCGGTGGCACCGCTCCTTCCGCCTCCCGGCTCCACCGTGCGTCCCGGGGCGCTGACCGAGGTTCCGGAGCTGTGGGAACTCCGAGGGCGGCTGTTCTTGTTCCTGCTTGGGCGAAGGCGCGGTTGCAGCGGGCCGGGTCCCTGGGTGCCCCCCATGGCGGGGCAGCGGGTGGAGGTGGACGGCGGGATCATGGAAGGGGTGAGTGCGGGGCTGGAGGCCGGGGCTGCGCCCCTCGGGGATGGGATGGGATGGCACGGGGTGGGATGGGATGGGGGGGTCTCTCCTGGCGGCGGGGTAGGGGGGAGGTCCTCACGCCCCTTCTCTCCGCACCCGGTTCTTGGCAGGGCGGCCAGATCCTCAGAGTCTCCACAGCCCTGAGCTGTCTGCTGGGCCTCCCTCTGCGGGTGCAGAAGATCCGCGCGGGCCGCAGCACGCCCGGCCTCAGGTAATGCGCGCTGCCCTGGGGAGCGGGGATGGCGAGGCCCGACCGACCGCAGGGCCGGGGCCTGGGGATGGGAGCGAGGGGCGGGCCGCCGCACCACGGGCGTGGGAACAGGGGAGCCCAGGAGGGGAATTGAGTCTCTCCCCCCCCCTCCGTGCAGGGGAGTGGTGGGCCTCGGCTTCGCTTTCCTGGCCAGGGGCCTGATGGTGCAGCCTTGCAAGCCTCAAGGAGTGAATACAGAAATAGGCTCGCTCGGGTAGCCGTCGTGTGTTGTTTGCCCAAGAATCTGTCTTTTAGAGTGTGTCCCCAGCTCCAATGGGCATTCCACGTATTTGAAGGTAAGCTAGGTCAGGGCAGAACCGTCTCTAAGGCCCCTTGTAAACCACCGCATTCTGTGCTTCTGCGCGTTTTGGAATCCCAGAACAGGTGAGGATCCCAGGAATTCTTCTTAAGGCCTTTTCATTCAGATCTCCAGGAAGATGTGAGTACGACCAGAATTAACTGTTGTAGGGAGGGACATATATTGACATTTGACAGGGCTTGCCACTAGCTGCATTTTCAGGTATATATGCGCCTGTTAGAAGAGGGCCCAACAGATCTCTTTGTGTGTTTTCTCTCTATATATATTCCATTTCAACTTACCGGTTCTCTTAGTGTTGTTTGTTTGTTTGGTGTGTGCCAGAACTGGGTCTTGAACTCAGGGCCTGGGCACTGCCTCTTAGATTCTTCACTCAAGGCTGGCACTCTGCCAGTTGAGTCACAGCTCAACTTGTGGATTATTAATTGGAGATAAAGGTCTCACAGACTTTTCTGCCCAGGCTGGCTTTGAATGGTGACCCTCAGATCTCAGCCTCCTGAGTTACAGGCATGAGCCACCAGTGTCTGGAGATATCTATCTATCTACCTATCTACTTATCTATCTTTATCTGTGTCTGTCTGTATGTATGCATTTATGTATGTATGTATGTATGTATGTATGTTTTGGAGGGTGAGAGTCCAGAGTCAAGGTGCTGGCAGGGTTGTTTTTCCTGGGCCATAAAGGGAAGATCCGTTCAATGCCTTGGTGATGGAATTCCTCTTGTGGCCCTTTCGCAGAGTGGTTTCTTTATGGACCCTGTTGATCATGTTTCCCTATATATCCTACTCTCTTTTAATAAGGACCTCAATTAAATTTTAAGACCCTCCTTTAAAATTAAGTCCTATTTCTAGCAGTTCCATTCTGTTGCCTGTGGTTTGGGAGTTCAGCACACAATGTCAAGGGAATACAATTTAGACCATACAGGTGTCATAGAGAGTTCAGTGAATGAGAGCAAGACTGGTGGCTCTTAGGTAGTTTTACTCGTGTATTTCCTTTGAACCCTTATAATTTTCAGCAGTTCATCAGTATGTGTGTTCATAGCAAAAATAACTGGTCTTGAAGGGAACAAAAAAAAATGCTACCTAATAGTAGTTAATGTAAGTACATAAAAAAAAAAACCACATGAAGTTTGGCTATTGAAGATGTAGCATATACTATATTTAGGCCTTGCTGTTTCACAGTTTTATAAATGTGGCATAAAATGTGGGGAGAAGGCAGTCTGAATGCACACGTTTTGATGCAGTATTATGACCTGAAGGCCTCAACATTTATCTGGACTGGAAATGGTTCGAGATTTGTGTGGTGGACAACTGGAGGGAGCAGAAATCGGCTCCACAGAAATAGTCTTCACGCCAGAAAAGATCAGAGGTGGAATCCATACAGCAGACACCAAGACAGCAGGGTATGTATCACTTATGTGGAATGTAAGTATAGATCTTAGTGTTAGGCCTGTATCAAAGCTAGATTCTGTCTCTTATTAGATATATTACTGAACCTCTCTTGGCTTCAGTTTTTTTACTTTTATGATGAAGATAAAATATCTTTTAAAGCTAAAGACAATGGATATAAAAATTTAGGTACCTAATTGGTCACTTACAGCCATTACTATCTCTGGAATATTGTTTTGTTGAAACATGATTTCCTATATAAGCCATACTGGCCTTCAGCTTGAGTTCCTTCTTTTTTAGTTCCTTGAATGCTGGCATTAACGACATGTGCCATCATATCATGGTATATGCAGAATGTTATTTTGTGTGTAGTATGAAGTGGCATTCTTTCTTTCTTTTTTTGTGAGTCATGGGGCTTGAACTCTGGGCCTGGACGCCGTCCCTTAGCTCTTCAATTCAAGGCTAGTGCTCTACCACTTGAGCCACAGCACCATTTCTGGTTTTCTGGTGGTTAATTGGAGATAAGAGTCCCACAGACTTTCCTATGTGGGCTGACTTTGAATCTCGATTCTCAGATCTCAGCCTCCTGAATAGCTAGGATTACAGAAGTGAGCCACTGGCACCCGGCTTTTTACTTTTCATTATTAAAAATTGAATACTTCAAATTTTCTTGAGTTTGTATGTTCTGCCGTCATTGTATTGTGACATACAGCTGACTATGAATCATACTTCTTTTAATTGAGGTATTTTTAATGTCTTTTAATTTTTTTGGTGTTGCTGAGGACCAAGTTAGGTGTTTTTCCAGCGAGGTCTCCCTCACCCCAGGCCAGCTCTTTATTTTCTTGATTTAAAAAAAAAAATCTCATTGGAAAATAGGACAAGGGTGCTCATTGGTAAAGCACCTGCTTATGATGTTGAGGGCTATTTTTTTCCCAAGAAAAACAATATTGAGTTGAGTTTTTTTTATGTTTATCCCCCCCCCCTTTTTTTTAATGTCAATTTGGAGGTTGTATTCAAGGCCTATGTGCTGTCTGTCCCTGAGCTTTTTGTACTCAAGCTTAGTGCTCTACCACTTGAGCCATAGCCCTGGCTTTTGGTAGTTAATTGGAGATGAGAGATTCACAGGCTTTCCTGCTCAGTCTGGCTTTGAACCATTGTGCTCTAGCCTCCTGAGTAGCTAGGATTACAGGTGTGAGTCACCAGTGCCTGGCCTTTTTTTTTTTTTTTTTTGGTCATTTGTAGGGCTTGAACTCTGGGTCTGGGCTCTGTCCCTCAGCCCTTCAGCTCAAGGCTAGTGCTCTACCACTTAAGCCATAGTGCCACTTCTGGTTTTCTGAGTGGTTTATTGGAGATAAGAGTCTCATGGACTCTCATGGACTTTTCCTGCCTGGACTGGCTTTGAACCGTGATCCTCAGATCTCAGCCTCCTGAGTAGCTGGGATTACAGGCGTGAGCCACCAGCACCTGGCTCTGGCATTTTTTATCCTTTTTTTTTTTTTTTGGTTGGTCATGGGACTTGAACTCTGGGCCTGGGTGCTGTCCCTCAGCTCTTCAGCTCAAAGCTAGCACTCTACCACTTGAGCCACAGCACCACTTCTGGTTTTCTGAGTGGTTAACTGGAGATGAGAGTCTCACAGACTTACCTGCCTAGGCTGGCTTTGAACCGAGATCCTCAGATCTCAGCCTCTTGAGTAGCTAGGATTACAGATGTGAGCCACTGGCGTACAGCCGTTTTTTTAATCTTTTTCTAATGGTGCCTGCTTCCAGTGATAAATGTGGAGAGAGGAATTACAAGTTACTTTTTCTGAGCTAGTTGGCTGATGGATTCTGTTGCCAACTTCTACCCAAATTCTATTTCCTGGGAAATTTGGCAAAATAGAAAATGGGACTAGAAACCTGATGCCAGGATTGCTTTTATTTTTCTCCTGTGCTGGGTACCACATCAGGGCCTTACAGCTGCTGTGCAGGCACTCTGTCACCCAGCAACTGTAACCAGGTTTGTGTACCATCTAAAGCCAATTTTCTCTGTAGTGAAAGACTGATTCTGAATTTTGCCCATCAGACACTGGAGTGTGTTGTTTTAACTTCTCGGTTGTCTGTGCTTCAGGTGATAATGTAATAAAAGAACTTTTTGAGACTTTGAAAAGACAGTTCAGCTAAGCCTGTTCTGCCTTCTCCTCAGGAGTGTGTGCCTCTTGATGCAGGTTTCAATGCCCTGTGTTCTCTTCGCTGCTTCTCCATCAGAACTTCGCTTGAAAGGTGGAACTAATGCTGAAATGGCCCCCCAGATCGATTACACCATGATGGTGAGGGCTGAATCTCCAGTCTCTGTTCCAACATGTCTTAAGTATTTTGTGTATATTGATTCCTGTTATCTGATGATATTGATTCATATTATTGATTCATGTTATCTAAAAGGGAAGAGAATTATATTTAAGATTGTATTATATGTTAAAGTCATATACATAGTGAATTTTTAAAACCTGAAGTAAAATGATATAAATTAAATCAGTTATTTTATTTTTGCTGATCCGGGAGCTTGAACTCAGCACCTGGACTCTGTCCCTGAGCTTTTCTGTGCTCCAGGCTAGTGTCTACCACTTGAGCCATTTATTGTTTATTGGAGCTAAGAGTCTCATGGACCTTCCTCCCTGGGCTGGCTTTGAATTGTGATTCTCAGCCTCCAGAGTAGCTAGTGTTACAGACATGAGCCACTGGTGCCTGGCAGATCAGTTATTATTTAAATCAGGCATTTAATAAATCTAAGAATTACAATTGGGAAGAAAGCTTAAACTATCTTCCAGTGACAAAACTCAATACTAGCATGCTAGAAAAGTATGCATCTTTCTTTCTTTACCTCTTTCTTTACCCCTCTCTCTTTTTTCTTCCTTCTTCCTTCCTTCCTTCCTTCCTTCCTTCCTTCCTTCCTTCCTTCCTTCCTTCCTTCCTTCCTTCCTTCCTTCCTTCCTTCCTTTCTCTCTGTCTGTTTGTCTGTCTGTCTGTCTGTCTGTCTGTCTCTCTCTCTCTCACATCATGGGGCTTGAACTCAGAGCTCTTTCACTCAAGGTTAGCACTTTACCACTCTGAGCCAGCTTTACTTCTGGTTTTCTGGTGAATAATTAGAGATAAGAGATTAGAGATAAGTCCATGGCTGGCTTTGAACTGCGATCCTCAGATCTAAGTCTCCTGAGTAGCTAAGATTACAGACATGAGCCATCAGTGCCTGGCTGCATATTTTACTTATTCTGAAAATCTGAAAAGCAAACTTTTCTAAAATCTGAAACTTTTTCAGTGTCTGAACTCAGGGCCTGGAGCTCAGGCTTACTTGACTTGCTTATTCATGGATAGTACTCTACCACCTGAGTTATGCCTCTAGCCTAGCTTTTTTGGAAATGGCAGTCTGTGACTTTTTTTGCTCAGACTGGTTTTGAACTTTAGTCATCCAGATCTTAGCCTTGTGAGTAGCAAGGATTATAGGTCTTGAGCCACTGGTGGTATTACTTAGTAATTTCACGGAAACTACTCCATCTAAATATTATAGAGTACATGCCCCAGTTTCTTCAAGTGTACTTCATATTGAGAAGAGTCAGTAAATATTGACCCGTGGAGAAGAATAACAACTGGGTCAAATATGTTAGATTGTGATACTTTTCTTTATCAGTCTTGTCCTGCTCTGATTAAATACTAAGCTTTACCTTTAGTGACATACCTGGTCTTTTTGTTGTTGTTTTGTTTGTTTTTTTTACTTGAGAAAAGGTGCTAGTATAAATATTTTGATGTCACTGTTTACCTGTAACACCTAATCACTGGTTTGGTGCAGAATACTTTTCATTTAACAGTTGTACTTGTTGAGCCAGTAAATATTAGTGGCTACAGTAACATCTGATTTTTTTTTTTTTTAGGTCTTTAAGCCAATTGTTGAAAAATTTGGTTTTAAATTTAATTGTGACATTAAAATGAGGTAAGTTATACATTTCCTAGCCCTTCTGATGTATTACATGTGCTAAAAATAAATGGAAAAGTTAGACCTCAGAGGACTGTCACTCTAATATACCTATATTATACTTGATTGTTCAGTTTCTTGTAGGAAATCATTGTACTTTGGTCTTAACAATAAGCTGGAGGGGATGTTGACAGCAGCCACATGTGATATTCATTTGTTTCCTGGGAGAAATATTACAAAGGAATATCTACCTAGGGCAGCTTCACATCTAGTGTTATCCATGCTCCTGCAAGGACTAAATGATAATGCTAGGTACACAGCTAGGCTTATCACTATGGGGGCCTTAAAAGAGATTTTCTTCCACAATGTAGTCTGTTATTTTCCTCAGACACATAGTAAACATACATGTTATTTTCTTTGAGGCTTCCCCTCAGCAACACCTTTAAATTTCTTGGTTTAGCATGTAAGTGCTCCAGTTACCTTTAGGCATTATTTCTCTTGACCTCCTTTCAGCTTCATGATTTTCACGGATCCTTAAATGCTTTGGACTTTCTTTATTCATAAATCCTGTATACTTTAAAAATGAAAATGGCAGTTTCTTGTTTGGACTGCCCAAAGATGTGCCTTCATTGGAATTTACATCTGAACTGCTATTTTAATACTTTCTTTGTGTGTGTGTGTGTGTGTGTGTGTGTGTGTGTGTGTGTGTCTGTGTGTCTGTGTGTGTGTCTGTGTCTGTGTGTCTGTGTGTTGTGGGTCGTGAACTCGGCCTGGGCGCTGTCCCTGAGCTCTTCAGCTCAAGGCTAGCACTCTACCACTTGAGCCATAGCGCCACTTCTAGTTTTCTGGTGGTTAATTGGAGATGAGTCTCACAGACTTTCCTGCCTGGGTTGGCTTTGAATTGATATCCTCAGAGTAGCTAGGATTACAGGCTTGAGCCACTGGTACCCAGCTTTTAATACTTTCTTACAGCCCTCCTCCTCTTCTAGCATGGTGTCTGGAGCCATCTCCCTTCCAGATAGAGAATTCCTTAAGATAAGAGCACTTAAATTCTTAGCATCCATGATAGAATTAATGACACTAAATAACAGAGTTAGAATTTGGTTGGTGTTCAGCTACTTAAGTGTTCATCAGATATTTATTTGCCCATCAGTCATTGTTTCAAACCCTAGAAAATAGAAACAAAACAGATCCAGACATCAGAGAACTTCTGTTGTAAAATAGCACTGTCAATAGAACTTTCCACACTGAGGAGTATGTGCCCTTTTTATGGTGTCTAGTTGGATAGTCACTAATAACTTCTTTCTTCTTTTTTGATAGTACTGGGTTTGAACTCAGGGCCTCACACTTGCTCAGCTGGTGCTCTACCACTTGAGCTATCCTTTCAGTCTGGCCTTTTTTCTGGTTATTTTGGAGATACAATCTCATGGACTTCTCTTCCTGGAATGATTTAGAACTGAGATCTTATAGATCTCAGCCTCCTGAGTAGCTAGGATTACAGATATGAGCCACTAGCCCCTGGTCCAAATGTAAGTCTTGAGACCTTAAAGTAAGCTTTATGTATTTCAGAAGCTGACTGATTTTTTTTTAAATTCTTACTTAATTTCCTTTATTTTTATTTTAAAATCTACTTTTTTGTTGTTGGGGATGGAGTCCAGGGCCTCACAGATGTTAAATATACACTGTTTTCCAGTGAGCTGTTCTCCCAGCCTAATATTTTCCTTAATGTGAATAGTCATATGTAACTTGGGGCCACTGTATAGGTCAGAAGAGACCTAAAATACTGTTTAGGACTTTCCATGAATTATATCTTGAGTATCATTCACATTATTTTTGATGTCATATTGGGGTTCACTTTGGTTGTGTGGTCAGTTTATGTAGGTGTTAACGCTCTCCACAGGGGCTATTACCCAAAAGGAGGTGGCGAAGTACTCGTGCAGATGTCTCCAGTTAAACAGTTAAACCCAATAAATTTGACTGATCGTGGCTCTGTGACAAAGATCTATGGGAGAGCGTTTGTTGCTGGTGTTCTGCCATTTAAAGTAAGTTGTCTGAATGTTCTTAGATGTGTTTTTACACTTGGTTGTTTTTTTTTTTTTTTTTTTTTTTTTTTGGGTCCGGTGGTGGGGCCTAAACTCTGGGCCTGGGCGCTATCCCTCAGCTCTTCAGCTCAAGGCTAGCTAGCACTCTACCACTTGAGCCACAGTACCACTTCCGGGATTTTTCTTTTTTGCTTATGTGGTGCTGAGGAATTGAACCCAGGGTCTCATACATGCAAGGCAAGTGCTCTACCACTGAGCCACCTTCCCAGTCCTTGTTTTTCCACTTGGTAAGTATTATGTTATCTAAGTTTTGAAACTATTGAGAATTTTTTTGTTTGTTTTCTTTTGGTAGTACTTGGGCTTAAACTCAGGACCTTGCTATTTGTAGACAAGTGATAGAACTTATTTTTTTATATGCCTTTTCATTTAAGTTTTTCCTAAAATTTAGTCCTCTCTCTAGTCTTGAAAATTGAATAATTAAATAATGAATGTAAAAGCTGTTTTATGTGACTTTGAAGGCTTGAAAACAATTGTCCAAATTTTTCTTTTTTTTCCTCACTTGCCAAAATAGGTAGCAAAAGATATGGCGGCGGCAGCTGTGAGATGCATCAGAAAGGAGATCAGAGATCTGTATGTTAACATCCAGCCTGTTCAGGAGCCCAGAGACCAAGCATTTGGCAATGGCAGTGGAATAATGTGAGAAATAGACCTTTCTTAGGCATAGTTAGAAGACCTGAAATAATTTTCCTGTTTCAAGATGTAAGATGTGCTTGATCAATTTAGAATTTGAAGAGGGCATATTTTTACCTACCTGAAACAATATTATTAATTAAGATGAATATTCTGGCTGGGTCTGGGGTGATGCATGCCAGTAATCCCAACTACTTGGGAGGCTGAGGCCGGAGGATTGTGAGTTTGAGTCTAGCCTGTATTACATAGCAAGATTTCATTTCCAAAAAGAGATTATTCTGGATTTTGTTTTTAAAGATCGGCAATCCTTGAGATTTCTTTCTTTATCTCTCTCTCTTTCTTTCTTTCTTTTCTTGTCAGACTTGGGGCTTAAACTCAGGGCCTGGGTTCTGTCCCTGAGCTCTTTTGCTCAAAGCTAGTTCTCTACCACTTTGAGTCACAGCTCTACTTCCAGTTTGTTAGAGATTAAGAGTCTCATGGTGACTTCTGGCCAGGCTGACTTTGAACTGTTACTCTCAGTTCTCAGCCTCCTGAGTAGCTAGAATTACAGGTGTGAGCCACTGGTGTCTGACATAGTCCCTGAGCTTTTTGTGCTTAAGGCTAGCACTTGGCCATTTGAGCTACAGCTCCACTTTTGGCTTTTTTGGTAGTTAATTGGAGATAAGCATCTCATGGGCTTTACCTGTCTGGGCTGGCTTCGAATCACAATCCTCAAATCTTAGCTTCCAAAGGCTGTAGGATTACAGGCATGAGAATCCATTTTTGTAAGCTCTTCATAGCAATTGCATTCTGTAGCCATGGATTCAAACAACTATTGATCAAAAATGTTTGAAAAAAAATTGTGTCTGTACTAAACATGAATGGGCTTATTCTTTGGGTAATATAGCTGTTTTGTATATACATTGTGTTAGGTATAAGTAATCTGTAGATGATTTAAAGTCTAAGAGTTGATATACATAGTTTATGTGTAAATATTATACTATTTTACATAAGGGATTTATAACATGAATAGTAATAGTTCCTTTCTCTGTATAGCATTGTTGCTGAGACATCCACTGGCTGTTTGTTTGCTGGATCAGCACTTGGCAAACGAGGTATGGATAAAGGGACTCTATAATAGTTCCCGATACTCAAGTAGGAGTATCAGCTGTTGGGAGTAGAGTATTATAAAGAATGACAGAAGACATATTTAGAAGGATAAATTAACTAATTGTGTTTTAAACGTCACATCTTTTTCCTAGTTTCCTACTTTGAAAGTTTTCAAACCTATGGAAAAATGACTTGTTGGTCTAGTCATCTGTATTCCTGTCCCCAGGTACAGTGGCTGCACGTCCTGTGTGTCCTGAGCCTTTTCAGTGTTAGGTTGCAGACACTCTACCTCACTCCTAAGCACTGCAGCATGTATGTCCAAACAATGTAGTGACCGTGGCATTTTTATACCAGAAGAATTTGTCTGTTAGAGACAGACGTACGGACATACTTTGATCTAATGAGACTACCCTTTGTTAAGACTTGCACATACATGTTTTGGGTCAATATGTATTTTTTTTCTCTTTAAGTACACATAACATTTAGCTGTCATAGCTGTTTTTTCTTTTCATACAGAATACTCTCCATTCCCCCACACACACCTTTTTTTTTTCTATTTATTCCCTGGACATTTTGAAAAGTCCAGGCCTTTTTTCATGGAATTTTTCCACTGTTTCGATTTGTCTAGTAATATCATGATTAGATTGGGATTAAACATTTTTAGAGTGTTGCATAGGTGATTTCATATATATTCTAGTGCATTGCATCAAGGCAGGGGAGGTAATAGTTTGTGCCTTCTCAGTAAGGCCAGATGTACACGTGGTTAAGTGTATACCACTGTCTATTGTACCTGTTCCTTTTCCCTGTATGATTAACAGGTAGTCTGAGAAAAATCCCTTGAGATCACTTGATTATGCTGTTCTCACACAATTTACATGCATTGGTGATTCTTCCCTGCACTAGTTTCTGTGGTGCTAATTGGGAAATGCTGGTTTTTGTTTTGGGGTTTTTTTTGTTTTTGTGAGACAGTGTCTTACTGTGTAGCTCAGGCTGACCTCAAGCTTGTGATCTTCCTGCCTCAGCCTCCCAAGTGCTACAGTTAAATCATTGAATATTTTCAGGAAAAGGAAATCTGTCCAAGGGTCTGATGGGGGGTTACAGAAAGACAAGAATAGAGATGCTAACAAGTAATTTTACAGCATTTTAGATAATAATGTGCAGGAAACAGCTTCATGGTGTGGATTTTTCACTTTTCAAATAATTTTAGAACCTATCATCTTTTCCTTCTCTGAGTTTCTGTTGGGTATGCACCTGTCTGTGCTCTAATCAGTGGAGGATGGATATAGAACCTTAACTGTTCTCAAGGGGTTGGAGCTGCAGCTCAGTTGGTAGAGTGCTAGCCAGTGAGCAAAAGCATCAGGTATTGAGGTTGAGTCTCAGTCTCAGACCTGAAAAGAACCTTAACTACTCTCTAGTATGTTACTTTTTTTTTTTTTATGTTTTATCAGCAAAAGGGCTAGCAATATTGGGTGTTCAATACTAATATTATTAATAGCCTATTATTTGTGATCTTGATAATGGATGCTTTATAAATGTTACCTTATTTCTGTTACAACTTTTCAACATAGTTTTCATTGTCTTTTCTAGCTGAAAGTGGAACTGTAAGACACTAAGTAGCTCACTCAAGTGTGGGGGTGGGGCAGGGGATAGCTCACTGGCAGAGAATGTAGCATGCACCAGACCCTGGGTTTAGTCCCTAGAACCAAAAAATTAAAAGTCAAGATCTATAATAACTCTCTCTAAATCATTCTTTTTAGTCATATAATGGCCAACTGATGATGTAAAAGTAGGGAGTTTAAATTCTGACAATATCTGCTGTAAGGGAAGAGTTAAAATTCTGAAATTTTTAGTTTTCTGGAAAAGGTTAATATATGTATGTATAGAGAGAGTAGATAACAATTGTATATGTGTGTATATGTGTGTGTAAAAAATATATACATATATGTAAATTTGCAAGAATTTGAAGCAGAAACAAAATCAACCACAGTATAAGTACTTAAGACATTTTCTTTTGAGGCCAAGGATTTTTTTTTAGGCATATAACCTTAAAAAGATAGTTGGAAGCTGGGGGCCATTGACATGCCTATAATTGTAGCTACTCAAGAGGCTGAGATCAGAAGATCACAGTTCATAGTCAGCCTTGGCAGGAAAGTCAGTGAGACATCTCCAGTTAATCACCAGAAACGCTGGCAGTAGAGCTGTGGCTCAAGTGGTAGAGTGCTAACCTTCAGCACAAAAGCACCCAGGCCCTGAGTTCAAGTCCCGATTCTAGCATTAAAAATTTTTTAAAAGTTGGATATTCCACTATTTCTGATAAACTTAGTTTGTTTTCATTGCTGTACTAACGATTTATATAGAAAGGTAGAAAGTAGGGCTGGGAAGTTGTCTCAGTAGTAGAGCGCTTGCCTTGCATGCATGAGGCCCTGGGTTTGATTCCTCAGCACCACATAACCAAAAGGAAAAAGCTGGAAGTGGGCTCTGTGGCTCAAGTGGTAGAGCGCTAGCCTTGAGCTGAAGAGCTGAGGGACAGCGTTCAGGCCCAGAGTTCAGGCCCCACGACCGGACCCAAAAAAAAAAAAAAAAAGGTAGAAAGTCAATAGAGCAAGAGGTAAATATTCTGACTTATGTTCAAAATAAGCTAATATCTGTTCATGTATTTTTAGTTAGAAGTCTTTATGTTTATTCTGTTTGGTTTTTGAGACCTTGTCTTACAGTAGCCAGGCTAGATTCCATCTTGGTATCCTTGTCTAATAATGTTTAAAACCAGAATTGTAAGCATTCACCATCAAGTCTAGCCATCTTCAAGTCTTTAAAGGGAATAAAACCTTTTTTCTTTTTCTTTTTGCCAGTTCTAGGGGCCTGGGCACTGTTCCTGGGCTGCTGCTTCTTTTTTTTGCTCAAGGCTAGAACCACTAGAACCACAGCTCCACTTCTGGCTTTTTCTGTACTTGTGGTACTGAGGAATAGAACCCAGGGCTTCATGCATGCTAGGCAAGCACTCTACCACCAAGCCACATTCCCAGCCCTCATAGGACTAATCTTTAAAATAGTCATTTTATTATCTGTTCTTTCTTAAATAATACATAGTATCCTGACTTAAAAAGTTTTTTAATTCTGATGTAATTGCCTATACACTAAAGGTAGCTTATATAAGTTTTAAAAATTTGAAGTTACAAACAGTTAGAAACTGATGTAATAGTAATTTTTAAACAGACACAAAGCAAATTTTCCATCACTAGTATATTTGAAAATAAAATGCATTTCCTTGTAGCTGGCTTACACCTCTTATCCTAGGTACTCAGGAAGCAGATATCTTTGAGGTTGGGAGCCATTTTGGGCAGGAAAGTCAACAATGTCTCCAATTAAATAGCAAACAGCAGAGCTGGAGGTGTGGTTCAAGTGATAGAGTGCCAGCTATGACCAAGAAAACTGAACAGAAAGCCAAATGAGAGCTTGAGGCCCCGAGTTCAAGCCCCTCTGACAAGCTTTAGGAAAATAAAGATCTTATTCTAACTGTTGTGTGGGATAAAGTCAGAAGCCTGACACATTATATCAGTGCTGCCTGGGGTGTATCAAACTGTTGGCCTTTTGGTAATTTGGGGTTTTTACATTATTCCTGTCTTAGGCGTGAATGCAGACAAGGTTGGAATTGAAGCTGCTGAGGTGCTGCTGGCAAATCTTAGACATGGTGGAACTGTGGATGAATACCTGCAAGACCAGGTAATGACATTGAACACTTGGTAATTACCAAGTGTTGTTGTTGTTGTTGTTGTTGTTAGTCATGGGACTTGAACTCAGGTCCTGAGTACTGTCCCTCAGCTTTTTGCTCCAGGCTAGCTTTTGAGCCACATTTCTACTTCTAGTTTTTGAGTGGTTAATTGGAGATGAGTCACAGGGACTGCTGGCTGGAGGTGGCTTTGAACTGCAAATTCTCAGATCTCAGCCTCCTGAGTAGCTAGGATTATGGGCATGAGCCACTGGCACCAGGCTTCAAACGTACATCTTGATCACTGACACATACTGACTAGCAAGCCCTATTTCAGTCATTTCTTATAGTTTTCTGGGAATATAATCTTCATATTTCAGTCCTCATCTTACTTGGCCTTTCTTCAGTATTTAGCACAATTGCTGAAGAAGTACTTTATTTAGTTTCTGAAATACTCTTAGTTTCCTTTCTCGCAATTCATTATATGCTAGTTGTTGTTTTGTTTTATTTTTTTTCTGTGCTAGAAATTGAATCCAGGGCCATAGGCATGCTAGGCGAGACAGAACTTTTTTTTGTGTGTACGCTGGTCCTGAGACTTGAACTCAGAGCCTGGACATTGTCCCTGAGCTGCTTTTGCTCAAAGCTAGCACCCTACCGCTTGAGCCACAGCACTACTTCCAGCTTTTTTGGAATACTTTATTGGAGATAAAAGTCTCATAGACTTTCCTGCCTGGGCTGGCTTCAAACAATGATCCTCAGATCTCAGCCCTCCTGAGTAGCTAGGATTACAGGCGTGAGCCACTGGTGCCCAGCTAAGAAAGAACTTTACTACTGTAGTTTACCCCACTTTAATGAATTCCTCCTTTCTCTCTCTCCCTGCCTCCCTCCCTCCCTCCCTGCCTCCCTCCCTCCCTTCCTTCCTTCCTTCCCGACCTTTCTCTCTGTTTCTTTTTTCTTTCCTTTTTCTCTTTTTCTTCTCTCTCTCTCTCTCCTTTCCTCCTTCTCTTTCATTTATTCTTTTTTTTTATTGTGAAAATACTATACAGAGAGGTTACAATTACATGAGCAAGGTAATGAGTACATTTCTTATCAAGCATTGTTGCCTCCTTTGTTTCCTCTTCCCATCCCTTCCCATCTCCTCCCCTCCCCCCCACCAAAGTTATAAAGTTCATTTTTCAACATAACGTCTTATACATCTCATTGTTGCAATGGGTCCACCTGTATCCCTATTTAAACAATTTGTTTTTTCCCTTCCCCTCCACAAATTATACCAACATCAAATGCAGTGAAAACAGGAGTTATACCGTGGGTGAGGGACATACAAAGCAACAAAGAAATCATCTTATAAATATGTTAGAAACAATAGCAAGAAAGAAAAACCATTTGAGTCCTTATCTTGGTGTTCATTTCGCCTAACATCAACTTCTCTGACTGTTTCTGCTTGTCTCAGACATATACTAGTTATTGCAAATAAGGGAAACCATGGGACCTATGTTTCTTTGAACCTGGCTTACTTTATTTAATATTTTTTCCAAGTCTTTCCATTTCCTAACAAATGGGGCAATGTCATTCTTTCTGATGGAGGCCTAGAATTCCATTGTGTATAAATACCAACATATTTTTTGGTTCATCTACTGAGGGGCATCTGGGTTGGTTCCATATCTTGGCTGTGGTAAATAATACTGGAATAAACATAGTCGTGCTGGTAGCTTTAGTATGGTCTTGTTTGTGATCATTCGGGTAAATGCCCAAAAGTGGGATTGCTGGGTCATAGGGGAGCTCTATGAGGAGTCTTTTGAGGAAACTCCATACTGCTTTCCAAAGTGGCTGAACAAGTTTACACTCCCACCAACAATGAAGTAAGGTTCCCTTCTGTCCACATCCCCTCCAGCATCTGTTGTTATTAGAGTTCTTGATTCTAACCAATCTAACTGGGGTGAGGTGGTATCTCAATGTTGTTTTGATTTGCATTTATTTTATGGCTAGAGAGGTTGAGCATTTCTTCATGTGTCTATTGGCCATCCTTCTTTCCTCTTCAGAGAAATTTCTCTTTAAGTCTTTAGCCCACTTATTTATTGGGCAGTTGTTTCTTTGAGGATTTGTTGTTGGGGGATTTAATTTTTTGAGTTCCAGGTATATTTTAGATATGAGACTCTTGTCCATTATATGGCTAGTGAAGATCTCCCAATCCGTGGGCTTTCTATTGATCTTGCTAGCTCTGTCCTTTGTCATGCAAAAGCTCTGCAATATCATGCAATCCCATTTGTCCAATCTTTCTTTGATTTGTTGTGTTTCTGGGTCTCTATTGAGAAAATTTCAGCCTGTGCCAAGGAGACCTAGGGTTTCTCTATTCCATCCTGTAATGTTTTCATGATGTCTTCTTTGACTCCGAGATCTTTGATCCATTTGGAGTTGATTTTGGTGCAAAGTGATGTATAGCTTTAGTGATCTAGCTTTAGTTTTCTACAAGTGATTAACCAATTTTGCCAGCACCATTTACTGAAGAGGCTGTCTTTCTTCCATTCTAATTTTTTAGCTCCCTTATTGAAGATTAGATGGCTATAGGTCTGTGGGTTCATTTCTGGGTTTTCAATTCTGTTCCATTGGTCCTGAGGTCTGTTTGTGTGCCAGTACCAAGCTGTTTTGATTACTATGGCTTTGTAGTAGAGTTTCTTTCATCTATTCTTTTCTCAAGTAGTTATACTAAGGGGTTTCAGTTTAACATATGAATATGAATTTATGAGTACAATTTTGCATCTTTTTTTTTTTTTTTTTGCTAGTCCTGGAGCTTGAACTTAGGGTCTGGACTCTGTCTCTGAAGTTCTTTTGTTCAAGGTTAATGCTTTACCACTTGAGCCACAGCACCACTTCCTGCTTTTTCTGAGTAGTATAGGAGATAAGAGTGTCACGGACTTTCCTGCCAGGGCTGAAAACCATGATCCTCAGATCTCAGCCTCTTGAGTAGCTAGGATTATAGGCATGAGCCAGCAGTGCCTGGCTCATCACGAATCGTGATCAGTGTCACCCCTTCCATTATTCTCCTCCATCTGTCCCAATACACTCATCCCCTCGAGTTACCTGGTTTCATTTCACATATATACACTGAATATTATGACTGCATTTGCCCATCCTTCCTCTCTCTGCTTGTCTACCCCCCTCCCCTGGCATCACCCCTCAACAACACATATTCATAGTTCTTGGTAAAAAATATATTTCTAAAAGTAGACTTCTGACTTAACTTCCAGGGTTGGAAGTAGCATTCTGCAACATGAGCCACACCTCCATCATTTTTTCCTTTAGTTTTCTTTTGAATTGGAAGATTACTAAATCAAGCCTGGATGGTGATTCTCTTGTTTGAATATCAAATGTAGCTGGTATGACAGGCATGTACTACCATGTCCAGTTTTATTAATGGAGAAAGGTTCTTACTAACTTTTTGCCTGCGCTGACCTCAAACCATGATCATCTAATCTCTCTGCCTTGTGAGTAGCTGGGATTACAGGTGAGAGCCACCACGCCTGTCCCTTTACCTCTGGTCCTGAAGAACTCCTCTGGTCAGACTCATAACTATCTGATTTCACTCCCTTGGTGACTTTCTTCACTCATGGTTTAAGTACCATCTGCATGCTGCCCAGATTAATCACTGCCCAGACCTCTCTCCTAATTCCTTCCTAGTTATAATCCCCCAGCCATCAATATGGATATGTCTTGCCCTTCCCACATCTAAGACTCACTCGCAACAGGTGCTGTGGAGTATTTCTGAAATAGGCGCTTTCTCCCTCATATTTTCCCTTTCTTTTTTCTTCCATCTCCTCCACCTTTCCCTTTTCTTTTCTTTTCTTCCTTCCTTTTTTTTTTTTTTAATTTGAAAACAATTTTGTCCTTGAACTCTCTATCCTCTTAACTTAGCCTCCCTCTCAAGTGCTGGGGTTACAGTTGTATACCATCATGCTTGGCAAATAAAACCTTTCCTTTTTACACTTTGCTGTCTGGTGTATTTTCCTCTCTCTCTTTCTTGCCTTACTTGCAAGTTAGCAGCCTGCTTACACAAACAGGTATTAGCTACTGAGGAGGCTGAGATCTGAGGATTATGATTTGAAACAAGTCTAGGCAGAACAGTCCCTAACTTTTTGGGGTTTTTTTTCTGTTGGTCATGGGACTTGAACTCTGTCCCTCAGCTCTTCAGCTCAAGGCTAGCGCTCTACCACTTGAGCCACAGCACCACTTGCGATTTTCTGGTGGTTAATTGGAGGTAAGAGTCTCACGGACTTTCCTGTCCAGGCTGGCTTTGAACGAGATCCTCAGATCTCAGCCTCCTGAGTAGCTAGGATTATAGGTGTGAGCCACTGGCGCCCAGCGAGTCCCTGACTTTTATCTCCAATTAACCAGCAAAACTCAGAAATGGAGGCGTGGCTCAAATGACAGAACAACAGTCTTGATCAGGAAAAGCTGAGGGACAGCGCCCAGGCCCTGGATTCAAGCCCTCGTATTAGCACCACAAGAAAAGAAAAGGAGAGGGGAGAGGTGGGGAGAGGAGGTTTATTTCAGGCTAGGAGTATAATTCAGTGGCTCAGTGACTGAGATTTTATTATTATTATTTTTGCCTCAATTGTCTAAGCCCCTGGGTTCCATCCCTAGCGTGGAAAAGAAAGAAGTTAATGATTGAATTAACTGTGAGGCTACTCATTAAAATGTAATATTGCAGCTATCAGTGGAGGGGTATATTATGAAATTTTTAACCAGCATATCAAAAAAGTGTGTTTTTATAGTACAAAGGAAAGGTAATTTTGCTTTCAACTCTGGACCTTTCTACTAAAAAACTTGAAACATTTTTTTAAAAGGAAGGAAGAAGCGAAGAAAAGAGGAGGAAATCAGTTTTCTGAGGACAATCTCTTCCTTTTTTTTTTTCCACTGGTCTTAGGGTTTAAACTCAAGGCCTGGGCACTGTCTCTAAGCTTTTGTGCTCAAGGCTGCCAGTCTACCACTTTGAGCCACAATGCTATTTCCAGCTTTTTGGTAGTTAGTTGGAGAGAAGAGTCACGTGACCTTTCCTGCCCAGGAAACTGCAAATCTCAGATCTCAGCCTTCTGAGTAGCTAGGATTACAGGCTGAGTCACTGATACCTGCCTAGGATAGTTTTGCTTATGTCTAGTCCCTTGCCTTTCGTCCAGGTTTACTCGCACTCCTAGTAATTCTATATTAGTCTACTCATTCATCTGCTGAAATGTAATTTTAGAATAAGAACTTGTCACATTATATATGCCAGAGATGGCTGTCCTGTCTTAATTAATACATCAAAGTCCCGCTCCATATTTTGCTCTTAAGCATTAATTTTTAAAGTTCCGTGTTGAATATTGCTGCTCAGCACTTCTGACCCATACTGCAAGCTTCGGGTAACACAAATTTTCTGTCATCTTCCAAGGGCGTCTGGAAAGTAAAGAAAGATAATTTTTTTTAACTTTCTTGATTTGGAATGTCTTTTCATTATAGAGAGTACTAAAGTTAATTGACTCTTAAGTATAAGTAAATGTGTGACATTTTTGTGTTTGTTCTTTCTTTCATAGCTAATTATTTTCATGGCACTAGCCAATGGAATTTCCAGAATAAAAACAGGACCAGTTACGCTCCATACACAAACTGCTATCCATTTTGCTGAACAGCTAGCAAAGGTGAGTATTCTATTAGAAAGAGCAATTAAATTTCATTTTGTTAAACACCCTAACCATTTTTGTCTTCGTTATTTTTCAAATAGTGCCTCATGTTTATGTCTGGGTTGGCCTGTATACGTGCCAGATTCCAAGCTGTTGGTTGATTGGGATTTGTGGCGGGGGGGGGGTGGGGGGGGGGGTGGTGGAGGTGTTTCAAACTTCATGCCTAAGCTGGTTTCTTCTTACTTCTAACTTCTCAAGTAGCTAGGAAAGTAGCTAGCCACTGCACCCAGCTTTCAGTATATTCTTTCTTTGTATGTGTTTGTGTACTAGTCCTGGGGCTTGAACCCAGGGCCTGGGTGCTGTCCCTCAGCTTTTTTGCTCAAAGCTAGCACTCTACCACTTGAACCAGAACTTCACTTCTGGGTGGTTTGGTGGTGAATAGAAGATAAAAGTCTTATAGACTTTCCTGCCTGGGCTAACTTGGGGCCATGATTTTCATATCTCAGCCTCCTGAGTAGCTAGGATTACAGGTGTAAGCCACCATATTTGGTTTGGTCATGTTGTAAGTAGTTGACTTGGAATGAGTTCATCTTTCTGTGCCTCAGTGTAGACAATTCATCTGTAAAATCAGAGACTCAAGGCTTTTAAGGCTTCATAAACAACTTGAAGCCCAGATTTTAAATGATTCCTTCACTGTTGCTTGTGTTTCCCGTTTGTATAATGTTTGCAATTTGGAAGGTACGCACATACACATAACTAACTACAAAACCTGGCTTCCTGCTCAGCATTCAGTGCTGTTTGTTTCCGGTAATTGCAGACGCCCGCAGTATCAGCATCCTGCCATGCACACTGGTGGCAGAATCTGCAAACATTACATTCAGTAAGGCCGCACTGATGGCTCTCACATAAGCACCCAAAGATTTTAGTCACACACCTGACATCTTTTTACCCCAGACTCAGCCTCTCAGTTTTGATTTTAAGTCAGCTTTGTTCAGATGAACCACATTTGCTTTAGAAATGATCGTGTTTCCAGAACACAGTGACGCAAGTCAAATACTTGAAAAGCCAACTTCAGTTAACAAGTGAAAACGACAGTGTTAGCCCAATCACGATGAAAGAAGTTAGTCACCACTGCCAGCCCTCCTCCCACCCACCTTCCCACTGCCAGATCTTTTGAATAGTGAATCCAGAGAATTAAATTGTCAAGAGAAAATGAGATTCAGTGATTTCATACTTCACAGATAAAAAAAAATGGACGTCTCAGAGCCACATTTTAGAAAAACTTTTTAGAGAAGGGAGACAAATGATGCTTTACTAACCTCAACCAACAGCTGAGATTTCCGAGTTGGAGTTTGTTTTGGTTATACTCATGGAGTCTGTGATTCAGTGGGTGCAGAGCACAGCCCGTGTATATGTTCTGACAAAACCCCCGAAGAAGCAATACATTCTCATAGGTTATCAACGTTCTCCGGCTGTTTCCTACAGGCGGGCTTACCCCAGCCCGAGTGATGGGTATTTCTCCGTCCTCCTCATTCCCGCTCTAATACTGTAATGCTCTTCTGCTTTCAGGCCAAATTTACTGTGAAGAAGTCAGAAGATGAAGAGGATGCCTCTAAAGACACTTTCATTGTTGAGTGTGAAGGAGTTGGGATGACAAATCCTTATCTATAGAGTATCTGCCGTGTAAATGGTGTACCTCAGTGATGGATGGCACTCATTCAAAGCATGTTCTTAAAGGACCTGACTAGACTTGGAGATGAAGGATGATGTTCTAGATTTGCCTCACCAGAATCCTACTTGAAATCTCTCCTGCAATACTGACAGTGCCGTAAGATTTGATGGATATGTATGATTTCAGTATTTAAGTATTGAAATAAAAGTTTCTTTGTACCTGAAGTAAATGACCTTCATTTGGTTTTTTAGCATTATTGGGAGTTGAACTCAGGGTGAAGCACGTGAAGCAGACTCTGAGACAAACACTATACTATTTGAGCCAACCTCTAGACCTTTCGCTCTTTAGTTTTTAGATAGGCCTCAGACCATGATACTCCTACCTAAGACTCTTGCAGAGCTGGGATTACAGGGTGAGCCAGCACAGTTGTTCATCTGCATGAGAAAGGCTACAAGATATAGTGGATGTGGGTATTGCATTCCTTTCATAGCTAAGTCCAAAGCCAGTGAAGACAAATAGATCTGAGCGTGAACTCTGGCTTGTTTGTTGTTACGGAGTTTTGCTAACTTTTCCTCTGATTTCTCTGGCACTATGATTCTCCCACTGTCTGCCTCATGAAGAGCTGGAATTATAGGTGTCTACCACCATCCTTGTTAATGTTTTTCTCTTTGATATAGTAAGTCAGGAATATAGATTTCATCTTGTATGCAATAACTCCCTTATCTAGGTTTTGTTTGTTTAGTGGTACTGGGGTTTGAACTCAGGGCCTCACACTTGCTAAGCAAGTGCTCTCCTCCTTGATCCATGCCCCTGTTCTAGAGTTTGGCTTTTTGATGTTTCAGTTACCTGGTGTCCATAATACTTGATCCAATTTTGAAAAAAAAAAAAAAAAGCATCAATCTAGTTAAGATTTAACTTCAATAAGAGTTCACTAAAAATCTCAGAATGTGCCTTTTTTTTGGCCAGTCCTGGGGCTTGAACTCAGGGCCTGGCCACTATCCCTACCACTTGAGCCCACGGAGTAACTCTGGCTTTTTCTTATTCTGTTTATGTGGTACTGAGGAATCAAACTCAGGGCTTCATGCATATGAGGCAAGCACTCAACCTCTAAGCCGTCAGAACGTAACTTTTATGCTTAATTGATGAGTAATATAATGTTAGGTCCCAGTATGTGCTCAAACACAACATGAAAAGTGGAAGCAGTGGGAAAGAGTCAACAAAGGAGGACCAGCAGGATGGCAGGTAGCTTACCTGGGGTAGATTCCCTTCATGCACACACCCTCTGCTGGTGATTCTCACCATAGCCTCTCTGCCTCCAAGCTATCTCCTAGGGGATTTTCTTTTTCTTTCTTTTTTTTATTTTTGTGGTGCTAGGGATCAAATCTAGAACCTGTGCACAGTGGACAAGTAATGCACCACTTTCTTCTTTTTTGGTTGGTCTGGGCCTGGGCGCTGTCCCTCAGCTCTTCAGATCAAGGCTAGCGCTCTACCACTTGAGCCACAGTGCCACTTCTGGCTTTTTTCTGCTAATGTGGTGCTGAGGAATCGAACCCAGGGCCTCATGCATGCAAGGCAAGCGCTCTACCACTGAGCCACCTTCCCAGCCCCTCCTAGGGGATTTTCAAGTCAGTATTTTCTCACCCTAGTAGATGGTCTTCTGTGGTCATAACGAGGCAGCAATGTGGCCCAGGCCATGACTGGGAAGACAGCCTGGGCCTTGTCATGGAACGCTGCAGTGACCTGAGCCATGGCTGGAAAATGTGTGGAAAGCACATGACTGGCCTGTTGTAAGAATTTAGAGACACTAGAGTTGAGGGTAAAAACAGAGGCAATCGTTTCTAATGTACAAATGAATCTGTTCTACCAAACCATTCAGGAGGCTTTTCTTTGTTGCTGAATGTATTAGTGGTCCCAAAGGCCATGATCAAAATACTAACATTATATATACATATGTGTGTGCGTGTACCTATGTCTATTTACATGTGTATGTATGGGACTCGAACTCTAGGCCTGGGTGCCGTCCCTTAGCTCTTCAGCTCACGGCTAGCTCTCTACCACTTAAGCCATAGTGCCACTTCTGGTTTCCTGGTGGTTAATTGGAGATAAGAGTCTCCTGGACTTTCCTGCCCAGGCTGATTTTGAACAGTGATCCTCAAATCTCAGCTTCCTGAGTAGGATTACAGGCGTGAGCCACCGGCGCCTGGCTTGTATGTGCTTTTTAAAAGGAGTTTTTTTAAATGCTATTTTAGAGGTGGTGCACAGAGGAGGGATTACAATTACATGAGTCAGGTAATGAGTACATTTCCTTTTGTACGGTGTCTTCTGTTCTTTCACTCTCCCAGTCCCTCCCTCCTGTCAAACTGCAGTTGGTATTGCAAACAGAGGTGATCTTATACAGGAAGCTAGTCATGTAGTTGTTGGGAGCTTAAAAGAGTTAACTAGAGAGCCTATGTATGAGAAAGAGCTGGAGAAATAGAAGGTAAGAGGGTGGTAATAGAGCCTAAGAGTTTGAAGGAGGTGTTCTGTGGGGCTGACAGGTCTCAGGAAGGACCACTTCTCAGCTGATGATCCAACACTGCGAACACAAGCTAACTGGAGGTACAGCCTGGCCGGTGCTTGCATGGCTGGGCACTCGGGAGGGAGCACTGTGAAACTAATATCCCTCTTGCTCACCTTGGGAGCACAGCAAAGGTGAGTAGCAGGGGCAGTGGAAATGCTGATGGAAGTCAGAGCCACAGTTTGCCATGCTGTTGGAACAATCCTGATAAGAACTGGAAACAGGAACCGTCCTTTCTCTCTTCCTTTCTTCTCTGCTTTTAATAATACTTAACTAGGGCTGGGAAGGTGGCTCAGTGGTAGAGAGCTTGCCTTGCATGCCTGAGGCCCTGGGTTCGATTCCCCAGCACCACAAAAGCAAAAAAAAAAAAAGCCGGAAGTGGCGCTGTGGCTCAAGTGGTAGAGCGCTAGCCTTGAGCTGAAGAGCTGAGGGACAGCACCCAGGCCCAGAGTTCAGGCCCTACGACTGGACCCCCCCCCCCAAAAAAAAAAATAATACTTAACTAGTAACCAGAGCTGAGGGACAGCACCCAGGCCCAGAGTTCAGGCCCTACGACTGGACCCCCCCCCCCCCAAAAAAAATAATACTTAACTAGTAACCAGGTGTCAAGGATGTATAGAATGTATAGTTTCTACTTCAAATGCCATGGAATAGAACTGCACACACACGTACACGCACATGTACATGCACACGCGCGCACACACACACACACACGTTTGTCTAATTAGGGTAATATATGGACCTTGTGTGTTTTTTTCAGCTTTTCTAAATCATCATGCATTTAGAAAATTAGCCGGGCGCTGGTGGCTCACGCCTGTAATCCTAGCTACTCAGGAGGCTGAGATCTGAGGATCGCGGTTCAAAGCCAGCCCGGGCAGGAAAGACCGTGAGACTCCTATCTCCAATAAACCACCAGAAAACCGGAAGTGGCGCTGTAGCTCAAGTGGTAGAGCGCTCGCCTTGAGCTGAAGAGCTGAGGGACAGCGCCCAGGCCCAGAGTTCAAGCCCCATGACCAACAAAAAAAAAAAAAAAAAAGAAAATTATATTAAAATAAATTATAAGTGCACTTGAAGATAGTTTCTAAGCTTGCTTGGAGATAACTGATTTTTTTTTCTTTTTTTTTGGGTCCGGTCGTGGGGCCTGTACTCTGGGCCTGGGTGCTGTCCCTCAGCTCTTCAGCTCAAGGCTAGCGCTCTACCACTTGAGCTACAGCGCCACTTCCGGCTTTTTTCTTTTTGCTTATGTGGTGCTGAGGAATCGAACCCAGGGCCTCAGGCATGCAAGGCAAGCGCTCTACCACTGAGCCAACTTCCCAGCCCGATAACTGATTTTTTTAAATCATGATTTGAGATCTACTATTTTCTAGCCACTTAGTTGGAGACTACTAAAGCCAGCCAGTGATATTTCTCTGTAATCTAGAGTAACCAGTATCATCAGGGGATAGCAATATAAGAGCCCCACCAGGTGCTAGTGGTAATCCTAGCTTCTCAGGTGGCTGAGATTTGAGGATCACTTTTTGAAGCCAGCCCAAGCAGGAAAGTCCATGAGACTCTTATCTCCAATAACTACTCAGAAAAAGCTGGGGAAGTGGTGCTATGGCTCAAGAGATAGAGCACTAGCCTTGAGCAAAAGAAGCTCAGGGACAAAGCTCAGGCTCAGAGTTCAGGTCCCAGGACTGGAAAAAATCAATCCAGGGCTGGGAAGGTGGCTCAGTGGTAGAGCGCTTGCCTTGCATGCTTGAGGCCCTGGGTTCGATTCCTCAGCACCACATAAGCAAAAAGAAAAAAGCCAGAAGTGGCGCTGTGGCTCAAGTGGTAGAGCACTAGCCTTGAGCTGAAGAGCTGAGGGACAGCGCCCAGGCCCAGAGTTCAGGCCCATGACTAGACCCCCCCCCCCCAAAAAAAAACAAAAACAAAAACAAAAAACCAATCCACTCAGGAAATTCTGAGTGGGTAAATTCTGGAGAGGTTTACAAAGACCCACCCAAGGGCCTGGTTTAGTCAACATAACACCTCCTAAAGACCATTATCCTACAGTTCCAGGCCATTCCAAGACTGGGAGTGATTGTGGAAGAATTCAGGTAAGACTTAGGAAGAAGCTGGGTGCTGCTGGCTCATGCTTGTAATACCGACTACTCATGAGGCTGAGATCTGAGGATCACGGTTCAAAGCCAGCCCAGACAGAAAAGTCCATGCGACTCTTATTTCCAATAAACTACTCTGAAAAAGCCAGAAGTGCACCATGGTTCAAGTGGTAGCATGCTAGCCTGCGTACAAAGAGGCCTGGGGACAGTGCCTAGGCCCTGAGTTCAACCACCAGGACTAAGAAAAAAAAACAAGGAAGAAACAGGTGCAAGCTGTTCTGCTGTTAGTAGCATCAGATTGCAGAACCAGAAGTAGAAAGACAACCCCAAATCTTTTTTTTTTTTTTTTGTCTTTGTTTAGCATTGATTCAAGCCAGCAGCTCACATTACCAGCCTAGGTATGCAGCACAGTTGTCTATCTGCATGAGAAAGGCCACGAGACACAATGGATGTGGGTATCGCATTCCTTTCATGGCCATGTCCAAAGCCAGTGAAGACAAATAGATCTGAGCTTGAATACCAGCTTGTCTACCTATGAGGTGTCTGTCTACTTTGGTTTACTAAGCCTTAGAACTTTCATAGGAATAA